TCTGGAAGGCGATGGAGTCTTTTTAGCCTACCCATGTGGCCGGCGACAGCTCACTCATAACCGAGCTTCCTTCACTTCACACACCTGGCTTTTCTGACGACATCATTGCCTCTGAGATCACGTGGGAGGGGATAGCCTCTCTGCCCTGGGCTGACCTGAGCCTCCGTAGAGATGTTTTTGCAATGACCGCTTTGCCCAGAGACATTCTGCAGGGATCCATATTTATCTCTAGGTACTCATCTACCTTGCGCTTCAGTCCACCTCAGGGACTGTCTGACTCCTTCCTATGTGTATTCCGGCTTTACCCCCTGAGTTCGGGAGGAGGAACTGTTTTCTACAAAGGGTCTGGATCAGCCAGGAATAGGGCAGATGAGAACATCAGGGCTGTGGCTCTTAGCTTTTAAATTCTGGATTAAAAAAAGTCTTTTACAATGATTTACAGTGGTTTAAAAGATGATTCTCCTACGTGGTTTGAGTTACCCTCGGGCAGGGCTGCTGACCTCAACAGGAGAGGCAATTTGGGCTGGATAATTCTGAGTTGTAAGGGCTGGCCTCTGTATTGTGGGTCCAGCAGCATCTCTGGTTTCCATGCACTAGATACCAGTAGCACCCCCGAGATGTGCTCATAAATTGCCAGGTGACCCCTGGGGGAGTGACAGAACCAACCCCAGGGAAGAAGCACTGGGCTAGTACATTATAAACATAACGCTCAATCTAACTTTTTGAACTATGTCGAATTTCAAAGTAAATGATCTGCTCTGTCCATTTTGATTCAAATAATTGAAACACACCTTCAGGATGGTTTGGATGTTACAGCCAACTGCAGTCCACACACTCATTTCTCAGTTTGATCTCTCTCTCCCTTTAGCTGTCTGTTCACTGTACAGATGCTTAGAGCATGTGATGGTCGACAGTAGGAAGGTGTTACATATTATTTTCTTTTCTCTCTTCATTTTTCCTTTCCTTCCTCTACCAATTCCTCAGATTACAATAGATTTTCTAACCTGATGGTAATTTTGTAATTCTCGCTTTTGAAGTTTTGAGTTAATGGTATTTTCATGAATTCCGAGGACTGACGTAGACGACTTCTCCCTCTTTAAGGTCCTCGCTAACGTCAAACTGACTTGAAAACATGATTTATTCACTTTATATCAGAGTCCAGATCAAGAGTAAGTGCAGATTATAAAACAGCATGTTAAGGCCGGGTGTGGTGGCTCATTTCTGTAATCCCAGCACTTTGGGAGGCCGAGGCAGACTGATTGCCTGAGGTCGTGAGTTCAAGACCAGCCTGGCCAACATGGCGAAACCCCATCTTTACCCAAAATACAAAAATTAGTCAGGCACAGTGGCTCACACCTGTAATCCAGCCACTTGGGAGGGTGAGGCAGGAGAATCGCTTAAACTGAGGGGTCGGATGTTGCAGTGAACTGAGATTGTGCCACTGCACTCCAGCCTGGGTGACGGAGTGAGACTCTGTCTTAAAAAAAAAAAATGCACACACACACACACACACATACACACACACACACACCCAAAACAAAACAGTATATTCAGTATGATCCCATTTTTACCTACATGGCCCCTGCCACAATAAATACACATGTTCAGAGATGTGCTCACGAAGATATGTTCCATGCTCTAATCCAGACCCTACATGGATCTCTTAGTGAATCTGTTTCTTTTTGTTAATTTATAGTTTTCTATTTTTTCCTACAATAAGCATCTATTGCTTGTGGAATTGAAAAAGAAAAAAAATGCTTGCAAAAGTTATCCTCAAGCTCCCTGTGAAATCAGTTCAAGATTCAGCACGGACTCACTGGTGTTGTTAATGGTAACAAGAGTTGTATTGGAAATGACACTTATTTTTGGAAGACATGGGGACAACTGAGTCACTCTTAGTATTTTAGGGAAAAGAATGAAACAAGAAACCCCAAGTGAACAGGTGAAGATTTGCTAGGCAGATTTCTGTCTTGTACCGAATGTTTTTTGGGTCAAGATTAGATGTATGTGCATGAGCTCAGATGGAACTGTCCTGAGCTGCGGCGGGGCTGAATTTAGCAGTGAGCTCAGGCTCAGGTCACTTAGCGTCACCCTGCAGAGAATGACTGGTGTAGCCTGGGGCTTTGTATGCCTAGGAGATATCCGGTAAGCACACAGCGCTCCTAGAGCATGCCAGGCTCGGCTGTCTCCCAGTGAGTCAACTCACAGACAGGCTTGTGTCACTCAACACCTGTCAGTAATGGAAAGCACATGCTCACTGGTTAGTGTCCTTTTAGAAACCAAACTCAGATTTCTTCAGGGAAACAATTTGTGCTGATGGGTATAACACTTTCTCTTCATCCTATGCACAGTAAGATGCTGTTAAGAGGGGTGTCCTTTCGTGCCAGCTCTGTTTGTGAGAATGGTGGAGAGGGAAGGAGGCGGATAGGTGCAGCTGTTCAACACTGAGTGCCCAGCTTGATCAAACATGGTTAGCACCAAGCTTTCACGGTTTGAAGTAAGATGGCATCTTGGGAGATGGACACATGACATTCTCCATCTGATTTCGATCGTGTATTATGTGTAATACCTTATATGTCTGGGTAAGTTATTTAACCCCCCAGAGCCTCAGCTCCCTCATCTCTAAAATGGACACAAAGCAGGCTTCCTCTTAGATCTGGTGTGAGCATAAAAATAGAGAACACACGTGGATAACAGCCTGGTATACAGGAGGTGATCAATATTGCTTTCCCTCTGGTCAGTTTCCAAGTTCATTGCTAAAAATAGGCACAGGCCAAGCATTCACAAAGGTTTTCTCTAAAGGAACTTATAGCAAATACTCTAGGTTTTGTGGCCTAGGAAGCAAAATTAAGGATATTATGTACATTCTTACATAATAAGGAGAAAACACATTTCTCCCAATTGCTATTGATTTGGGAATATAATAATAAAAATAGAGCACAATGTTTTTTTCTAACATAGAGCTACTAATGAAAATAAAGGATTCCTTTTCTGGGGTGATAGCATCTTACTTAACTGAGGTTCAGAGTCAGAGTTCCATCCAATGGATTGCCAGTGTTCACCTGGACAAACCATTCTTAATTTTCAAGCCGTGCAACAACCGGTCATGAGCTGAATTCGGTCCACAGGCCACAGTCTGGACATCTCTGCTCTCTACTGCTCATTACTAACACCAGTCTCTGCTTGCATTCTATCTGTGATCATTAATGGTGAATAAATAATCTGAAATCATAACTGATGAATGAACTGCTAGAGAGCTACCATCTGCAGAGGGGGATGAAGTAATGAAATAAACAGGCACTTAGAAGCTGACCGAGTGCTTAGTCTTATTTGATCAAATAATTCTTTTTTTTTTTGAGACAGTCTCCCTCTGTCACCCAGGCTGGAGTGCAGTGGCGCCATCTCGGCTCACTGCAACCTCTGCCTCCAGGGTTCAAGCTATTCTCTTGCCTTAGCCTCCTGAGTAGCTGGGACTACAGGCATGTACCACCAGAGACCAGCTAATTTTTGTGTTTTTAGTAGAGGCCGGGCTTCACCTTATTGGTCAGGCTGGTCTCCAACTGCTGACCTCATGTGATCTGCTTGCCTTGGCCTCCCAAAGTGCTGGGATTACAGATATGAGCCGCTGTGCCTGGCCGTGATCAGATAATTCTTTAAAGAGAATCTTTCTTTGTGGCGAAAATCTGGAAAACAGCAGGAAGAAATGCTCAGGCCACACAATCCAACCACCTATGATGAGAGACCAAGCAGCAAATGATTATGAAAAGTCACTCAAACAGGTTCTTTCTGTGTTGAACCCCGTGAGAAATGGACATGCTTGTTTTTGGTGGTAATGCAGGTAAGGGAGGGGTGAAGGTTCGGCATGTAAGTATCAGAGGGTCCTTTCCTTTCACCCTTCCACCCACCTGGATGGATAGGTCAGATTGATCTAGTTATATGATCCTTAAACACTCCGATGAAAACAAGACCAAAAGAGTATTATGGGGTATACTCCGCACCAAAGGGATTGCATTTTAGCAGAATGCTAAATAGACTAGGAGTTATCCTATGGCATGGAAGGCAGCAGAGTGTGTGTTAAGAGGAAACAATGTAGGGCCGGGCGCGGTGGCTCAAGCCTGTAATCCCAGCACTTTGGGAGGCTGAGGCGGGTGGATCACAAGGTCGAGAGATCGAGACCAACCTGGTCAACATGGTGAAAGCCCGTCTCTACTAAAATACAAAAAATTAGCTGGGCATGGTGGCGCGTGCCTGTAATCCCAGCTACTCAGGAGGCTGAGGCAGGAGAATTGCCTGAACCCAGGGGGCGGAGGTTGTGGTGAGCCGAGATCACACCATTGCACTCCAGCCTGGGTAACAAGAGTGAAACTCCGTCTCAAAAAAAAAAAAAAGAGGAAACAATGTGACAAGACATCTCTGATAACTGAGTTGGCAAGAAAGGAATATCCATATGTCCGAATATTTAAGAGATAGATATGGAAAAGGGTCAACACACACAGAGCAAGAAGGGACAAAGGTATATGAGAAAGGGTCCAAGCAGGCAAGCTGGCTCTTTCCCATTCGTGTGGCAGAAAGCAGGGTCTCCACGGCCACCCATCATTTGAAATTCACTGGAAGCCTGTAGACATTTATAGAAGCTGCTGGGTCAATTGTGCCCAAGCTGCTTGGGGCAAAGATTTTTAAATTTAAGAGTGTTGAATTGGGAAAGTGCTTACAACTCCTTGTAACAAACCCCTCCTTGGAAAAATAGTTGTTTTGAGGCAGAAATATTTTAAAATATATTGTTTTAGCAGAAGGGCAATTTTTAGCCAAAGAACATTTAGCAGGCAAGCTTTGGCGGTGGGTTTAAAAATAGCTTCTCTCTCAGCTGATGCCGACACATCTTTTCTCCATTTTTGTGTTAAAAGAACACACAGCAAATGCAGTTTCTCTTAGTTTAACTAACAAGTTGGAATAAAATACACTATTTGTATAAAGATAAATGTCAAGATGAAAAACTGAAGTATACTTCCAAGCAAAATTTATTAGATGTCTATTCAAGAAAAACACAACGACCTTTGCTTGTACGAATTCAAAGTCAATGCCTGGAAGCCAGGCATGAATATTTTTTTCTTTTAAAATCAGATACAGAGAGTAGAAACAGTCATTTTTCTTAAATATGACAGGCAACAGATATTGAAGTTTTTTCCCAGAAACGGCATCAAAGATAATTATTCATTTATCAGCAAAGCTGCATGCACTTGATTTAATTTCAAACCCAAAGCCTTTAAAATATAAAGCTGGTTGTGAACTTGACAGAAATCAAGGTAGGCTACTCAGAGATGTTTCTTTACCTTCTTCCTAATGAAATCAGTCTGTGTATATGTACATCTCAGTTTGGCTTCTACGATCTTTTAACTTCATAGATTTTTTTTTTTTTTTTTGAGACAGAGTTTCGCTCTTGTTACCGAGGCTGGAGTGCAATGGCGCGACCTCGGCTCACCGCAACCTCCGCCTCTGGGTTCAGGCAATTCTCCTGCCTCAGCCTCCCGAGTAGCGGGGATTACAGGCACGCGCCACCATGCCCAGCTAATTTTTTGTATTTTTAGTAGAGACAGGGTTTCACCATGTTGACCAGGATGGTCTCGATCTGTTGACCTCGTGATCCACCCGTCTCGGCCTCCCAAAGTGCTGGGATTACAGGCAGGAGCCACCGCGCCCGGCCGTACTTCATAGATTTTTGCATAAATGCTCTCTGACAGAATGACACTATCTAGGGGTGCTTGTGATCTGTGAGACAGGGAAAGGCTGATCTGCTGAAAGTGTTGCAGGATAAAGAGCAAATCAGGAAACTCCCCTGTTTTCTCAGCAACTAAATAGTCTGTACAAAAAAAGAGCAAACATATGTACAAAATTCTAGAGGCTACGTACATTGTGAAAAGATCACTCACTGTCCACGGGAGAAATGCCATAAAAAGTTTTATCTATAAGGTGCTCAAGATCCAAAGATGAGTAGTTCTTATGCAAAGTCATAAGAAATCCAAAGCTAGTTCTCGGAGTATGTGTAATGTAGGCACTGTGAACTATATTAAATCCTTCAGGTCCCAATATCATTTTGTAAATTTCTGCTTTTATTTTCAGGGCAGAAAATACAACCTGAATGATTTAATTTTGTTTCTAAAAAGTGCCTAATTTATTCCTGGGAAATGTTTTACACACACCAGGAAAATCAGGCTCAACATATCCCTGCCCTCAAATGTAGCCAGGATTCTGAGTCCCATGGAAGAAAAATAATTATTATAGTAAAAATAATTGTATTAATCACAATCCTTGCTAAAACCAACCTTAATAGTTGTGATGCTTCTGTACTCTATTTCTATAAAATAACCTGTGAGATTCTATTACATTTCCATAAAATGTACAACATATCATATGGATTATATGTTCTTATACAATCTCAAATGTGTATGTGTACACACAGTGAAATCTTACCTACTAGTATTGCTTACAGATACTTTCAAGTGTCTATGTTAGAATAATTCTTTGCACCTCGCGCTAACACTGCTTTTACTTACATTTTTTTCAGATAAATAAAACACTAAGAGCTCATTGTTCATGATGCTGATCATTACATTTTAATATAAAATAGCGACGCAACTTTACAACACAATCGTTTTCCCCTGTAGTCTGGCTCAGCCTCTTGTATTGTCATGGTTATTAACAAAGGCTCTTATTCATTTATTCTTTGCACTTCTAAAAAGTGCAAAAAAAAACTTGCAGAAGAAGATTCCTATTTGAAAACTCACATTCAGCCAACAAAATCGCACTCATCCAGATGAACTTTCCTCCTCCTGCTTCAAAGGTTGTAATCACTGTGCATATTACCACATATATGTGCAGGCAAACGATTTTTAAAGTACAGTTACAGTTGTCATATGGTGTAAACCAAGACACTAGGCAAACTTGTGAAAAGAATATACACTGCCAAGCTAAGAATGTGAAAATGCGAACCACAGCATTTCCCAATAAACGATTTTCTGCTTGTTGTGGGGAAAACATCGCCCGGGGGCGGGGGAGATGTTGAAATAGAGCCATGAGGCTGGAGAGCCTCCTGGGGATGCTTGTTTTTTTTTTTTTTGCCTCAAGTATTTAACCATTTTTAAGTATCATGATTTTCTTTCTGATCCCACATTCTGATGTGTCAAAGCTTAAAGCAGAAAGTAGGAATCCGCACTTTCACCGCGAGGCCAGCCTGCCATGTCGGCCCCAGGCTCACAGCAGTGGCAGTTACTCTGCTGGTGGTTTGCTGGCAGGTGGAGATGGTGACAGCCCATTGGAAACCGTAAGGCATGACAGAGGGAGGCCCGCGGGGTGTCTGAGGCGCGGTGACGCAGGTGTGTGGCTGAAAGGCGGCCTACAGAAGGAGGGAGAGTCATTTACAGCCTCTTGACGTAGTTTCCGGGGAAGGTACCAAAGAATTTGGTTCTTCTTGAGGTTCCTGAAAACAGAAGTGAGTAATGAAAGGTGGGTAACAACAATATCAGCTCATACACGTGGGTTGAATACTTCCCATTACAAGGCCTTGCGAAGAGACCAGGCCCAGAGGGGTCCGGAAGAGAAGGTAGGCAACTCACTTTCAGCCCATAGGCAGACAAAATCAGCAGTTTTAGCTGCTTGCCGGATGCTGTCCCTGCCCCTCCAGCATAAACGATGCCCTGCCATCGCGTCCGCCTAAACAGGAGTGCTCAGCCTCCCAATCTAAAGGCAAAAAAGGAACTCCTCCTGCTGCTGAAGAGGTGGGCGGAGGAACTCAGCCACGGAGGCTGCCACACAAGAGTGGCGGGTGAGGGATTGAGGTGAGGCTGACAGGTGACAGGGTGAGTGGAGAATCCTAAGAGCAAAGCTTCTCAGGGGCCAGGTGTGACAGGAGGCATCATTGGCAGCACCCGGTCACTGTCCAAACAGTTTCATCATCTCATAGAAGATCATGCTCAGTGCCACATCATTTATTTAAAAACAGCACTGCCGAGTCCTTCATCTAGTATACAATTAAAATTCTTCAACAGTTTACAAATCATTAAAGAAGAAAAATGTTTAAGCACTATTTGTGTGTGGGAGTTCTATCACTGAGCATGATTTCTTTTCTCATATATATATATATATATATATATAATTGTACTTTAGGTTCTGGGGTACATGTGCAGATCATGCAGGATTGTTGCATAGGTACATACATGGCAATGTGGTCTGCTGCCTCTGTCCCCCCATCATCTATATCTGGCATTTCTCCCCATGTTATCCATCCCCAACCTCCCTACCCCCTGCTGTCCCTCCCCTGTTCCCCCAAAACAGACCCCAGTGTGTGATGCTCCCCTCCCTGTGTCCATGTGTTCTCATTGTTCAACACCCACCTATGAGTGAGAACATGCGGTGTTTGATTTTCTGTTCTTGTGTCAGTTAGCTGAGAATTATGGTTTCCAGATTCATACATGTCCCTACAAAGGACGTGAACTCATCATTTTTTATGGCTGCATAATATTCCATGGTGTATATGTGCCACATTTTCCCTGTCCAGTCTATCATTGATGGGCATTTGCATTGGTTTCAGGTCTTTGCTATTGTAAACAGTGCCACAATGAACATACATGTGCATGTGTTTTTATAATAGAAGGATTTATAATCCTTTGGATATATACCCTATAATGGGATTGCTGGGTCAAATGGAATTTCTATTTCTAGGTCCTTGAGGAATCACCACACTGCCTTCCACAATGGTTGAACTAATTTGCACTCCCACCAACAATGTAAAAGTGTTCCTGTTTCTCCACATTCTCTCCAGCATCTGTTGTCTACAGATTTTTTAATGATCGCCATTCTAACTGGCATGAGATGGTATCTCAATGTGGTTTTGATTTGCATCTCTCTGATGACCAGTGACGATGAGCATTTTTTCATGTTTGTTGGCTTCATATATGTCTTCTTTTGAGAAGTGTCTGTTCATGTCCTTCGCCCACTTTTGAAAGGGTTAGTTAGTTTTTTCTTGTAAATCTGTTTTAGTTCTTTGTAGATTCTGGATATCAGCCCTTTGTCAGATGGGCAAATTGCAAAAATTTTTTCCCATTCTATTGGTTGCCAGTTCACGTTAATGATTGTTTCTTTTGCTGTGCAGAAGCTCTGGAGGTTCCGTTTGCCTATTTTGGCTTTTGTTGCCAATGCTTTTGGTGTTTTGGTCATGAAGTCCTTGCCTCTGCCTATGTCTTGAATGGTTTTGCCTAGGTTTTCTTCTAAGGTTTTTATGGTGTTAGGTCTTAAGTTTAAGTGTTTAATTCATCTGGAGTTAATTTTAGTGTAAGATGTCAGGAAGGGGTCCAGTTTGTGCTTTCTGCACATGGCTAGTCAGTTTTCTTTTTTTTTTTTTAAGAGACGGAGTTTCGCTCTTGTTACCCAGGCTGGAGTGCAATGGCGCGATCTCGGCTCACTACAGCCCCTGCCTCCTGGGTTCAGGCAATTCTCCTGCCTCAGCCTCCCGAGTAGCTGAGATTATAGGCACGCACCACCATGCCCAGCTAATTTTTTGTATCTTTAGTAGAGACGGGGTTTCACCATTTTGACCAGGATGGTCTCGATCTCATGACCTCGTGATCCACCCGCCTCGGCCTCCCAAAGTGCTGGGATTACAGGCCTGAGCCACCAGGCCTGGCGGCTAGTCAGTTTTCTTAACACCATTTATTAAACAGGGAATCCTTTCCTCATTTATTCTTTTTGACAGGTTTGTCAAAGATCAGATGGTTGTAGATGTGTGGTGCTGCCTCTGAGGCCTCTGTTCTGTTTCATTGGTCTATATCTCTGTTTTGGTACCAGTACCATGCTGTTTTGATGACTGTAGCCTTATAGTATAGTTTGAAGTCGGGTAGTGTGGTGCCTAAAATTGTCTTTGCAATGTGGGCTCTCTTTCGGTCCATATAGAGTTTAAGGTGGTTTTTCCAGTCCTGTGAAGAGGGTCATAGGTAGCTTGATGGTGATAGCATTGAATCCATAAATTACTTTGGGCAGTATGGCCATTTTGACAATATTGATTCTTCCTCACCATGAGCATGGAATGTTTTTCCATCTGTTTGTGTCCTCTCATTTCCTTGAGCGGTGATTCGTAGTTCACCTTGAAGAGGTCCTTTACATCCTTTGTTAGTTGTATTCCCAGGTATTTTATTCTCTTTGTAGCAATTGTGAATGGGAGTTCCCTCTTGATTTGGTTCTAAGTCTGTTATTGGTGTATAGGAATGCTTGTGATTTCTGCACATTGATTTTGTATCCTGAGACTTTGCTGAAGTTGCTTATCAGTTTCAGGAGATTTTGGGCTGAGATGATGGGGTCTTCTAAATATACAATCACGTTGTCTGCAAAGAGAGACAATTTGACTTCCTCCTTTCCTATTTGAATACCCTTTATTTCTTTTTCTTGCCTGATTGCTCTGGCTAGAACTTCCAGTACTATATTGAATAGGAGTGGTGAGAGAGGGCATCCTTGTCTAGTGCCGGATTTCAAAGGGAATGCTTCCAGTTTTTGCCCATTCAGTATGATATTGGCTGTGGGTTTGTCATAAATAGCTTTTATTATTTTGAGATATGTTCCATCAATACCTAGTTTATTGAGGGTTTTTAGCATAAAGCCTGTTGAATTTTGTCGAAGGCCTTCTCTGCATCTATTGAGATAATCATGTGGTTTTTTCTTTGGTTCTGTTTATGTGGTGCATTACATTTATACACTTGAATATGTTGAACTGGCCTTGCATCCCTGGGATGAAGCCTACTTGATTGTGATAGGTTTTTGATGAGCTGTTGCAATCGGCTTGCCAGTATTTTATTGAAGATTTTTGCATCCATGTTCATCATGAATATTGGCCTGAAGTTTTCTTTTCTTGTTGAGTCTCTGCCAGGTTTTGGTATCAGGATGATGTTGGTCTCATAAAATGATTTGGGAAGGATTCCCTCTTTTTGGATTGTTTGGAATAGTTTCAGAAGGAAAGGTACCAGCTCCTCTTTGTGTGTCTGGTAGAATTCTGCTGTGAACCCATCTGGACCTGGGCTTTTTTGTGTGGTAGGCTCTTAATTGCTGCCTCAACTTCAGCCCTTGTTATTGGTCTATTCAGGGTTTCAACTTCTTCCTGGTTTAGGCTTGGGAGGGTGCAAGTGTCCAAGAATTTATCCATTTCTTCCAGGTTTACTAATTTATGTGCATAGAGCTGTCTGTAGTAATCTCTGATGACAGTTTGTATTTCTGTGGAATCTGTGGTGATATCCTCTTTATCATTTTTTATTACATCTATTTGATTATTCTCTCTTTTCTTTTTTATTAATGTGGCTAGTGGTCTATTTTGTTGATCTTCTCAAAAAACCAGCTACCGGATTTATTGATTTTTTGAAGGGTTTTTTGTGTCTCTATCTCCTTCAGTTCTGCTCTGATCATAGTTATTTCTTGTCTTCTCCTAGCTTTTTAGTTCTTTTGATCTTACTTGTCTTTTGATGATAGGGTGTCGATTTTAGATCTTTCCTTGCTTTTCCTGTGGGGATTTATTCCTATAAATTTTCCTCTAGACACTGCTTTACATGTGTCTCAGAGATTCTGGTATGTTGTGTCTTCATTCTTGATGGTTTCAAAGAACATCTTTATTTCTGCCTTCATTTCATTGTTTATCCAGTCAACATTCAATAGCCAGTTGTTCAGTTTCCATGAAGTTGTGTGGTTCTGAGTTAGTTTCTTAATCCTGAGTTCTAATTTGATTGCACTGTGGTCTGAGAGACTGTTTGTTATGATTTCCATTCTTTTGCATTTGCTGAGGAGTGATTTACTTCCAATTAAGTGTTCAATTTTAGAGTAGGTGTGATGTGGTGTTGAGTAGAATGTATATTCTGTGGATTTGGGGTGGAGAGTTCTGTAAATGTCTATTAGGTTTGCTTGGTCCAGATCTGTCCTTGTTAATTTTCTATCTCATCGATCAGTCTAATATTGACAGTGGAGTGTTAAAGTCTCCCACTATTATTGTGTAGGAGTCTAAGTCTCTGTGTAGGTCATTAAGAACTTGCTTTATGTATCTGGGTGTGTATATATTTAGGATCATTAACTCTTCTTGTTGCATTGATCCTTTTACCATTATGCAATGCCCTTCTTTGTCCCTTTTGATCTTTTTTGGTTTAAAGTCTATTTTTCAGAGACTAGGATTGAAACTTCTGCTTTTTTCTTTTGCTATTTGCTTGGTAAATCTTCCTCCATCCCTTTATTTTGAGCCTATGTGTGTCCTTGCATGTGAGATGGTTTTCCTGGATACAGCACACTGATGGGTTTTGACTTTCTGTCCAATTTGCCAGTCTGTGTCTTTTGATTGGGGCATTTTGCCCATTTACATTTAGGGTTAATATTGTCAGGTGTGAATCTGATCCTGCCATTTTGATGCTAGCTGGCTGTTTTGCCCATTAATTGATACAGTTTCTTCATTGTGTCAATGGTCTTTACAATTTGGTACATTTTTGGAGTGGCTGGTACTGGTTGTTCCCTTCTATGTTTAGTGCTTCTCTGAATAACTCTTGTAAGGCAGCCTGGTGGTGACAAAATCTCTGAGCAATTGCTTGTTCATTAAGGATTTTATTTCTCCTTCACTTACAAAGCTTAGTTTGGCTGGATGTGAAATTCTAGGTTGAAAGTTCTTTTCTTTAAGGATGTTGAATATTGGCCCCCACTCTCTTCTGGCTTGTAGGGTTTCTGCTGAGATATCTGCTGTGAGTCTGATGGGCTTCCCTTTGTGGGTGACCCGACCTTTCTCTCTGGCTGCCCTTAGCATTTTCTCCTTCATTTCAACCCTGGTGAATCGGACGATTATGTGCCTTGGGGTTGCTCTTCTTGAGGAATATCTTTGTGGTGTTCTCTATATTTCCTGGACTTGAATATTGGCCTGTCTTGCTAAGTTTGGGAAGTTCTCCTGGATAATATCCTGAAGGGTGTTTTCCAGCTTGGATTAATTCTCTCCATCACATTCAGGTACACCTATCAAATGTAGATTAGGTCTTTTTACATAATCCCACATTTCTTGGAGGCTTTGTCCATTTTTTTTCACTCTTTTTTCTCTAATCTTGCCTTCTTGTTTTATTTCATTGAGTTGGTCTTCAATCTCTGATATCCTTTCTTCCGCTTGGTCGATTCGGCTATTGAAACTTGTGTTTGCTCCACGAAGTTCTTGTGTTGCGTTTTTCAGCTCCATCAATTCATTCATATTCTTAAGCTGTTTATTCTTATTAGCATTTCATCAAACCTTTTTTCAAGGATTTTAGTTTCTTTGCATTGGGTTCCAACATGTTCTTTTAGCTCAGAGCAGTTTCTTATTATCCACTTTCTGAAGCCTGTTTCTGTCATTTCATGAGACTCATTCTCCATCCATCTTTGATCCCTAGCTGGTGATGAGTTGTGATCCCTTGGTGGAGGAGAAGCATTTCGGTTTTGGGTGTTTTCATCCTTTTTTCCCTGGTTTCTTCCCATCTTTGTGGATTTATCTACCTGTCGTCTTTGTAGTTGGTAACTTTTGGATGGGGTCTCCGAGTGGACGTCCAGTTTGATGATGATGAAGTTACTTCTTTCTGTTTTTTAGTTTTCCTTCTAACAGTCAGGCCCCTCTGCTGTAGGACTGCTGGAGGTCCACTCCAGGCCCTGCTTGCCTGGGGATCACCTGCAGTGCCTGCAGAACAGTAAGGGTTGCTGCCAGTTTCTTCTTCTGCTATCTTTGTCCCAGGATACCCGGCAGATGTTAGTCTGATCTCTCCTTTATGTGGTGTCTCTTTGCATATACAGGGGTTGGGGAGCTGCTTGAGGAGACAGTCTGTCCCTTATAGGAGCTCAAGTGCTGAGCTGTGAGCTCTGTTGTTCTATTCAGAGCTGCTGGGCAGGTACATTTAAGTCTGCTGCAGTGGAACTCATAACCAACTTTTTCCCCAGGTGCTCTGTCCTGGGAATGTGTGGCTTTATTTTTAAGATCCTGTAGTGCTGCTGCCTTTTTTCAGAGGTTCCCTGCCTGGAAAGGAGGTAGCCTAGTCACAGTCTGCCAACAGAGGCGTTGCTGAGCTGCCGTGGGCTCTGCCCCGCTGCTGTGTGAACTTGCCTGTGGTTTTGTTTATAGAGGTATAGTTAGAACTGCCTTGGTAATGGCGGTCTGCCTCAGTAACGGCAGACTGCCTCTGTAATGGTGGACTGCCTCAGTAATGGCAGACTGTCTCTGTAATGGTGGACTGCCTCGGTAATGGCAGATATCCTTCCCCCTCGCAGAGCTGGACTATCTGGGGTCCAGCTGCACTTGCTGCAAAACTCTTAATCCAGGGCGTTTCAGATTGCTGGTCTTTGTTGGCGTGGGACCGCCCAAGCCAGATCACCTGACTCCCTGTTTTCAGCCCCCTCTTTTTCAGTTGAATCCACAGCTGTCTCCTGGGCGTTCCAGGCACCAGTTGAAACAGCTGCCCAGGTTTGTATGAGTTTTTGTGTGGAGACCTGCTGCACCAGCTGAAACAGCCTTGCTGGAATTGCATGGTGCTTTTCAGCCCAGGAATCTCCTGATCTGTGGGCAGTAAAAACTCATTTGGAAATGTGGTGGTCACTCAACCTCTGCATTGTTCTCACCTGGAACTGCACTCCAGAGCTGTTCCTATTCGGCCATCTTGGATCCCTGACCACTGGGCATTATTTCTAATATGGTATGTTTATTAGCCACATGCACAAATGGCTGTCATCATTATGATCACCCCTGATTTCAAATAACATAATTCCTTGGAAACTTCATGTAAAAGTTGTTCTGCTAAATTCTTTAGGCAGCGTAGATGGAGTGGACAGGGTCTCTCAAGCTTCATCTCTCCCCTATATCCTGGTGCTTACTGCCTTGGGTTTGATAACTGTTTTTCTTTCTCCTTGGCTAGGCAAGCCATTTTACATTTTGTCTTCTTCTTCTTCATTTTCTTTTTGAGACTGAGTCTTGCTCTGCTGCCAAGGTGGAGTGCATTGTGCGATCTCCGCTCACTGCCTCCCAGGTGCAAGTGATTTTTCTGCGTCAGCCTCCCGAGTGGCTGGGATTACAGGCACCTGTCACCATCCCCAGCTGATTTTTGTATTTTTAGTAGAGAAGGGGTTTCACCATTTTGGCCAGGATGGTCTTGAACTCCTGGTCTCAGGTAATCCACCTGCCTTGACCTCCGAAAGTGCTGGGATTACAGGTGTGAGCCACTGTGCTTGGCCTTTTCTTTTTTTAATAGAAATAAAATCAGAGGCTTGTGGCTGCAACATGGCCTCAATTCTTTCATGGTTTTGCCACCGATGGATGTCTAGAGTGAGCCCTCCTCTCCTCTCACCTTTCCCCTCTGTGTCCCAATGTAAAATACTTTTGTCTACAAATGTTTTCTCAGAAGACCTCTCATTTTTTTTTTTAGGATGGTAAGAATAAAATTGCCTTTTAAGTGGGAAGAATGGAACTTCTCTCCACTTCCAACATAAATTAAAGCTAAGGTGAGTCACTGAACTTTTAGAGATCTACATGAGAGCTAAGAAATGAGGGAGCTGTTCACTGAATCTCGCTCTCTCTGAAATTGGATTCTCACCGTGGACAACTAACATTTTCCACAGAACTGAGCATTGATATTTCTCTCCTGGGGACCATCTGTTGTTGTTGTTCTTAGATCTCAATCTTTCCTGGTTTCTGCTATTTAAAGAAATTTTCTTCTCTGAGTTGAGTTGGAAATAAAGTCAGCAGAAAATCACACATAGCTGATGCAGGGAATACTAAACTGTATTAAAAATGCAATAGCTGGAGATGGATCCAAGATGGCCAATTAGGAACAGCTCAGGACTGCAGCTCCCAGCGAAAGCACAGAGGGTGAGTAAATGCCGCATTTCCAGACAGACTTTTGTTTCCCACAGACCAGGAGATTCCCAGGTGGAGGAGCCCCATGGGTTGCCAGCACAGCTGTTTTGGCTGGCACAGCCAGTCTCCGCACAAAATACAAGGGTCTGGGTGCCATTTTAGCTGGCGATTGGAGCTCCTGGGAGACAGAGTCACCCATTCACCTTATAAAAAGGGGGACTGAAACAGGGAGCCAGGACAGGAGATTGCCAGGTAAAAAAGTGCCACGAATTTCAGTATGGCCATTTCAGCAGGCACAGTGGGTCACCGCATGGGAAATCACACAGATCCCGGCACCTTTTCAACAGGTGACTGGGAGACCTGGGAGACAGAGTCACACATTCAACTAAAAAAAAAGGGGGAATTCTGAGGCAGGGAGCCAGGTGATCAGACTCGGCTGGTCCCACCCCCACAAAAAAAAAACAGCAATCTGAAACACTCTGGATTGAGAGTTTCACAGTAAGCACAGCTGAACCAGGGATGGTCCAGCTCTGTGGAGGAGGGACATCTGCCATTACCAAGGCAGTCCACCACTACGGAGGTAGTCCGCCATTGCTGTGGCAGCCTGCCATTACAGAGAGAGTCCACCATTACAGAGGTTGGCCACCTTTGCAGAGGCAGTTCTAACTATACCCATATAAACAGGACTGCAGGGAAGTGCACACAGCAGACGGGTAGAGCCCACAGCAGCTCTGCAAAGCCTCTGCAGGCAGACAGTGACTAGGCTGCCTCCTTGCTGGGCAGGGAAGCCCTGAAAAAAGGCAGCAGCATGACAGAAACTTATAAATAAAGCCCCAACTTCCCAGGACAGAGCACCTGGGAACAAGAAAGTTGGGGGGTTTATGAGTTCTGCTGCAGCAGACTAAAACATACCTGCCCAGCAGCTCTGAATGAACAATGGAGCTCACAGCTCAGCACTTGAGCTACTATAGCACTTGAGCTCTAATAAAGGACAGACTGTCTCCTCAAGCAGCTCCCTGATCCTCGTATATCCAGAGAGTCACCTCATAAAGGAGAAATCAGACTGACATCTGACGGGTATCCTTCTGGGACAAAGATAGCAGAAGAAGAAACTGGCAGCAACCCTGACTGTTCTGCAGCTGCAGCAGGACTGGAGTGGACCTCAGCAGTCCTACAGCACAGGGGCCTGATTTTAGAAGGAAAACTAAGAAACAGAATTAACTTCATCATCAACAAACTGGACGTCCACTCAGAGACCCAATCTCAAAGTCAACGACTGCAAAGATGACAGGTGGATAAATCCACAAAGATGGGAAGAAACCAGTGCAAAAAGGATGAAAACACCTGAAACCAGAATGCCTCTCCTCCTCCAAGGGATCACAACTCCTCACCAGCAAGAGAACAAAGGTTAGATGGAGAATGAGTGTGATGAATTGACAGAAACAGGCTTCAGAAGGTGGGTAATAAGAAACTTCTCTGAACTAAAAGAACATTTTTTAACTTAATACAAAGAAACTAAGAACCTTGAAAAAAGATTCCACAAAATGGTAATGAGATTAACAACTTAGGGAGGAATATAAGTGAATTGATGGAGCTGAAAAACACAACACGAGAACTTTGTGACACATACACAAGTTTCAACAGCTGAATTGACCAAGCAGAAGAAAGGATATCAGAGGTCGAAGATCAACTCAATGAAATAAAACAAGAAGGCAAGATTAGAGAAAAAAGGATAAAAAGGAATGAACAAAGTCTCCAAGAAAAATGGGACTATGTGAAAAGACCTAATCTATGCTTGATCGGTGTACCTGAATGTGATGGACAGAATGAATCCAAGCTGGAAAATACTCTTCAGGATATTATCCAGGAACACTTACCCAACCTAGCAAGGCAGGCCAATATTCAAGTCCAGGAAATACAGAGAACACCACAAAGATATTCCTCAAGAAGAGCAACCCCGGCCAGGCATGGTGGCTCAAGCCTGTAATCCCAGCACTTTGGGAGGCCAAGGCGGGTGGATCACAATGTCAAGAGATCAAGACCATCCTGGTCAACATGGTGAAACCCCATCTCTACTAAAAATACAAAACATTAGCTGGGCATGGTGGTGCATGCCTGTAATCCCAGCTACTCAGGAGGCTGAGGCAGGAGAATTGCCTGAACCCAGGAGGCAGAGGTTGCAGTGAGCCGAGATTACACCATTGCACTCCAGCCTGGGTAAGAAGAGCGAAACTCTATCTCAAAAAAAAAAAAAAAAAAAAAAAAAAAAAAAAAAAAAAAAAAAAAAAAAAAAAAGCGACCCCAAGGCACATAATTGTCTGATTCACTAGGGTTGAAATGCAGGAGAAAATGCTAAGGGCAGCCAAGGAGAAAGGTCGGGTCACCCACAAAGGGAAGCCCATCAGACTCACAGCAGATCTCTCAGCAGAAACCCTACAATCTAGAAGAGAGTGGGGGCCAATATTCAACATCCTTAAAGAAAAGAACTTTCAACCCAGAATTTCACATCCAACCAAACTAAGCTTTATAAGTGAAGGAGAAATAAAATCCTTAATGAACAAGCAAGTACTTAGAGATTTCATCACCACCAGGCCGGCTTTACAAGAGCTCCTGAAATAAGCACTAAACATAGAAAGGAACAACTAGTACCAGCCACTCCAAAAACATACCAAATGGTAAAGAGCATCAACACAATGAAGAAACTGCAACAACTAATGGGCAAAACAACCAGCTAGCATCAAAATGGCAGTATCAAATTCACACATAACAATATTAACCCCAAATGTAAGTGGGCTGAATGCCCCAATCAAAAGACACAGACTGGCAAATTGGATAAAAAGCCAAAACCCATCGGTGTGCTGTAGCCAGGAAACCCATCTCACATGCAAGGATACACAAAGACTCAAAATTAAGGGATGGAGGAAGATTTACCAAGCAAATGGAGAGCAAAAAAAAAAAAAATATTAGACAGATCAATGAGACAGAAAATTAACAAGGATATCCAGGACTTGAACTCAGACCTGGACCAAGCAAACCTAATAGACATTTACAGAACTCTCCACCCCAAATACACAGGATACACATTCTTCTAAGCACCACATCACACCTACTCTAAAATTGACGACATAGTTGGAAGTAAATCACTCCTCAGCAAATGCAAAAGAATGGAAATCATAACAGTCTCTCAGACCACAGTGCAATCAAGTTAGAACTCAGAATTCAGAAACTAACTCAGAACCGCACAGCTTCATGGAAACTGAACAACTGGCTCCTGAATGTTGATTGGATAAACAATGAAATGAAGGCAGAAAGAAAGATGTTTTTTGAAACCAACAGGAATGAAGACACAACATACCAGAATCTCTGGGACACATTTAAAGCAGTCTCTAGAGGAAAATATATAGCAATAAGTGCCCAATGAGAAGAGTGGAGAGATCCAAAATTGACACCCTATCGTCAAAATTGAAAGAGCTAGAGGAGCAAGATCAAAAAAACTCAAAACCTAGCAGAAGACAAGAAATAACTAAGATCAGAGCAGAACTGAAGGAGATAGAGACACAAAAAAACCCTTCAAAAAATCAATAAATCCAGGAGCTGGTTTTTCGAAAGGATCAACAAAATAGACCACTAGCCACATTAATAAAAAAGAAAAGAGAGAATAATAAATAGATGCAATAAAAAATGATAAAGGGGAAATCACCACAGATTCCACAGGAATACAGACTGTCATCAGAGAATATTACAAACAACTCTATGCACATAAACTAGTAAACCTGGAAGAAATGGTTAAATTCCTGGACACTTGCGTCCTCCCAAGCCTAAACCAGGAATAAGTCAAAACCCTGAATAGACCAATAACAAGAGCAGAAGTTGAGGCAGCAATTAAGAGCCTACCACACAAAAAAAGCCCAGGTCCAGATGGGTTCACAGCCGAATTCTACCAGACACACTAAGAGGAGCTGGTACCTTTCCTTCTGAAACTATTCCAAACAATCCAAAAAGAGGGAATTCTTCCCAAATCATTTTATGAGACCAACATCATCCTGATACCCAAACCCGGCAGAGATTCAGCAAGAAAAGAAAACTTCAGGCCAATATCCATGATGAACATAGATGCAAAAATCTTCAATTAAATACTGGCAAACCGACTGCAACAGCACATCAAAAAGCTTATTCACCATGATCAAGTAGGATTCATCCCGGGGATGCAAGGCTGGTTCAACATACGCAAGTCTATAAACATAATTCACCACATAAACAGAACCAAAGGCAAAAACTACATGATTCTTTCAATTGATACAGAGAGGCCTTTGACAAAATTCAACAGCCCGTTATGCTAAAAACCCTCAATAAACTACGTATTGATGGAACTTATCTCAAAATAATAAAAGCTATTTACAACAAACCAACAGCCAGTATCATACCGAATGGGCAAAAACTGGAAGCATTCCCTTTGAAACCTGGCACTAGATAAGGATGCCCTCTCTCACTACTCCTATTCAATATAGTACTGGAAGTTCAGAGCAATTAGGCAAGAAAAAGTATAAAGGGTATTCAAATAGGAAAGAAAAAAGTCAAATCGTCTCTATTTGCAGACAACATGATTGTATATTTAGAAGACCCCATCATCTCAGCCCAAAATCTCCTGAAACTGATAAGCAACTTCAGCAAAGTCGCAGGATATAAAATTAATGTGCAGAAATCACAAGCATTCCTATACACCAATAACAGACTAAAAGAGAGCCAAATCAAGAACGAACTGCCATTCACAATTGCTACAAAGAGAATAAAATACCTAGGAATACAACTGACAGGGAACGTAAGGGACCTCTTCAAGGGGAACTACAAACCACTGCTCAATGAAATGAGAGAGGACACAAACAGATGGAGAAACATTCCATGCTCATGGTGAGGAAGAATCAGTATCGTGAAAATGGCCATACTGCCCAAAGTAATTTATGGATTCAATGCTATCCCCATCAAGCTATCTATGACCCTCTTCACATGACTGGAAAAAACCACCTTAAACTCCATATGGACCAAAAGAGAACCTGCATTGCCAAGACAATTTTAAGCAAAAAGAACAAAGCTGGAGGCATCACACTACCTGACTTCAAACTATACTACAAGGCTACAGTCATCAAAACAGTATTGTACTGGTACCAAAACAGAGATATAGATCAATGGAACAGAACAGAGGCCTCAGAGGCAACACCACACATCTACAACCATCTGATCTTTGACAAACCTGACCAAAACAGCAATGGGGAAAGGATTCCCTGTTTAATAAATGGTGTTGAGAAAACTGACTAGCAATGTGCAGAAAGCAGAAACTGGACCCTTTCCTGACACCTTACACTAAAATTAACTCCAGATGGATTAAAGACTTAAACATAAGACCTAACACCATAAAACCCTAGAAGAAAATCTAGGCAAAACCATTCAGGACATAGGAGTTGGCAAGGACTTCATGACCAAAACACCAAAAGCATTAGCAACAAAAGCCAAAACAGACAAATGAAACCTAATCAAACTCCACAGCTTCTGCATTGCAAAAGAAACAGTCATTAGAGTGAATCAGCAACCAACAGAATGGGAAAAAATGTTTGCGGTCTACCCATCTGACAAAGCGCTGATATCCAGAATCTACAAAGAACTAAAACAGATTTACAAGAAAAAAACAAGCCCATTCAAAAGTGGGTGAAGGATATGAACAGACGCTTTACAAAAGAAGACATACGTGAGGCCAACAAACATCTGAAAAAATGCTCATCATCACTGGTCATTAGAGAAATGCAAATCAAAACCTCATTGAGATACCATCTCACGCCAGTTAGTATGGCGATCATTAAAAAATCTGGAGACAACAGATGCTGGAGAGGATGTGGAGAAATAGGAACACTTTTACACTGCTGGTGGGAGTGTAAATTAATTCAACCATTGTGGAAGGCAGTGTGGCAAATCCTCAAGGACCTAGAAATAGAAATTCCATTTGACCCAGCAATCCCATTATTGGGTATGTATCCAAAGGACTATAATTCATTCTACTATAAGGACACATGCACACGAATGTTCATTGAAGCATTGTTTACAATAGCAAAGACCTGGAACCAACCCAAATGCCCATCGATGATAGACTGGACTGGGAAAATGTGGCACATATACACCATGGAATATTATGCAGCCATCAAAAACAATGAGTTCGTGTTCTTTGTAGGGACATGGATGAACCTGGAAACCATCATTCTCAGCAAACTGACACAAGAACAGAAAATCAAACACCACATGTTCTCACTCATAGGCAGGTGTTGCGCAATGAGAACACATGGACACAGGGAGGGGAGCATCACACACTGGGGTCTGTTGGGGGGAAATCGGGGAGGAGACAGTGGGGGGTGGGGAGTTGGGAAGAGATAACATGGGAGAAATGCCAGATATATGTGATGGGGAGGAAGGCAGCAAATCACACTGCCACGTGTGTACCTATGCAACAATCTTGCATGTTCTTCACATGTACCCCAAAACCTAAAATGCAATAAAAAAGTTAAAAACATGCAATAGCCTTGGGATTACATGGTGCATATGAACTTCTGAAAGATGAGACATCATGAATTGAAAGGAAGCTTGGCTGTTTCAGCGAACCACGCAAGTGAGGAAACTCAAGCAAAGTACAAAATAGCCAAATGTCTCTGAAGAAAATGCGCACATACCCACAAACCAGCCATCGTCGCACTTTTCCATCACATCAATGACGTCACTTTCTCTGAGCTCCAGCTCGTCTTCGTTCCTGGGAGTGTAGTTATACAGAGCCTGAAACCTTAAACAGGACAAAGGAACGTGTTTAGACCAATCTTGACAGCTTTGTGAAATACAGAAGATAGAACACTATTCATTCTACCTTCGCCATTCCTATTCTTAACAATATGAACAATATTATATTGGGTGGCACATGTCTGGTAAACATGTAAACAGCAATGTTTAGACCTTCACAGGCATTAGACCAGTCTAACGTTTTGGGGCTCATGAGGAATGTTCAGGAGAATTGTAACGCTCATAAATTGATTAAAATATTTTAACATTTATGCGTCAAACCTGCATTTCAATTGTCCAGCCATCTAACGTCTGTCATTCAGACATTCAATAATAGTACAAAATATAAAATAAGTGATATTTACATTATTTAACCATTTAAAAACAGGAAGGAATCACAGTTTTGGCTAGCCATAATCAGAAGCAAACAATTGGGGCTTAAGAATTGAATTTTCCAAGGTTCTAAATTGAAAGTGTCTCTGACATGTCTTTTAAATCACTATATGTGAATTACTCTACAAAGGAAAATCACTGTTTTTTAACCAAGAGGAATTCTTTACATCAGTTTAATTTTATAGTTTGGTTCCATGTTTGCTGAGGATGCAGTGCTGGAAAATTTGGTGTAATTAGCCTATGACATTGAGTACATGTATTCTGCGTGCTGTTACTACTGAGTCAGTTTCAAACAGGTTATGGACATAAGTCTCTGCTTCAAATGAGTCCCGGAGAAACTGTATTTGATTTTAAAACTCTGTCTTGAAATGACTTTATGTCAAAAAGAATGATTAATAGAATGCTACCACTTTCCCTGCCTGAATTCTTTGACAGCATATGCTGTGGCAACATTGATCAAGAATGAATTCAGACACTGAGTTTGTGGAGAGAAAACAGCATACATCACAGTACAGAATAACATGGACGGGTGTCTTTGGAAAATGAAGGGAGAAATTGCTGTAGCCGAGAAGGTGAAGAAGAATTTCATGTGGAATTAACATGAAAACTTCTTCATAATAGTACTAAAATATTACCAGTACTGTGAGGGGGGTTTAAAAATTGGGAATTTGTCTCTGCTGCTTTTTGTGACAGTCATGTCATTCTGCTAATGTGAGAAAATAATAACTACATTCTAGGGTATTTTAGATTTTTTAATGGAAACTTAAAAAAGTTGATAATCTTGACTACTGTTCTGGAACCAGAATGATTTATTTTTAATTACTTCATGAGTCAGAAAATCATATTTCGGTAGAACAACCCTATTCTATCCTTTGAACTCAAATCTAATGATAGCAACCGTGACCCATGGCTTCCCCGTTCATCCACCATTTGGATTGGGGGAGCTGGATAGAGTCGGCTTCAGGGATTCTAGGAAAGTGGTGAGAAGAAGGGGTGCCTGACACCATTCCCTAGAAAACATGGTTTTCCCTGCCCTGGCTGCAAAGCCTGACATTTCAACATGAGAGGTTTCTTCCCGTTAAGACTTCGTCCTCCCAGTAAACCTTACAGCCACTTACACTCTTTTGAGCACGGGCTTCTGAGGCCTTTTCTTGAGAGAGGGGTTTGGGGAAGGACAGAGAAGGGCAGCTAGCATCCCAGAGCAGTGGCCGAAGAGACAGGGAGCTGTGGCATACACAAGCATCACCTGATTCGGAGGTTTGCGTGCGGCCAGCTTTAGTAGAGGGAGTCGATTCATCTTGTTTGTGTTAAGAATTTGATTTGGAGGCTGCTCACGTGAAGGGGTGATACCTTTTGTCTATCTCTGGGGGCAAGTTCATGGTCCTTTTTCCAATTTCACGTTTGAGAGAGAGGGTCATTCCCGGGCTGCTGTTCTGATGGGTATACACAGCACTTCTCACTTTGGGAAAACTGATTCTTTTATTGAGATTCTCGGGCTTGAACCCTGCCCGGGCTCATCTACAGCCACTTACGGAGACCAGTTACCTAAGGCTGCAAACCGCAGCTGCTGGAAAGAATCTCAAGGTCTCAGAACTAACGCAGCAAGATTGGCCCAGGCTCCTTCACTTTTGCGGGATGAAAGCCAACGTGTTTGTCCGAATGTATTTACCATTCTGGTTTAATTAGGCCCCAAAAACAAAAACCAAACCAAACCAAACCCAAGGGGTTTTATGGAAGCATAAACACACCTTCAGGAAATCCTCCTGCCTCTGCTGGCTTTCAGAATCAGTGCGGTGCGACAGGAAATGGAGTGAAATCGCAATTTAAAAAAACGCTGTTCTGAGATGTGTTGGTGAGATGAGTGATGGTGGGGGGTTAGGGTGCCTCAGAAAGAAACGTGTCTTTTTCACAGGAAATGCCGAGCCAAACTGGAAGCCCTCCCTGTAACTTGCCGCTTTTTCTAGCATGTATTTCACTAAAACACTGAATTGTAGTCACATAATGTTATGTTCCTACTTTTGCTCAAAACTTATTTTTAAATGAAAGCAACTAAGCAATACCCTAAAATCTTGAATTCAGGCTATAATCAAATATACCTTTAAACAATGTTTTATAATATACAAATCAGGACTTTGAAAATGTAACCTATCTTTCATTCATAAACACTCTAAAAGCTGTTTGATACAGTATGTTGGTAATGCGGTAAACCTAAACAGCCCTTAAATTTATTGTTTATAATGTGGTCTTATCGTTTGGGTCAGTAAGAGAACAAAAACTTTAGAATTATAAGTCATTTTTAGTGTTTTCCAATTAAGCGACCTTTTCTTTTTTTTGTTTTTTTGAGGCAGGGTCTCGCTCTGGTTCCCAGGCTGCAGTGCAGTGTGCCATAATCACGGCTCATTATAGCCTTAACCTCCCTGGCTCAAGCGATCCTCCCACTTCAGCCTACTGAGGACCTGGGACTACAGGTGCATGCCATCACACCTAATTTTTTGTTTTTATTTCTGTAGAGATGGCGTTTCGCTATGTTGCCCAGGCTGGTCTTGAACTCCTGGGCCTTGGCCTCCCAAAGTGCTGGGATTACGGGCATGAGTGACTGTACCTATCCTTAAGTGAGATTTTAAATGATTATCACTTGTAACCTGTTCTTTCCAAAATACAGACTTGCCCTCAACAAGAACACGTTTCTGGCTGACTCTGTGAGAAACAGTCTCGTCTGGAGAGTCTCTTTGCTAAGTTTCAGGTCTGTGGGGAGCCAGGAAGGACTTGATGGTGACAAAGGCACCAGGCCACATGCCAGGACCTCCCACAAGGAGGCGGCTTTGGTTAGCCTGTTCTGCTCCAGGCCAGCAGTGTGGGCAGTGGGTCAGGATCCCCAGCGTATGCTGGATGAGCTGGACGAGGTTTAGGTCCATGAATGAGCCTTCCCGGGGGTCTCACGCTTGCCTCACAGGGTGGGCAGTAGCCAACAGGAAGTTGACAACCCCTGAACATCTCTCTGCGACAAAATGGGCCCAAAAAAGAGAATCTTCAAGACAATGTGTGACACCTTCAGGCTGACTTAGCTCATGTATCAGAAAGGAGAGGAAATTTGAAAGGAAAGTTTGAAAAGGCGTTTTCCTGGTGCTGTGGAAGTACCAGCATGTCACTGAGTAACAGTGAGTGTTTTAATACTGCCGTTTTCAAATGACTCTCCTAAGCGTATAACTTTGGAATTACATTATTAACATCACTTTCTGTCTCTTTTACATTTAGGTCCTCTTTTACTGTCTCCCAGCAGGGTGAAAACAAGGTTAGACCATTCTCTATAAGCCAGCAAAGCAGAGAGGGCGACAGAATGATTCAGCTTAAGAATCACTGAAGCATTGGAAAGTTTTCCTATGTTTCAATTAAAATCTTCTCAGAGAACTATGGGTTCTTTTAAAAATACGTTTCTGATCATTGTCTTAAAATATCTAGATTATTGCAATTTCTTGTAATTTAGGAGGCCTCATGTTAGTTACTTTGGTCTTTCACTTGCAAAGCTGTACCATCTGACATTTTGGTACAGTTGTCCATTTTGTGGGTCAAGGTTAGTCTCGAATTTAGAAGATAAGAAGAATACTTACGGTTCCCCCCCACCTTGAATATTTTCATGAGTAAACACAGGACGCTGTGGCTGAAATGAAATGATTTTCAATGTAATCAATGTTTAAACTGTTACTAATTAAAAGATAATTTGGATAATGGCATGGTACTTTTCTTGACATTTAATATTTCCTGTTGTAAAAAACCAAGAGGAAGAAAAAAAAAAACACAAAGGGTTTCTGCAGGACTAATAATTAAAATATTTAAAGGGAGCTTTAAATTAAAGCAAAATAACCAAGGTCAAATGTTATGAACATGTCTACAATCTCATCTGCTCAAGCTTTAAGGAAAAGTCAGGGTTTAGTCCCACTGATTTTTCAAAGGCCAGGAATAGGGCAAGAACATAGACAGCAAACCACTAGAATAGGAAGTATAGACACCTTCATACAACCGTAGTCTCCAGCGTTTTCTCAAACAAGCAGAAAATAAACCACATTTAGGTTAACAGCAGAGTATCCACATTCATTCTTTCAACCTTTCCTTCACAGACGACATTCTCACACACAGTACACAGGAAATGTCAGTAAGCAGACATCCCATGCGACACTGGAATGAACATTCTCTGTTTTCAGTGTGAAGAAAACACATGCATTTTTAAAAAGAGAAAACAGAACTTTGGAATGCAACGAACAATATCCAGGTAACACGTAACATTTTACCTTCGAAGAGAAATACTGGTAGAAATTTCCAGTGCACTGAACTCTCAAAAGAGTTTCTTTTCTTTTTAAACTAAGCATCAAGACCAGTATCTGTAATAGATACTTATAATATTGGAAATGACAAGCCTTAGCATCCCATATACCCACATTAATATTTGAACGAATGAAAGTTAACACGTTTGTTGAATATATAAACTCTAATTTAGATTGACCACCTCAACTTTACCTTTTAGGGGAGAAATGCATACAAATCATTCATAACACACTTTAAAAGCATTTGCTTCTAAATGATAGCTACAGGGTAAAATCAGAATTTGCATGGCAATTATATAAGTGATGTTCGATGACTACTGATTAGCTGTGAGATCCATGTCCTTAGACATGGATTTCCATAGTTATGAGCGGATTCCTGATAGGCTGGAAATCTCTTCCTGCAAATGCCCCACTGGTCCAGGCTTGGATGGATAACTCTGAGGCTGCTTTTGGTCTATGAGTCTGTGATTTAGCCCTTCCTAAATTCTTTATCCATTCCCTTTCAATCCTACCTGTCTGTCTAGCATAAGGCTCAGTACTTACAGTACTAAAACTGTAAGCTTTGGCTCTGCTAACTGGAAACCTTCGTTAACAGTATTCTTAGAAACTTCACTCAACAGTCTGTGGATAGAATATTTAAAACCAGACTGAGTAAGAATGACCGGACACAAGTATGACTTAAGAGTGTGAAATAGTTTACTACTGTACATCAATAGAAGTCTACTAAAACTGTCTTTATTAAAATTAGAAGATATTCATATTTTAAGAAAAACGATGACTAGATAATCTTCCAGCCATCTTAAAGGTGATTTAATTCAAGATATTATTAAATCAATTGAAATATCTAAGCTGGTAATTTAAGTCATTGATAAGCCTATATCATATTACCTATTTCAAGTTCTCTTCCAATCCAACAGAACTTTATATATGTATAGAACTGTTACGCAGAAGTGAGATTTGTAGACATCAACTGCCATTAACACTATTTTGTAATCATTTTCCAGTGTTTTTCCCCCTTAGTCTTTCTCATTTTAAATGCCTGCAGAATAATGTTCTCCCACGCGTGTCCACGTATCATAGTTTTCTTTGTTTTGAAGTTGGAATTGGTCTAGTCTTTTTTCCCACTATCATAAATAGCAATGCTATACACATTGTTTATGCAAAGAGCTATTTTCTTCTTTTGAAGTACTCTTTAGAATATATTCTCAGGAGTAAAATTTCTGGCCTAAGAATATGCATTAAAGCCACATGATTTTGCAAATGTACATGTGAGTCACAGAAAAATACTGTATTCAAAAGCAACCTGAAAAGGTCTGATATGCCACACTTCATATCATACCCCGAGATAGCGAGTACTTTCCCAAAACAACGGCAGCACCATTCGCAGTGCATAATAGTTATAAATAAGAAAGTATTGGCCGGGCGGGGTGGCTCACGCCTGTAATCCCAGCACTTTGGGAGGCCGAGGCGGGTGGATCATGAAGTCAAGAGATCGAGACCATCCTGGTCAACATGGTGAAACCCCGTCTCTACTAAAAATACAAAAAATTAGCTGGGCGTGGTGGCGCGTGCCTGTAATCCCAGCTACTCAGGAGGCTGAGGCAGGAGAATTGCCTGAACCCAGGAGGCGGAGGTTGCGGTGAGCCGAGATTGCGCCATTGCACCCCAGCCTGGGTAACAAGAGCAAAACTCCGTCTTAAAAAAAAAAAAGTATTATTTCTTCTTCAGATAAAATGTTGCGTAAAATATATTTCATTATGCTCTAAAATTGGTGTCCCTGTTTTCACACATTTAAACCATTTTAATATTTTAAAATTGAGTCAGAGTTTCAACTTGTACATCACAGCATCTGATGCTTGGTATAACTGGTGATTTCATTTCACTGCTCTTGTTAAAATGTGAATACCACTTTAAAAATCAAGTTGTTCATGAATATAAAACAATCTACTTTTTTTTTTTTTTGAGACGGAGTTTCGCTCTCGTTACCCAGGCTGGAGTGCAATGGCACAATCTCGGCTCACCGCAACCTCCGCCTCCTGGGTTCAGGCAATTCTCCTGCCTCAGCCTCCTGAGTAGCTGGGATTACAGGCACGCACCACCACGCCCAGCTAATTTTTTGTATTTTTAGTAGTGACGGGGTTTCACCATGTTGACCAGGATGGTCTCGATCTCTCGTGATCCACCCGCCTCGGCCTCCCAAAGTGCTGGGATTACAGGCTTGAGCCACCGCGCCCGGCCTAAAACAATCTACTTTTAAAGTCCACACAATCCTTTTCGTTTTCATCACTGTGATTCTACTTAATTCCTTTAACTCGACCCGCCTCGTCAATCATTTAAATGAACTGTCTAATGGGGTGATTGCTGCCAGTGTGCAGCTCCCTGGATCCCACGTCCACGGCTGGGAAACCTATGTTTCTGCGCGTGGCAGCCAGCACCGTCTGGCTATTTTTTTTGAGACAGATTCTCATTCTGTCACCTGGCTGGAGTGCAATGGTGCGATCTCGTCTCACTGCAACCTCCGCCTCCTGGGTTCAAGCGATTCTCCTGCCTCAGTCTCCTGAGTAGCTGGGATTACAGGCACGCGCCACCATGCCCAGCTAATTTTTGTATTTTTTAGTAGAGACGGGATTTCACCATGTTGGCCAGGATGGTCTCAATCTCTTGACCTTGTGATCTGCCCACCTCGGCCTCCCAAAGTGCTGGGATTACAGGCTTGAGCCACCGCGCCCGGCCCCCGTCCTGGCTTCTACGTGTTTCCCAATATCTCGTTTCCCTTCCTTCGTATCTTCCAAACCCTGCCCCTCTTTTTACCCACAAATCATCAGTTTTCTATACTGTTCACATCCTGTGACCAGAATCAATCAAGACTTTTCTTAGCAGAGAAGTCGTGTGTGTCTTATAACGGCGAGTTTTAGAACTTTTCGAAGCTTACCTTTAACAAGAATCACCTCCATATTAATGTGGATAACTAGGAGACAGTTTTGAGGAAAGCTGTCTAATCACAGTCCTTGAATTAGTTTATTTTTAAAACATTTGACTAGTCGGGAATGAGTACCATGAACCGTTATTTGTGACGGATCATCTGTGTCTTTTTTTGTCTTGGGCATTAAGCACCATCTAACCTTGGGGCTGCATCTCGCCTTCCCTATCTCTGAAATCAATGAGTTGGACAAGATGCTGGTTAATCAGGTCCCCTCAGGGGTTCCATGAAGGATGTATATTTCCACAGACGTTTCCTCTGCTGTGTAAAGGTGTCCTCATCAGCTTTACACACATTTGTCAGACAGCCGTGACACTGACATTAATTGGTTAATTCTCATGTATCCCAGTCATGTAAAAAAAATAATGGTTACAATTCAACTCCATTTTGCAGGTTAGTAAACCAAAACCCAAAGATACTGGATAATTTCTTAATATGACAAATAGGTACAAAACAAAACAAAAGAAACAAGATGGTAATTTTGATGTGGGCTCCTTATTGCATGAACGTTTACTGTGATGGAATAGTTGGCCTAGCTTGGCTAAAGTCAGCCTCGGAATTTTGACCCTCAGGTAGGTGCTGATGCATCTGCACTCTGTTGCCACCTCGTGGTGAGCAGTGGCAGCAACAAGCTAGGAGTTTCTGCTTTATCCGCCCCTCTCTATCCAAGTTCCCAAGCCTGGATTAATGTTAAGAGTCTGTTATAAAGGCCACAGAGTGACGTGGAATAGATAGCCATCTATTTTTCCAACCACGTTCTTCCCTTCTCACATTTTATATTCTTGAGAAAGGATCCCTTGTAAACCAGCAGCATGTTTGGTCTGTGTCCAGTTCATTTCCATTTCTCATAACTTCTTAGCAGTTTTAAGATAAAAATAGAACAAGATACATTTGTGACATTCAGAGGGACTTACATGAACCGAGCATAGAAAGATGCCTTTCAACGGACACAATCACTGTGCTGGACGTTTATTTTGAGCAAGAATTATATTATGCTTATATTTCCTTAATAAATCTGAGGAGTAGACTAAGAGAAAATCCAATGAAGCATGATGCTGTTTGCATGGTATCATATATATATAATATATATATATTTTTTTCTGTAGCCTGAAATAAGTAATTTTTTTTCCTGTAGCTATCTTTTAATGTTGTCAAAAATAGATACAAAAGAGACAAGCTTTAATCACATGCTAATTTCCAAAGCTAGAACCGATCACAAGTTACTGTTCATAGAAAGCTGGTTTGAAATATCATGGAGTCTGTAACATCAGTAAAACATATCCTTTCCTGTCTTAGCTACAGTCTGTTGAAAAGCCATCGAATTTATCAAAGCTTCTGCAGTTATCTCTGGAGGATTAGCTATATTTACTATCAAAGAATTCTTAAATAAGGATTGCCCGTTACTTTAAATACTAATGCAGAAAAGTCTCTGAATGCAATATAAGCAGTGCTAAAGTGTTTTTGTCATTTTTTTCATAAAATATTAGTGGAAGTACTTGCAAACGAGAATTAGATGAAATTCTCCAGTAGCAATACCATGCTTATGTTTATGGGCTTATTTTTCCTTCTTAAATTATGAAGGTAAAACATAACTTTGCACAAATCTAAAAAATAGAATATGGTTCACGCACACACACGCATATAATCTGACATACAAATACATAATGTAAAAATCAGGTAAAAAAAATCTTAAGGGGAACCAAAGCATACCATCTCACGGACCCATAGGAAATTTATAGATGGGTCCTCTTAATTGTGAAAGCAGCTTATTTTTTGCCTCGACTCTCGAGGGCCATTCGGGAGAGTCTAAGAATCTCTACAAACTGGCATTCCCCTCTCTACGGCAACACAAAACTCTGCCTCAGCAACAAAATGAGAGCTTCTCATGCAATACAAAAAGCGCAAAGTGGCATAAATACAGAATAATATCTACTTTTTTTTTTTTAGAAATGAAAAACGAAGACTTCTTTGAAATCAAGCCCTTGAGAACATGAAATGCAGACCCATAGCTACTTGATGGACCAGCTAGGGTCGAGTCAGTGTCCACTAAAACAGAGATGGGGAAAGGAATCCTGACTTACATCTGGATGACTATTTCCAAACTCCTTGGCTGCATTCCTTAGAATTGATAGTAAGTAGGCTGGGCGCGGTGGCTCACGCCTGTAATCCCAGCACTTTGGGAGGCCGAGGTGGGTGGATGGTGAGGTCAAGAGATCGAGACCATCCTGGTCAACATGGTGAAACCCCGTCTCTACTAAAAATACAAAAAATTAGCTGGGCATGGTGGTGTGCGCCTGTAATCCCAGCTACTCAGGAGGCTGAGGCAGGAGAATTGCCTGAACCCAGGAGGCGGAGGTTGCAGTGAGCCGAGATCATGCCATTGCACTCCAGCCTGGGTAACAAGAGCGAAACTCCGTCTCAAAAAAAAAAAAAAAAAAAAGAATTGATAGTAAGTACCGTTTTGGGTCCATGTCTTTTAAAGTACGGTAGTTATTATCGAGCTAAGTAGCGAAGGGAAAGTAATTTGACCTTTGAGTTCAATCAAAGCTGGCAGGAAATGGGAAGTGGATCGAATGCAGAGCGCAGTACCGGGAGAAAGGGCGCACCCAGAGGATGGAGCGCACCTGACTAGAGCAACAGAAGACTTTAGACAAGAACCACGGATTTAAACAAATCCAAATTGAGTGACACAGAAGCAAACATGACTGGAAGTGTGTGAGTTTAGTACTGCATATGCTTGGCAACAGTTTTGTTCTTTGCAGGAGAGATGGGGACTACAAAGCAGTGATTTCGTGTAGATACATGAGACAGATGTGGACCGCAACGCACACGACACCCTTATTTAGAGTAGAGAATCTGACCATGTCTTTGTGGATTTGGGAAACCTCATGCACACCTAAAAGGGAAGCCCGTCACCAGGTGGTGACTTCATCTCCAGGGCATCTTCAGCCTTGCTTTGAGGCCAGTTCACAGCAAAGACAACAAAGGAAGAGCCGGCCCCTGAGAGGGGTGGTCAGGATGTCTGGCTCAAGGTGGGGGCATGCTGACCCTACCCTGTGGGAACTGCTGAGCCCTCTGACAGGCGAGCCGCACGATCTCCTAGACATCACTGGGCTGCGAGGAGGCTTACCCAGGACACATATCTCGCTTTTTAGGTCAGCCTGGAAAATCCATAAGAAGTTAGTTAGTTCTTCATCACACAGCCTTTAGGAGTTTTCTTGGGTCGCTTTTCTCCATGCACACACAGCATGCCACACGCCTGAACAACAGCAGGGCAGAGAGGGTTAACAGCTCCTCCAGCTGCTCATACAGTTTCCACAACACAGGCACCAGCCGCCATCTTAACACGGGACCCATGGGCACAGCAGAAAAAGGTTTGTAGAGGAAAGCTGGTATAAGGAAGAGGCCAAGAATATAGAAGAAATGTTATGTTTTTTTTTTTTTTCTTCAAGACAAAGTCTTGCTCTGTTACCCAGGAGGGAGTGCAATGGTGTGAGCTCAGCTCACTGCAACCTCCGTCCTCTGTGTACAAGCAATTCTCCTGTCTTGGCTTCCTGAGTAGCTGGGATTACAGGTGTGTGCCACTATGCCTGGTTAATTTTTGTATTTTTAGTAGAGACGGGGTTTCACCATGTTGATCAGGCTGGTCTTGAACTCTGACCCCAGGTGATCTGCCTGCCTCAGCCTCCCAAAGCACTGGGGTTACAGGTGTGAGCCACTGTGCCTGGCCAAGAAATGTTATGTCTTTAACAGAACGCTTAGCAATTGGGATCAACATGCTCTCAAGCCTGACCTGCTTCTATGTGCTTATTGAAGAGATGCAAGGTGAGATAGAGGAGAATTTGGCTTAATGCCCATCACATTTCATGGACTATGTCATACATTTTTGGGAGGCAAAATTTTCTAACAGAGAAGAAGAAAACCAGGCCTTTTTGGGGGAAAGCATGCTGAAATATAATGAAACACTGAGGTGCAGGCTTGACTGTGTTCGTGTTCTTTCAGAGTCAGATACTTCATATGACAATGAACAAGCTGACCTTGTGTGTGTGTGTGTGTGTGTGTGTGTGTGTGTGTGTGTGTGTTTCGTTTTCCTTCCAATAGCAGACAGCATCTGGCAAAGCACTGCCTGGAATTTGATCTGGCTTAAGAGAACTTTGGTGGGAATAAAACACGCTTAAATAAAAGCATGTGGTTTTCTCAACTCTCGTTTAGAAAAGGTTTCCTAATTCTCAGTAATGATTGCCCTCAAATCCCCAGCCTCTCGGGATGAAATGTGTTTGGCACTGTTGCTTACAAGGCTTCATGCTGTCCAAGTCCATTCTCTTCTTGGTCCTCAGCAACAGGACCAGGCTGTTGGGTAGGCATGTGGCCATTCTGGATAAAGATCCCACTTCCTGACTTGTAACTGCACGTGCTCATGTGATAAGCTGTGACAGACGGGGTACGTGCAGTTTCTGGGACATGGCCTTCAAGGGAGAAGGTGTCATCTCCCCTCTTTTCTCCTTCCTGCTGCTTCGTGTACAACAGGAAGGAGAAAAGAGGGGAGATGAAACTTTCTTCCTTGAGCAGTTCTTTTCTCTGCTGTGACCCATCACAGAAGCTTCTAAGAACGGTGATGAACCAACATCAGATGGAGCCTCCTGGGTTCTCTGATGACTGGAACCACCATCTCAGTCCTGGAGACGCTACATTTATGTGTAAGAGCAATGTATTTCTACCTTGTTTAAGCTATAGTTATTTTGAGTTTTCTGGGACTGCGCCTACCCCAGTCTTGACAAATACAGGGGTTCTATACATAGCAGAGCTCTTAGGGAAAATAACTCAGTTTAGCTGTTAGAGTGATATGGATAATAACAGCTGGAAAGACCACGTGAACCTATTAGAAACAATCAGGGCCTGATTTCACGTTGGAAACTACCCTAGGGATCCCTTTCTCATGGGAATGCTTTAGGGCGATGAGATTATCTGTGGGACCACAACCCCTGAGTTTCTTGGAAGAAACCCAAGAAAGAGCCTCTCACTCTCCTCAGAGAGCTTCCGCTGCAACGTCAGTCAGCATGCTGCATTGCAAAATAGTCTCTTGGATGGAAACGGAAGCTCAGCTTACAGAGGAGCTGAGATTTATACTATTTTTTTGTTTTGAAAAATCATTATTTTTAAAAACAAATGCTCAAAAGATGGGAAATATTGGGTTCAGATTTATACATCAAACATAATTTATGTATCAGTCATCTGTAATCTATAAAGTGGTAGTAACTTTTACGTTTATGGGAGATTTTGGGATTGCCTTTATTTTTATGGAGATTTTCAATGTCTTAGAAAACACTTTGAAAGAACAAAAGTGCATTGACTTAATGTAAGTTAACTAAACAGTGGTTTATGGGAGTTGGTAAAAATGCCAGTGATTTCATGCATGCTGTGCTCTGCCTATGAAAACACGAGGAAAAGTTGATTTTCTCTTTGCTTTCAGTGCTCGGTTATTTCTTTTCTTTACAATGATCATCAGCATTCTTGAAATGGAAGAAATGAAGAGGCTTTGGCCTCAGACTGACACAGTCTGTAACTGGGTCAGACACGGAATCTAACTGCAATGGCCTAAAACTTGGAGTTGATTCGATTTGTACTTAAATTTACAGGCACAAATAACTTCAGTGAATATATTCTTTCAGTGACTACAAAATAGACTTATAAGGTTTAAAAACACTCAGTGGGAGATTCAAAAATCAAGATTTGCTCCTACATAGGAGATAAAATTGAGAAAAACCACTTTGCTTTGCGGTAGTTATAAGTATTTCATGTAGTTACTAGTTATTGTGAAAATCTCCACTCTCTCATGCCATTTTGCAAACAATTGAAACCTGAAGAATGTATGAGAGGGATTTGGTTCTCACAGAACCACCTTTTTACATCCTGGTTTTGTCCTTATACGACAATGGTGCGTCCTCTATCTTTCTAAATTAGAGAACTCAGATTCTAAAGCTACTTAACCTCTTCCTGATTAAGCTTAAAGTCTGAAAAACCAGTAAAAAAAAGACAAGAAATAAATACCTTGGCCTTAAAAATAAAACCACAGAAGGAGGGGAAAAAAAGAGAAATTCTTAGCCTTAGGTTTCATATAAAGTGCCATTATTTAAAACATTTCTAATTATTTTTGCCAGCTAAGAAAAAAACCTCCAAGAGCAAAAAGCAATTGGTCTTTAAAGTGTTCCATTTTTTACAAAGTTCCTTTCACACCTAACTGGAGCACGTAGACCATGTCAGCGAATGAGTTTGGTGATTGTGATTTTGAGATTGTATAAATGGCACTTCCTAATGTAGAACCTTAGCTGTATCAGAGCCCTAAATTTTTACTTCTCTGCAGAGGCTCTCATTTCACATCGAAAAGATTGAATATGAGGGTGACTTATTATTTGAAGTCTGTCACCTGTTGTCTAGAGGAAAATGTTTCAGGATCATTCTAAACACAGAAGGAAAACATTTCTGTGATGGACTAATTTCATTCAGGCTGTGGTTGTCACTCAATCTCTCCAAGGCAAGTCATTCATTCTGTTAAGATAATTATTAAAACATGGTCTCTTTAGGTTAAATACCAGCAGAGCCGTCAGCCTGCAAGTCTCAGAGATGGATGCTTTGGGAACTGCTACAAAAGGTTGATCCTTCCCATATCCTCATGAATTTACTCTATTCATGGAAGAACAAGGCTTAAGACACTCAGTGCCAAAGACCGTCCTGTCTCCAGGCTCTGCTGAGCCTGCTGATGGGTGGGAGATGACGGCAGGCAGTGAGTCCACTGAGAGGGGATGGACAGGCACTGAGCTGGGACACCTTCGAATGTGATGGTTCCCGTGCTGAAGCTCAACTGAAAAAAATCCAATCATTCCTTTTCATTCTGATATGCATTTCAGTTCGTTTTCCCCCGCAGTCTGGGCACAGCTGCTATGCAGATGTGTCTTTTAAATGTTTGGTTAGAGGCCATGCTAAAGATGTTAACAGTCAGCAATTAGTATTTATATAACTTGTTAGGTCTCGTGAGAGGGCACAAACCTGAGAGCATACATCTTACTAAGTTCTTGAAGACATGCAACGGAGCACACTCAAGATGCAGGTACCTTTAATTTTGGTGGATTGATCTCCTGTTGATAAGAATGTTTAGGGAGGAGAGGAGGTGAGCAGGGCTGAGAAAGTGTAGAGTCCAGGTCAGGCACAGAGGCCAAGAGAGAATGAAATGGAGGGGAAGAAAGCAGGTGGCTGGGAAAGGGTGTGGCGGCTCGCTCTCCCGAAGAAAACGGTGGTGGCTTAAATATTGAGGAGAGACAGGACGTGATTAGGCTTGTGCCCAGAAAGAGGTTACAGAATATCCTCTAACCCCAAATCGTTTGAAAGTTACCAGTAACCCGGGAAGTTATATTTATGACACATTTTTTTTTGCTTTGAAAGCACTGTTCCTCTTTGATTGAAAGTCCTCAAGTGATCAGTATGATTTTTCAGATATGGGTGGCTGGAAATAGGAGCACCTATATTCCATACTTTTATAATATATTTCTATGTGGCTCCTTCTAAAAGTGAAGAAAAAAAGTGTTTAAAACCCTGAATGACTCTTTATAACTTGCTTGTATAGTAGGTCACCAGCTATAAATAGTCAGTGTGTCACAAAGCTGGGGAAGTCATGGCCCCCACGTGCAGGGTGTGAGCTGGTGCTGGGATGGGGCGGCCGGGGGCACTGCCTGCCAACAAAGCCACACATCTGATCATGTCTTAAAATGGATTGAATCGAAAGGAAAATTAGTTATTGAAATAATTGGTGTAGAGACAGGCTTGACTTATTGCAATAAGTATCTATCTGTTATTAAATAATGTGTTTGTTTTACACAAATGCAGGCATAGCCAGGTTATTTTGAAATAGAGGAACTAGGAAAGAATATGACTTGGATAGTGGCATACCATGAACCATGCTTTCTATTATTTCATAATTTCCATAATTGCCAGTAATTATACTTGCTTCTTAATTCACGGGATACATTTGAGGGATCAAGTTTCTTTCTTTCTTTCTTTTTCTTTTGAAATGGAGTTTTGCTCTTATTGCCCAGGATGGAGTGCAATGGCACAATTTTACTCACTGCTATCTCTCCCTCCCGGGTTCAAGCAGTGCTCCTCCCTCAGCCTCCTGTGTAGCTGGGATTACCTCTTGAGGCATCCAAGGCCACACCTGGCTAATTGTTGTATTTTTAGTAGAGATGGGGTTTCGCCATGTTGGTCAGGCTGGTCTTGAACTCCTGACCTCAGATGATCTGCCCGCCTTGGCCTCCCAAAGTGCTGGGATTACAGATGTGAGCCACCATGCCTGGCCTCAAGTTTCTTTTTTTTTCTGAGATGGAGTCTCACTCTGTCACCCAGGCTGGAGTGCAATGCTGCAATCTCTGCTCATTGCCTCATCCTCCTGAGTATCTGGGATCGCAGGCGCCTGCCACCATGTCTGGCTAGTTTTTGTATTTTTAGTAGCAATGAAGTTTCGCCATGTTGGCAAGGCTTATTTCAAGCTCCTAACCTCAAGTGATCTCCTGGCCTCAGCTTCCCAAAGTGCTGGCATTGCAGGCTTGCTTTTTGTTTTAAGAGAGAGATTTGCAAGGTAAAGTTTCCAGGTATTTCTTGCCTTTGCTGATTAAGACCATTGTTCAAGGTTCTTTGTAACGTGAAGATACAGTACCCATTTTTTTTTTTTTTTTTTTTTTTTTGAGATGGAGTTTCGCTCTTGTTACCCAGGCTGGGGTGCAATGGCGCGATCTCAGCTCACCGCAACCTCTGCCTCCTGGGTTCAGGCAATTCTCCTGCCTCAGCCTCCTGAGTAGCTGGGATTACAGGCACGCGCCACCATGCCCAGCTAATTTTTTTGTATTTTTAGTAGAGACGGGGTTTCACCATGTTGACTGGGAGGGTCTCGATCTCTTGACCTCGTGATCCACCCGCCTCGGCCTCTCAAAGTGCTGGGATTACAGGCGTGAGCCACCGCGCCCGGCCAGTACCCAATTCTTAAGTAGTCAACATGAAGTCAACATAAAGAGGATGACTTCTTTAGAAAATCCTAAGGGGACAGATTGCTCTTTTTCTGTTTTCTTTATTATTATCAGTGTTATTTTTGAAAAGTGCCATTATACCAAAGGTATGGTGTATAGTTTTCTCATCTTGGAATAGGACACATTTCTGTGCTTCAGTTTCCTCCTCTCTAAAGTGGGGGTGACAATATCACGCACCTCACTGGGATGAAAGATGTAGAGTTCTTAGAACACTGTCTGATACTCAGTAAGACTTCACCATTAGCTGTCATTATTAATATTGGAAGATTACAAAGACTACGTAAATTACACATAATTTTAAAATATAAGTTCATGGTCCTAAAGAAATAATGGGATAATGGAATTATATTGCATATTTACATCATTTAATTAAATGTGGTGTGTTTTGATATACCCACTCCTCCCCCAGCTTACATAGTGTTTGTGTTTTTTGTTTAAAAAGCCCTGTTAGATGGTATCAAAACAGATATTTATTAACATGATTAACTGTAATAGCTGATCATAGTAAGGCCGGTTAGTTCTTCAGTAATTAGGCAAAATTAAAATACCTCATTACTGGTTTCTGCTGCATTGCTGTCCTCCTTGGGGATCCTAGAATCTGGGGGGGTGGCTAAGGAGTCAGGTTTCTCCTCTTCCTCCTCCTCTTCAATGTGCAGGTGTAGGGTCCCCTCTGTCCCATTGTGGCCACACCACCAGGCATCTCCTTCCTGAGGTCCTGGCCCCCTCTGGATGCCTGACACCATCCCCTCATAGGCGGCCTCATCTTCCTCTCCGATGACGGGAAGGGGTGTGGGCAAGGAACCCACGCTGGGGCATGCAGAGGCCACAGACTTATCCCCTAGGACTTCTGGCACCTTCTTAGGGTCTGAAAAGCCCCTTCTCATTTTTCTCAAATCTGCAAATTTGCTTTGAGTTGTGGTTATGGGATCCCGAAATCGCTCTGCATGGTAAGGCTGGCCTGCGCCAGCGGAAGGGGACTCAGCCGGCGCAGACGCTGGAGGCAACGGGAGGGGGACAGCAGGTTCCTCCTTAATTTCCAGGCTGAGGTCCTCTAGGATGTTTGGTTCGGCTTGGTCAGCTGACAAGGCTAAAGCACCAAGCTTCTCCAATTCATCCAAGAAGTTGTCCAGGGAAGGAGGTGGTGTTGGGGCCAAAGTGTTTGCTGGTGGACATGAGGCTGTCAGGGACACCCGGCCCTGGGCAGTTCCCCAGAGAGCTCCTTTATGTGAGCCAGGTGAGGCTGTGTGGGTGGGAGGAGGGGCTGGTTCACTGGAAGCCAGCTTGGAAATGAGCACGGATTATGAAGTTAAGAAAAAATAAAGTAAGAAAATAATAATGCATCAAAACACAGAGATGAAGGAGTGCAGAAAAGGTGTGCTGGCGAATATGAAATAATTTCATGTTAAAGACATTTAGAAGACATCTAGATTTAAATTTAAATACATAAAATCATTTACCTTCATTAGAGAAGTTGCTTCAACAATGAAACCCTACTAGCTTTGGAAGGGGCCTTGAATGTCAAACGAGATGGAGATGATACAGAGATTACAAGAACAGTAAAACCTAAGAGACTGAACAGCTCACGCATTTTAAACTGTGTTGAAAAGATATTACAGGTTTCCAGGTACCGATTTAGTAGTGTAAATGACTCCAAAGAAATGTAATGTGGAATGAAAACCAAGAGTTAAAGCTTTCTCATTTCCTGAATTTGTGTAACGCTCTTCCTTTCTGACAGTACGGCCCAGTCTTTTAGACCCTGACAATGCTCCCGCTTAGGCTTGCAAGGCGATTAGAACCTATGAATAAAGCATTTTAGACCGTGATATGTTAACAGATTTCTAAGTGAACACATCCTGAAAAGTACGTTTCGAAGACAGGAACCCATGATCAGAATGAAGCTCGGCTTACGTAACTAAAAAAATCCAAAGTAAATGTTTACACAGAAAGAGCCCATCTGATGCGAACGCAGACAAGACTACTGTTTACGGCTCCCGTTCTTTTTCAAAGCTTGACATTTGTGGAAATCAGAGGAGGTATGATTTATGAAGCGTAATCTCCTGAAGTAAAACTATACTTCTGCATATGTGGTATTAGCGAGGCATTGTGGATATAGTAAACACAACAATAAATTTAAAATTTTATGGAAAGCCATTAAAAGTAGTTCTAGTAAATATATACACCCCACATATGCCCATAAAAGTTAAAAAACGTAGCTCTAGAAGTACCATTTACCAACATTGGAGTACATTGATGTACCTTTGCTGGACTAGAGAAAATGCCACCTGCTCTGTGCATAAAGGCCTCGAGAAAGGGACCTTTCACTTTACATCTTTCCAGGTAGATGCCTTTGATTTGGAAAGAAGAAAGTCTCCAAAAAGATTCTGGAGACACATTTTCCACCTGAGTGTTTAGGATAACACTTTACACAGGAGGCCGGGCGCGGTGGCTCACGCCTGTAATCCCAGCACTTTGGGAGGCCGAGGCGGGTGGATCACGAGGTTAAGAGATCGAGACCATCCTGGCCAACATGGGGAAACTCTGTCTCTACTAAAAAATACAAAAATTAGCTGGGCGTGGTGGCACACACCTGTCGTCCCAGCTACTCAGGAGACTGAGGCAGGAGAATTGCTTGAACCCGGGAGGCAGAGGTTGCAGTGAGCAGAGATCGCGCCACTGCGCTATAGCCTGGCACCTGGCAACAGAGCAAGACTCTGTCTCAAAAAAAAAAAAAAATTTGGAAAGTCTGTGAAATATATAATAATTTAAAATAATCAAGTTTCCACTTTCACTTTCTATTATACCAGGAATATTATGTGGATGAGAAAGAAAGCTCTAAATTCCCTTGTCATTACTGCCACCAGCACCACTGCTGTCTCCTGCTGCTGCTACTCTAGTGCTCTCACCATCACAGTCACCAAAACACAGATTTTCAGGCTAAACTGGTTAGCTTTACGATGGACTTGCTTACACCAAAGCCAAGTGAGGCATCCTGGCATAACTATATCACCAAACTATACCTATAAGACAAAAGCCATACAATTGATTTCCAGAAGCACTAGAGTTGGATTCCAAAGCACGAAAAGCAGAAATATCAGAAAGAATATCAACTTACATTTTAGTCTCCCCTAAGATGAAGACAGTATGTCAAGAAATGTGATTTAAATGTGTCACCAGAATAACTTATCAATTATTAATGAGCTCTCTCTGTAAATATCAGTTAGACAATAGGTTCTATAGCATATATATTTTGAATGTCATCATTTAGAAATACATCATATTTATCTTTCTAAAAATGATTGTCACCACTAAGAAGTTTTCTTCATTAAGCTTGTGACATCACAGCATGGGTTACCAGTTGGGATAAAACCATTAAGTATTTATTTCAAATTACAGACATAAGCTTCTCAACATATTCTTTCCCCAGCAGTGAGCAATAAAACACTAGTTATTAGTGAAATTTTCTATTTAAGAATCTGGTATTATTTTAGAAACTTGAAAATATATCCAATTACATTTAAATTAGATTCACATCAAAGACTGGAATTGAAAATATTGTATTGCCATTGTTAATTAGGACATATGAATAATTTGCTAGATGTTTAATGAGCTTTTGTAGATTCATGCTTTTCCTTCCTCATTTTATTTGAAGGTACAGTTGCTTTAAAATTTCTGTGATAGTTTTTTAAAGATGACTGAATGGTGGATAAGACAAATATATGCATGGAGATTCTTATCTTTTCTCTTTATCAGTAGAAAATACTGCAGGAAAGATGCTAAGCTCTGGTAATGAAGTAAACATACTTAAGAAGATTCTGGAAACCTTTTTGGCTTGGTCAGCTGACATGGTTTAGCTTTCTACGTCTCAGCCTTGATCTCAAGTAAAATCATTAATCAATTATGCAACTGAATACATTTTTTAAATGTTGGGAAGTACTTACAACATTTTAAGTAAGTAATTAGCAATTTTTATTCTTAGAAGTTAATGAGAAATAAATCCTTAAATGCCATTCATAAAAAGAATATAATTCAGCAGAAAAATAAGAAAAAAATTCACATTGTGAGTATAGACTGTCAAACGGCCTTTTTATGAATTCACCAATTAAGGAAGCAAAGTCTCTTTTAAGTTACATATTGAGAATGATAATCATCTTTATCCCGCTCAAGTGAAACAGTAGAACTGGCATATACCTGCCCTAAAACTAATAAAATAAACTTGAGGACTTATAATAACCTACAACATTTTCATTCAGGCTAATACACAAATCGACTTATCAACTCGAATTCAAAGTTTTGGCTCCAGCTCACTTTTCACATAAAAAGCTTGTATGGATTTGTGAACCTAATAACCATGTGTTCTTGTGATGTACCATTTTGAGATACACATAGTGTTTTATGTTGTGTGTATTTCTATTTCAAAGTATAAATCATAATTGTATATATGTATATATACTTATATTTATTTATATCTAGATCATATTATATACATAAAATTTACATATATACAAATCAAGCTTTAGAAAAAACTGTTTTAGAAAACCTTTATGTACATAGGAGTACAGATATATGTCATGCAAGACTTTCTGATATTATTGTTTGTCTTTCTCTTTTGATATTTTAACTTGAAAATGAAATGAGCAAAATTAATCATGATATCTTTATGCCAGCACCTGTTTGAGAAAAATTGTTATATTTACCGATGTGGCACTCACACACGCAGAAACGTAGTATGTAAATCTCTTTCTCTGCAATAGATGTGCTATTCTAATCTAATATCCCCAAATCACATAGCGCTTGTCTTACTTGGAGCTCCCAATATTTCATGAACATGACAGAGTATCTTCTTACCTTATTTGAGCTCAGACTGTGAATCCTATCACTAGAATAGCTGTGGGGCATTGGAGGGTCGGGGTAATCCTCAGCACCTTTCGTGTTCTTCTTGACGACTTCCACATAGGAAACAGGGAAGATGCCTTGTCTGTTGGCTCCTGGGATTTTACCTTCATACCAGTTTTGATCAACTCTTTTAAGAAGAATAACTCTATCCCCCTGTTGTGAATATGAGAAAAATGCGTTAGAAGTAGAGACAGAATAACATGAAAATATAATTGTCAGTGTTTTCTATGAAACGGTAGCTTTCCTTTTGGGAAAGTTTTGTATCTTCAGTTTTTGTTGGCCAGGCTGGTCTCGAACTCCTGCAAATAAGGTCCCAGTGCTTACCAGAAAAATACACATTATCCACATATATGGAATTAAATTGTCCATTCAGGACATCAGACTCTTCCTGAAGGATGCTTGGTTAAGGTGAACGGGTTTATACTTGCTCATGCTGGTATCGTGTGAAATTATTTGTCTAAGTTATTTCAAAAAGCAGAATAGTGTAACAGGTAATGTCTCAATGACAATAGCACTATATCATCTCTGGCACATTCGGTGCCTTGGCCTTCCTATAGGAAGAGCTTCAGAAAGGGCACCACACCTCGCTGTGAGAGTGTGTCTAAAATGGGTCACAGAAAACGCTTCTAGAAGGGATAACATCGAATGGCACACCGCTTTCTTTTTTTATTTTTATTTTTGAGAAGGAGTCTCACTGTGTCGCCCAGGCTGGAGTGCAGTAGCACTATCTTGGCTCACTGCAACCTCCACCTCCTGGTTTCAAGCAATTCTTCCCGAGTAGCTGGGATTACAGGCACTCACCACCACACTCAGCTAATTTCTGTATTTTAATAGAGATGGAGGTTTCACCATGTTGGCCAGGCTGGTCTCGAACTCCTGACCTCAAATGATCTGACCGCCTCAGCCTCCCAAAGTGCTGGGTTTGCAGGCATGAGCCACCGTGCCTGGCTCATTTTCTTCTCTAATCTACATGCACTGAGTAGTGACAGAGTGAACTAAAGGGATGGGGGAAAGACAGCACCCTAGAATATCAGTAGCTGTGACAAGGCTGGCATTCCCCTGGCCTTCACCCTGACAATGTGAACCCAGCGTTCATCTGAGTAGTTGGTGACCATCCCACACTTGTCATTAAATATTTGACTAGAACCCTTGGCTTTCACATAATAGAACTTTCTACCATCACTATTCCTTCCACCTGCCGTGACCGAGCCGATGCCACACAACTCAGTTTAAACTTCAACTCAAAACTACATGCGTCCTAGAAATAGGCAGGCAAGTTGGTGCTACGTGGCAAAAACCGCAGCTGCATTCAGCAGGTGATACAGAAGTGTGGGCAGCTGTGCCTGCCTGTGTGACGGAGCTGAAACACTCGTCAGTCTCACTCTGATGGGGCGCTCTTGTTCAGGGGCTACCCAAGAACGTCCACCTTGAGTAGCACTTGAAAGTTCTCTTTCTGTCAAAATGCGGCATGGTTGATTTTGTGTGCTTCACCACCACAGAGCAGAACGTGCTGAAGAAAAGTCGGTCTCCCCAAATGTTAAAATTGCACTGCTTTCTAATACACTGAGAACAGGCAGGTGCTAGGCTGTGTGTGAGCTGTCAGATGCCTCGGCGAAGCCTTTCTGTAAAGCGTGGAACCGGAGACAGAGTTCATGTCGTGCTCTGTGGTTCTCACGCTGGCTGGTGCAGCCCAGAGGGTAGAAAAGAAGGAGTCGGCTGACGATCCAGAATTAGGACTGAAAGGAGAGAATGAGACAAGGTTCTGCCAGGACCGGAACAAACCAGAACTATGGGATTGCCCTTCGCTGTACCCGGCTAAGGAATTCACTAGTAGGCATGGGAGGTCCTAGAACCACTCTAAGTGCTCCTGTCTCATGTGCATTGTGTGCAGACCGGCGGTTACCTCAAACAAATATATGCCATGTTTAGAAAGCAATAAAAAGAGTTCATTTCTCATTCTCAGTGATGGAAAGTAGCAGGTTAAAAGAGTCTTTTGATATGATTAAGAAGAGATGCTAGGATTGGATGGGGTGCCAGAGAAATCTGGGTCAATCATGAGGAAGAGCCAGGAAGGAGCACCGCACAGGCAGTTCCTCAGGTGGCTCCCCCGAGAGGAAGGGTCTTCATCACTTAGGACCATTCCCACATTCCAAGACAGAGGAAGACAAGGATTGGAATATCTTGTTTAAAAAAGATTGGAAAATAAGGCAGCAAAACAATATTTTGAGGCGTATCAGCGTGCCCTTTCCTTCTGGTGCTCCCGAATGCATAACTCCCTGATTTTCGGCCTCCCAGACTAAGCCACAGAGGGAGGCCCCTAGAGAAGCCTGGTGTCCCTCTGGGAACTCCTCTGAAAGTACACAGGGACCAGCAGGGAACTGTGACTCCGGGCTACCTTAAGGAGTCCTTTGCAGAAAACAGGAAAAACACAAAGATGTCTAAAGAAAAAGAGAACCTATCTTAGTTTTGAAGATATACAGCCTTTTCAAATGCACTGACAGAAACAAACAAACAAATAAAACACAGCCGGGCTACCTTTCTGAGTGACAGCTCCACGTTGGTGTCTGCGCTGAAGTTGTATTTGGCTATAGCTTCTCCGATCTCCCCAGGCTGGGCTGGCGGAGGCGGTCTTGCCGGCTGTGCTTTCTCAGGAGGCGTGAGTTTCTATGAAGGAAATAGTCATTTATTCTCAAACCTGTGGTGACCTTTGAAACACCCACCATCCAACAGAGAAAGGGAGAGGACTCACCTCTACGTATGAGATTGGGAAAATGCCCACTCTTCCATGGTGTTCTCCCTCATACCAATTTTGATCAATTTTCCTGAGAATGTAGACAGTATCTCCTTTCTTAAAAGACAACTCCCTGGAAGAGACACGTTTAAATGGTTTTCTCGTGACGTACGGCAGTGATTCCCAACATCACCGCCCTCACTAGATCTGCATTTGTTTGGGAAATACACTTACAATATTAAAGAATCCAGTCTAAGATTGAGTTGACTCCAGTTAGATGAGAATTATCCCTGCAAATTCTTAGAATGGACCTTATATCATAGAAATGATTTCAGATGGACTTGTAACAAGTATAGGCCGGGCGCAGTGGCTCACGCCTGTAATCCAGCACTTTGGGAGGTCAAGAGATCGAGACCATCCTGGCCAACATGGTGAAACCCCTTCTCTACTAAAAATACAAAAATTAGCTGGGTGCGATGGCGTGCACCTTATAGTCCCAGCTACTCGGGAGGCTGAGGCAGGAGAATTGCTTGAACCCGGGTGGAGGTTGCAGTGAGTTGAGATTGAGCCACTGCACTGCAGCCTGGCACCTGGCGACAGAGCAAGACTGTCTCAAAAACAAAACAAGACAAAACCAAACAAAAGAGTAAGTATAAACATCCCATTGGATACAAATCACAGACAGATTAATATGAAGTTGTAAGGAGGGGACAGACTCTTGCGACTTTATCATTAGTTCATAGAAGAGGCATTTTGAAGCTTGGCAAAATGCATGAAAGTTCTGCTCGGATTTTTTTTTTTTGTCCTGAAGCTAGTCAGCTAGTTACTATCGCCTCTGCCCCCTTTGACGTACTAAAGCTTCCATGAAGGAAAACAAATATCATGTAGCCTCAGAATAGAAGTACCAACAGCAGAACAGATTTTATTTGTGGGTCTTTGAAGCTGGTTGACAGGTATTTAAATAGAATATCTTGATAAGGAATTTATTTTGTGTATCTTACACTTTAAATTTTCAGTGGGGCACAAAGAATGTGTTTTAAGTGCAAAGACGTGTGCCAGTGTTTGTCGTCTATCTTCTCTTTATAAAAAATAAAAATAGTTTCAAGACATTCACTATATTTTGCCATTTTGGCTGTTTCTAAGAAAGTTGTAGGTATATTTGATTTGGAGTTTATAATTTTGAATTATAATGACATTATTCGTTTTGAATAATTAATGCCCAAACTTATCACCTTCCCTACATCCATTTTTCCTGGATTAATTATCCAGCTGATTAGATTGGTTCATTATTTTGCTTCCACAGTTATTCCTGGACAGAGGGCAATTAATGTATCTTCTCCAAGAGCATCACTTTGCAACACACCTGCCTTCCCACTCTAGAATCTTCTGCATCGTTTCATTAGAATTTTCATTTTTAAAATTTTTAAAAAAAATTTTCGTTCAGAATTTTTAGTTGGACCATTTATTAGTATAGACCATATGAGAGAGAGAGATTTATACCTGCTGGAGAACACTTCGCATTGATTTAAAGAATTATTGAAAAAATGGTGGCATAGTAAAAGAATGACCACACATTTAGGAGTGCTAAAATCTCCACAATTGAAAATGTGTTAAATTTTCAGTAACCCTAAAGACAAAATCGATTCACAGAATTTCACATTCAAGTACAGTGCTTCCTTCCTTTCTGTGAATGCCTGATGTGAGAAACAGACAGCAGAGCAAAACAAGATACTTAATGTTCACAGCACAACAGTGTCATTCATACCAGATATGTTTTGTTTCTGGAAATGAGACTAGCTTTTAAAAATATATATGTACGTATGAATTACAGGCAATCGATTTTTTTAAAAATTATGTACAGAACTCTTGTATTTGTATAGGCTTGCATTTACAATTCTGAAGTCATTAAGACACAGGAAGGTAGTTGTTGCTGAAACTCTTAATTTTCAAAACTGTGTCCTTCTCATCTCAGATCAAGAATTTTAAAGTCCCATTTGCTTTTTTCCCTTTATTGATTGATGGATTGATGGACTGATTGAGACAGAGTCTCTGTCCCCCAGGCTGGAGTGCAGTGGTGATCTTGGCTCATGAGAACCTCCGTCTCCCAGGTTCAAGTGATTTTCTGCTTCAGCCTCCTAAATAGCTGGGATTACAGGCATGTGCCACCACACCTGGCTAATTTTTATATTTTTAGTAGAGATGGGGTTTCGCCATGTTGGCCAGGCTGGTCTTGAACTCCTGACCTCAAGTGATTCGCCTGCCTTGGTCTCCCAAAGTGCTGGGATTACAGGCATGAGCCACCATGCCTGGCCGCTTGTTTTTTATTAAGACTTCTCAGAAGACACTGTGAGCCTTGGGTGGACACCCTTCCTACTTCATATCCCCTGCCATTCCTCAGGGGTTTATATATTTAAGAAAGCTATGGATTGATTTTTACAAAGAGGAAATGAAACATGTGCTCCATAACATTATTTCATAAAACTGACAGGCACTGTACAAATTGTCACACCATATCCAAAGGACAGTCGTTAGGACCAGAGTGCGGCAGAAGGAAAGCATCTTATTTCTGCAATCCAAAAAAAAGATGTAAGCTTTTCTTCAGGCCAGATTTAAGCCACGTTCACATCTTAATTTCTAAATAGGATTTTTCTTATCTATTTCATTACCAAATTATGAATGATTTATTTTTATATGTCTTCTGCCAGAGACAGTTTCTGGAACTATTCATTCATATTATTTGCATTTTTATGAATAAATTATTTTGGTTATAATATATTCAGTGTAAAATCATATAATAATTTAATGACAATTTACGATGAATTCAATATCTGTCTTGAATTCTACTGGAGACCAAAGTTTCTTAAAGGTCTGTGCCCATGGCCACAAAAAGGCTGGGCAACTCCCTCTTATTTAAGTTTATTTATGTGCTTTCTCAACCACATGCTTATCCGATGAACAAAGAATAAAGGCAAAAGAAATGTTGCAATTCAGGAGTGTGAAAACACCAACACCCAAAGACCACAGGAGGAAACTTTGCTCAGAATCTCTGAAGTTTGCTGGCTGAGGTTGGAGACTTTGACATAGAAATCTCTGTACTAAGTTCTTGTCATCAACCCACAAACTATGCTTGGGATGTTTGGATAAACACATGTTATCAAATTCCCCCAGCTAGTGTTAATTACTCCCCAATACTTTATTTATTTATTAATTCATTCTTTTTCTGAGACAGAGTCCTGCTCCGTTGGCAGGCTAGAGTGCAGTGGCACAATCTCAGCTTTCAGCAACAACTACCTCCCAGGCTCAAGCAATCCTCTCGCCTCAGCCTCCTGACAGCTGGGACTATACAGGTGCACGCCCCCATGGCTGGCTAATTTCTGTATTTTTTTGTAGAGATGTGGTTTTGCCATGTTGACCAGGCTGGTTTTGAACTCCTGGGCTCAAGCAATCCACTGCCTTGGCCTCCCAAAGTGCTGGGATTACAGGCATGAGGCACTGTACCTGGCCCTCAATACTTTATTAATTCGTTATTGACACAAACATTCTAAAAACAAATATTCTTAATTTCTTTTGGTTTTTCCTATCCTTTAGAACTCATTGGGTTCTACCTTACATGTTCAATATAATTTAAAACTCAGTATTTCTCAACCAAACTTAAAATGAAAGTAAAATTACCCCATCCCAAGTAATTCTGAAGGAAGCATTTAACAAGAGTAGATTGCTGCATTGGGAATTAGACCTGGTTTTAACACATCCCATTGCATTGTTTATCTCTTAAAGTATTACTAACGTATTTAAAGCCACCTCAGATCATATGGTGAATATTTATCTTACTTACTTAGATGTCTGAGCCTTAAAATCATAAACAGCTTTTGCAGGCAATTTCTAAAAAGGAAGATAAACAATTAATTTGAATTTTCTACAGGGAAGTAGTTTCGTGTGCCTTAAAGAAAAAGGAAACCTCAAGAAATGATTAAACATATGTAATGTAAATGCTATATGCAATTTATAAATAAATCCATTCATTCCTCATTTAGATATTTAAGCTATAACAGGAATATAATAGATGGCTTATTCAGCATCATATTTTATCTCAGGGACTAAGATAGATGAATGTTATAATGAGAGAATAAAATGCCCACAGAGATTGCATCCTAGGCATCATTTTGGCTGTTACAAAGGCTTTTCCTGGGATAAATGTGAAGGGTCAATGGCTCTATATTCTATGGAGATTGACACCACTCCTTCTGAACCATAATAAAAGGATAAGATGTCATAAAGGAAGTCATCATTACCTTCATTAGACACTTATTAACATATTAGCAAAAAATATTAGCTCAATTATCACTGGGAGGTTGGTTAGCAGGCAGAAGTATAGGTGTGATCATCTTGCATTCCCTGGAGGGTTCGAGCATTTTTCAACACTCTGTCAACCTGTCACTCTTTTAGTTGTGATGTGATGAGACACGTGCCCATCCTCAACCTTTGGGGCCCACGAATCTCCCTGAGGCACGCTGTACCCTATAGCTAGCTAGACCAGCTCTTCCTTCCCCACCAACCGACAGTCCCTTCACTCCATTCTCTTTCCCCATGACTCTGGTGAACTTCAGGGATCCTGGACCATTTCTAACTTCTCTGGGGATCCCACAGGCACTGGACTACATCAGACACCTGTAAGATCCTTCTGGAGTGGCTGCCAGTCCGTGTCCAGCTTTTAGTTTCTATCCAACCCTGAAAAGTGCTGATCCAAGGCAGTTTGAGCAAGAGCTGTAGCTCCGTCTCAGCACCCTGGACAAAACAGTCAGTCGGCACGTATTTCCCAGGGGCAGTGTCCTGAGAACTGGGTTGGTTAGTAGCTTTTCCCAGGAAGCTTCCACAACAGAAGTAAGCCAGCAAAAATTATGTAGGCTCTGGATTGATTTGCACCACAGCTGACATCAGGCTTTCTCCTAGACCAGTGGGACAAGAAATTATACAGAGGAAACCTCTTCCCTCCGTGAGGTGCCCTAACTCAGGACACTGTTCGGTCACGACACTTACGTTCATGGGCATCAGGTCAAGACTCAGAGAGGTCTCATGGCCAAAACTCGACCACCACTAGGGAAGACCCCAAGCTAGGGTCAGGGTTGCTATGCTCGGGCTTCAAGGAAATTGTTTCTAGTTTCTCAGTATTTTCACATTTTCTGTTTGAGTTCTTCACTGCTTGGGGATAATTTTTGGCTGGCAAGTTGCTGCCTCAAGTGTGTTGCTGTAAAAGACTCCAACGCTATTAAATTAACTACCTCTTTTTCTGGAGTTCCTCTTCTTTCCCTTGGCCCACTTCTTCCCATGTCAGTCAAAGTGGATGAGTAACTTCTAGGGGACTCACGGTCTATTGGAAAGAACAGAGCCAGTCATGGTGAGTATCCACTCAATTACAAGCCAACTTGTTCCGCCATTTTCCCTGGTGGCAACTATTTTTTCCCCAAATTTGGAGAGACACCATTATCAAACACATGGGTATAAAACTCATAGGTCGGTATAAAATTGCGAAACAAGACACAAAACAAGAGCATTTCAAAAGGAAAAATATATGAAGTTGCGGAAGTGTTATAATTGTATAAAATGTATAAAATTCTATATGAATAAAATTGCTGCCTTGCTGATTAATTCTATTGCCATGCTCAGTATAGGCAATTCACAGTTAGAGGGATTTTTGATATAAAAAATTTTCAAAACTTTCTGTTTTCATACCTTTGCCTCTAATTTATAATTACTATTGTAAGGTTTATAGAGGATGGAGAATTTGAAAATAGCAACAATGTGTAGAAAAAGAAACATTTTATGGAACAATTTAAGACTTTAGTGATGAAAAAGAAAGAGACAAAACCAAAGAAAGTATGAGGATGACGGGAGTGTGGTTGTGAACATTCTCCTTCCCTGTTGCTCTCCCCTCCTCTCTCTCTCTCTTTTTAAATACTTACTGAATCTTAAAATGCCATACTATTTATCTATGGCCTTCCTTTGTGCCCAGATGATAAACACCTTATCAGAAAGTAAAGAAACAAAGGGATATTGTTTCCTTTTACTCCAAGAAAAAAAGGGATAAACAGAAAGCATCATGCCAATTGCCAAATTGCTTATGAAATATTGAATTATTTTTATCTTAAAGCAAAGCATAATCACATTACAAAATTATAATTGCATGTAGTTCTTAATAGTATCTCATACTTTTTGCACTTGTGTAACTTATATATGGAACTGTAACTAGACATTAAAAATATTCCAGCAGTCCATGTTAAGCAATTTTATCAGTATAACTGGGTCAATATTTGTCAATTTTTAAAATCCCTTTAAGAAATCTAGTTATCCTAACAAGAATCATTAAAAATAAAATGTATTTTATCTATCTATGAAAGAATTTAAAGTACTGATTCATCATAAGAAAACACCGTTTGAGGGTTTTGACTACATTGATGACATAAAAGAATTACAAGTGGGATATCAGTTGCATGAAATATAAGGGTAAATGTCTAACTCTGTGAGTTGTGAATTACAAAGCTAGTTTCAGGAAGGTAACATGGCACAAATGTTTCTGGTAAAACTTAACCAGTTGTTTTCATTCATGCCAGAAGATTATGTACAGTATGTTTTTTATTCTAAGTGAATATATTTTTATAATCATAGGGCCTCATAAAGATCATACATTTTAAGTAACTTTTTCTAACCCATGAAATATAAGCTATTTTTCACTTGGGTGAAACACAATTAAAAAGTAAACATTTTATTGAAAAGCAAAATACTTTTAAATGCATTTCAAAGCTGTTTGAAGTCATGTTTCAAAAATGTACTCTTATCTGCACATAAAAGTGAGAGATGATTATATTGAGATTGAAAAACTGGAGAAGGTTGCTAATTTATTAAAAAATTGGATTCTGACACATTTCAATTAGTGAAAGTTTTCAGTGGTAGAAATTGATTTTTTAAATTCTAATTTATTATTTTGAAGCATGTTGCTTCATTCTAAGTGCAAGCAAAGATAAATATGTGTATAGTATAGCACAAGTAAAAACAGATACATACTAAGTACATTTGTACAAGTTGATGAACAATTGAGCCATATTTGACACTAATATGAAATCTGAATTTGTCTTCTTTTGTCTGAGATTATATTTTATACAATAACTTCTGAAGTATTAGGGATTTCAGTCCCTTTTCTGTCACCTACTGTTTGCGTGACCTTGGACAAATTTCTTATCCTCTCCAGGCCCAACTTCCAAAGTGAAAAATGGTTCTAGTTTCAGCCTGGAATGTTCATTTCAGCCTCTTAAAATTTATATAGTGAACAGATGTGCTCTAAGAATTAGAGAAAAAAATTGGGTAAAAACATTAAAACACCCTGATAAGTTACATAAATCTCCAAAATAGTCCTCTGCACGTTCACTGCTATTTATCCTTGTGTTGCCATTTTAAGGTTATCTATGGAAACAGAGTTGAGAGTCACCTTTAGCCTGAATAGTCTAATTCGTATTTCATTACAGGATTGTTTTAGCAGAAATAGAAAGTGAATGAATTAAGTAATGGAAAAGAGAAAATGAATACACTAAACGGTGAAAACGGGACTTTTATATATACAGCTTAAAGATACATTCACAAAAATTGTATTGCAATTGTGTCCTCGAAATGGAGAAAGCTATCAAACAAGCCCTAACTTCTTGGTGTCCATCAATCACTAATCGCATTTTTCAGTTTTGCTTCCTGAATGTTTTGATATAGTATCTTCTATAGAGAATGTCAGCAAATTATGTATTAATTGAATGAATATAAAGTTTTAAAGTTAATGTGAACATTTTAAAAAGGCTCTTTGTGAAACTATACGTTTTGATTCACGTTACAACGTAATTTATTGTCTCAGTGTGACTAATGGTTGTTTCAACCCTAACACTAAGCTACCAAATGGCCTTCCCTCTCGTTTTTGAGAGCAAATTTTTGTGAATTGATGATCACTTTAAGCCACACATCAAGCCCGACTATCACGTGGGCAAATGAGACATATTCACACGTTTGCACAAGTTTCTGCTTCACAACACATAACGATGCCAAATGGTCTCCCAGCTCGGGAGTGATGAGATGTTGGAATGGCAAATGAAAGAGCTGGAGGGCGGGTCTCTGAACCCCAAGGAAAAAGAAAGAAAAGCTCATCCACCTTGGAGGGTGCCGCCACGGTCTTGGGGGTGGTAGCTGTTGCTGGCCGTGTCCACGTCTTGGAAAGAGGCACTGAGAGGCGTTCTCCCGCCATCGTTCTGGTAGGGTGGGCAATGGATAGCACCATCGGGGGGCAGCGGGTGGAGAGGCAGGTGCAGGGGGCTCCTCCTCAGCACGCTCAGGGACGAGTTCCTCTCGGGGACATCGGGCAGCAGCTCGCTGATGAGGCGGTGCAAGATGCTGTTGTCGGGCAAGCTCCCCCTCTTCTTCTCAGCTTTGATCTGGTCACAGATGTCTTTAAGGGCAGAGTCGAGAGCCTCAAACACGGACGCCTTGCATTTCGCCTTCTCAGTCTGTTTCTTAGGAGCCGAATTTCTTTTCCTCCGGAAAGGCACAGGACTGACTAGAAAAGCGAGTTTGGAAAGGCCGGGGTCCATCTCTGGCCTTCTGGGCTCCTCCGTGTTTTCGTGTCTGGCCCTTTCGTGTTTCAGCATCGTGGTAAATCGCGTGTAGGAGGCCGGGCACCTGCCTTTGCAGGAGCTGATGAGGTGCCGGTGGTGGTGGTGATGGTGGTGGTGGTGATGGTGGTGGTGGCTGGATCCGTAAAAGCTTTCAGAGGACGTGAAGGAAAAGTGATCGAGGTCGCTCTCGCTGCAGAACGATGACCCCTCCACGTGGATGTAGTCGCTGTGGTCAGACACGACCCCGTCCTGGTCGCTGTCGGAAAACTCCACGTGGGCTCTGGGCTGCTCGTGGCTGGTGACCTCGATGTGAATGGGCACCAGCGCGTTCGACGCGCAGCCTCGCGGGGCCGGAGCGGGGCGCCCGCCTTCATCTTCGTCCTCCAGCAAATACTCGATGGAAAATCGCCTCTTGGGACACAAGCCGTTTCGTGGCGGTTCTAGGGTCACGGGAGAGAGCGCGTCATCCCCTAAGTTGGGCATGGATTTGGATTTCTGAATCAGCTTTTCGAATTCGGAAATGCGCGTGGGCACCATGTCCCGGGGCACCTCCTCCGTGGAGGACTGGCTCCACGCGTGCCCCAGGCCCTTGGGCTGCTGCTCGTTCTCATACTGCAGGATCCTGGACTTCACGGAGCAGATCACCTCGGAATTCATCAGATCCTTGCGGTTAATGCGGTGCATTTTCTTGTACATTTTCAGGAACCCCGGGGCGTTGTGGGCTGACCGGTGTCTGATCCTCGATCTGCCGTTACTGCGAACCTCCTGGATGTAGGGGGACCCCCAGGTGATGGCGCAGCTCCCTTTGGAGTCCTTGTCACATAACAGGGAGCCCATGCTTTCTGACTTGATTTTCGGGTCCGGGAAGCTATCGCAGTCATCATTTAGGAGATCGTCACAGCTACGGGATTTGATTTTGGGAGAAACGGTTTCTTCCGTGCTGCTCCAGATTTCTGCGTTTTGCCGGGCCATTTGCCAGCCATTCTTGAAAGTAATGGCCCTTGGTGAGTCCCGAGGGACGTCCAAGAGCTGTCTGTAAGTGCTACAGTAATCTAACTCACTTGGGGGGTTGCCGTCGAGCCCTGAGTAACTGCAAAGGGATGGACACATTTTGCTATCATCCCCACCTTTTAATCCAGAGCAGCGTGGTAGAAGAGAGACATTTGGAGAAGTTAAAAGGTTCACAAAGAGAGGAGAGCATGTCAGTAAGCATCAGACAGCACAGCAAGGAGAAAGCAGTTAGTGTGTTTTAATCTAGAGGCCGCTTGTTAGTACATGTAGCTTCAACGCTAGAAAAAAAGGTCTAATTCTAAAGCGAGCTGATACGTTTTCAATGAATGTAGCTTTCCGGAGAGAGCTGACAAAATCATGTATAAGAAGTAACTGATGCAAATACGCCTACTTCTTTTGCGTAATCCATACATCTTTCTGATAATATTGTTTGCCAAAAACACAATAGAACCTTTTCAGCTGATAGCATGATCTGGTAGTAATTTAAAGGTTACAAACTTAATGAACCTAACAGGGCCAGAATTGGACTCTCATTTGATTCATAATGATACATAGGTAAAGAGAGGTTCATAAATTTACATTTAGTTAATACTCTCATAACTATACCAAATAATTTTTATGAGTTTTGGATTTTAAAAGCTATAAGGCAAAGTATTCAACAAAATTGCAAAATCGAAATGCTGTGAACTATTGCTGCTAATCCTTTTCCAAGAAAAAAATAGCTAACGCTCTTTAAACAAACTAATTTACCTCTTTAATTACTCTGCCTTTAACCTCTTGTTAGGTACACAGTTCTCGTGGGAAACTGAATATAATGCAAAACTTTCTTCAGAGGTACATACATGATGCTTTTTTTGGGGGGAAGAGTTTTTAAAAAAAATCATTTGCAATTTGATAATACAGATCCACATTTGGCCTGAGTTTTGAATAGCTACGGAAATGTTCCTTTGCTTTGCTGAGTTAACTAATAAATGAGAAGCCAAATTATATCTAACGGGATATTTTCTTCTTAGAAATAAAATGTAATGGAGGAAAATATCTCTATTCAATACTCATACCCTCCGATGTTCCATAAATTCTTTAAAAGCAGAGAAGCACATTAAATAGATACGTAGTGTCTAGGAAAGGAGGTTGATTTAACACTCCCTGTGATAAAACAAACATCTGAATTTATCAGAATCCTTTTAACTTTTGGGTAGTATCCAAGAGCAATGAGTCACTGGCATTTCATGACCTGCTTGTTACATTAAGATACTCATTTGAATAACTGAGTTGGATCTGATAAGGCATCTCTGGTTCTCAGAGGAAGGGTGTGATGGATGCGGCTCACACACTCTGAACCATCAGCTGATACAGCTTTACAAGGCCTTTAAAAGGCTAGGCCTCCACCTACTCTGAGTCCAATCATCATGACCAGAATATCTTTTGCACACAAATCAGCTACCTCTTTTTTTTTTTTTTTTTGAGACGGAGTTTCACTCTTGTTACCCAGGCTGGAGTGCAATGGTGCGATCTCGGCTCACTGCAACCTCCGCCTCCTGGGTTCAGGCAATTCTCCTGCCTCAGCCTCCTGAGTAGCTGGGATTACAGGCACGCGCCACCGTGCCCAGCTAATTTTTGTATTTTTAGTAGAGACGGGGTTTCACCATGGTCTCGATCTCTTGACCTTGTGATCCACCCGCCTCGGCCTCCCAAAGTGCTGGGATTACAGGCTTGAGCCACCGCGCCCGTGGCAATGGTTTTAGCGCCTATAGTTGATATGCGTAGCCAAATTGGTCTGGTTTTATGGAAACCTATGTCAGAGCTCAATTTCTTCACACATTTCAAAATCCCTTTCTCTTCTGTTTCAATGCCAAGATATTAGAGGAGATTGTGGGGTCCCAAGTTTGGTAAAGCCCTAACCAGGTCCCTGTGGGTGCTGGTTCAATCCTCACTCTCCATCTCGGCAATATTCCTGTCCTCAAGGAAGGCCTCTAAATGGTCTTCCAGAAACCTGAAGGAGTGACTTACTCCTTTCAACAGTGACCTTCCCACATTTGCAGAGAGGAGACAGGTCATCCAGAAAAAAGGCTTGGAGATTCCTGAACTCCATAATTGTGGCTTGGGACCAGTGAGTCCTGACTGTGAACTGTTGTGAACTGACGACTGTGCTACATGACAGGATGTGGATGCCCCACTGCTCATATGAAGGTGGCTCAAAATATACAGCAAATGGCTAAAGAAATTAATAGATTGGAATTTCAAAAAAAATCTAGAACTGAATAATTAAAAAAAACCTTCCAAACCAATGTATATTTTAGGTAACAATTTCCTCTGTTGCTGCTTGTAATTTCTATCCTATAAATCTGACTAATCTCTTAGTGGCAGAAACATTAGAAAATTTTGACTATATGTCAGTGTTTACAATGGCATCTCTTCATAGCCTGATGATGCACTATTTGATAGTTTCAATTTGTTTAAAAAGTGACCTATTTGGGGAAAAGGAGCATTAGCAGATGCTAGTCAGAGTTCTTCAAGCAACGTAAGTGGCTCGCCAGCTTGAGTCAGTGTGGGTGGGAAGAAAGCTACTGTTCTAAATCTATGTTTTACTCCAGACACTAGATGGGAGCTGGCCCAGGCCGCTGTCACTGGGCCAGCTTTCAGGCAGTGCTCGAGGCTAAAACGTAAACTAGTAAATTGTTGTGTTTTCATCTACTATTTCTCACCTTTTGCTCTCGATGGGGAAGAAGGAGAAGAACTAGTGAAAGACTTTGTAAGGGTGGTGCTCGATCCGGGGAGGTCTGCTCGGCCGGGGCTGGTCCTTTGATCTCCCAGGCCCCGTGGTGGACCCACCGCAGGCTCGCTCTTCCTCCGTTTCCTGAAGTCACTGGCTGAGCTTGCAGAACTGAAAGAAGGAGCAGCATCTGTTTGATTGCCAGTGGAGAAGGGCAAGGCGTGCACCAGGAAAACCAGTGGCATGTGCTAGTGACAATGGCATGACTCTTCAACCTCTACCCCCAAAACCGCATTGCTAGGAACTCATCCCTTGACATTCAACATGATTTCTCTAGAAGGATCTTTTAAAAAATCAATAGACTTTATTATTTGTTTTGAGGTGGCTTCTGGCTCCATCACCGAGGTGCAATCACAGCTCACTGCAGCCCCAAACTCCTGGGCTCAAGGGATACCCCCGTCTCAACCTCCTGAGTAGCTGGGACCACAGGTGTGCACCACCATGCCTGGCTATTTTTTAAAAATTTTTCTTTATATAGAGACAGAGTCTCACTATGTTGTCCAGGCTGGTTTCAAACTCCTGAGCTCAAGTGATCCTCCAGCCTCAGTCTCCTGAAGTGTCGGGACTGCGGGCATGAGACATTGTGCCCAGCTGACTTGATTTTTTTAGAGAAGTTTTAGGCTTGCAGAAATGTTGATTGGAAAGTGTAGAGAGTTTTCGTATAGTCCCTTCCCTCTTGCACAGTTTCCCTTATCATTCACATATTCTGTCAGGGGGTACATTGTTACAATTGATGCATCTACCCTGACACATCCTCACCCCAAGTCCATAATTTACATTTGAGTTCACGTTTTGTTTTAAAGATTTTATAGATTTTGAGAAATGTATAATGACGTGTGTCCATCATTAATGTGTCAATCATATAAAATTTTTACTGCCATAAAAAGCTGTTCTCCAGCTTCTCCTCCCGCTCATCCTGGCCCCACCCCACCACTCATCTTCCACTGCCTCCACAGTTCTGCCTTTTCACCATGCCCAGTTGGTATCATGCAGAATGTGGCCTCTCAGATTGGATTCCTTCACTCAGTAATGCACTTTTAAGGTTCTTCCATGTATTTTTGTCACTCAGTAGTGGATTTTGTTGTATTGCTGAGTCACATTCTATTACATGGATGCGCCACAGTTTAACCATTCACCTATTGAAGGACATCTTGGTTGCTTTCAAGTTCTAGCAATTATAAATAATGCTGCTAAAAATACCAGCTGCTGGTTTTTGTGTGAACATGTTTTTAAACATCATTGAAAGTCAACATTCTCCTATAGCGTAATATGTTGTGATTGAGAATTCAGTGTTATTATTTTTATCCTGTGTCTTTTCTCTATAAAGTAGAGTTCTAACAACACGAATGTATCCAGAGGGCATATCAAATGCAGGAAAGAGCTGAAAAAAAAAAAGACATCAAGAGAGGCAAACTTCTCTCACCTCAAGAGCTGCCTGCAGCTTGTCCTTTCATCTTAGCTTTAGAAAGCCTTATATTAAAATTCCAACATTTTCTATTTAAATAATGAATGAAGGCTGAACATGATTGCTCATGTCTGTAATCAAGTACTTTGGGAGGCCAAGGCTGGAGGATGGCTCAAGGTTAGGAGTTTGAGAGCAGCCTGGGCAACTTAGTGAGACCCTATCTCTACAGAAAATAACAACGTTAGCCAGTAGTGCCGTGTGCCCGTAGTCCCAGCTATTCAGGAGGCTGAGGTGAGAGGGTGGTTGAGCCTAGGAGTTCAAGGCTGCAGTGAGCCACGATTGCACCACAGCACTCCAGCTTGGGCAACAGAGCAAGCCCTGTCTCATCAATCAATCAATCAATTGATCAATCAGTACCAGTAATCTGGTCATCAAATTAACTATTAAAGATTCCTTCCCCCAGTTACATAAAATAGTCTAGAAAGCGGGGAATTTCTGTCATGGTTTTGAGTTTGAGTTTGAATGTGGCTCCATTCAAACAGTAGTGAATGGAGCCACATATGACACACGAACAGTAGTGAATGGAGCCACATATGACACATGAACAGTAGTGAATGGAGCCACATATGACACATGAACAGTAGTGAATGGAGCCACATATGACACACGAACAGTAGTGAATGGAGTCACATATGACAGTGTACTGTGCATGAAATCACTGGATTCTTAGACAAGACCTGTGTAGGTGACAATGATGACAGCAACTGTCACCTGACAGCAAGAGCAGCAACCCCAGCTCCTCCGGGGCCCAGCAGAATGCCACGTGCTTGACTTACATTTTTGTCTTTTTAGCCCACACAGCAAACCTTTGGGGTATGTGCTGTGTCTCAGTTTTACAAATGGTAAAGCGAACACATGTGCCTGGATGTGCGGAAGAGGAGAGGCGGACCTCAGAACTGGTCGGTCCTCTCCGGAGAGGATGCTGCATCTCCTAGACCTGTTTTTTGCTGTGACTGTCCTGTCATGTGAGGGTCTGTGTGTCTTTACGGCAATCTTTAGATCAGATTAAAACTCTAAAATTCAAGTGTTTTAGGTGCACAGATAGGAGCACAAGATAAAAAGAAGGGGTTTGAGGGATCCTTTCTCAGGGTTGTTACTGCATCAGACACCCAGTTTACGAGGGACCCGATTCACAAGGAAATCTACATAGACAGGTAAATTAATGCTACTAAAGAAGTATTTGTTACTTATGGTACAACATGGCTGGGAGTTTGTATTATTCAATATTGCTATTGAACTATGTCTGAATTTTGTAATATTTTGAAGTAAGTGTGATATTTAAAGCTAACAGAACTTACCCCAAGCGAACTCTGATGGAAGTTAGGCCTAGCGGTTACGAGCTCTCTCTGCTCAATTTTGTTTTTTTCTCTCTCCTTGCCAGCTGTGTAAACGTGGCAAGTTACTGAGCCTAGGTGTCACTTTCCTCAGAACTAAAGTGGGGACAACAGGATTTAACTATAGTATCGTCTTAGGACTGAGTATGTTTTGTACCTACGCCTGGCATATGGTGAACCGTCATGTACTGGGAGTATTAATAAAAGCATTTCTGATTTGTGTGGTCAGAGTATAACTATGTGTATAACACTATATATTTTTTCAAATATGTTATTATAATTTTCTAATTATAATACTTTACAACACTGAAAATTAGTTGCTTATAATTCCCATCTAAAGAAAAGGAAACTGGGTAGTGAGGGAAGAGAAGGATTCCTCAGTCTGGGAAGGAATTTATAATGAGTTCACTAATTTTTTTGGAAATTCTTGAAATGATTGTATCCGCATCACAGATGCAGAAGCAAAATAAAACAGCTTCATGAGGCATGACATTCACATGAAAGTGACTGATACGTAATACGCATTACGAGTTCACGGAACCATTTATTGTTGAAAAGAAACCATTGCTGTAGACTATCCTGCTCCAGCATGATGAGATTCTTACCTCATGGGTCTCTCCAGGCTTCTGTCTATGGAGGACTGATACAAGGAGGCCTGTTAAGACAGGATAATATTCGCGTGAAAAATTCTACCGTGGCCAAATTTTGTTCACTTGTCAACATTAAATTAGGTATCCTAAAAAGAATATTACGAAAGTCGAGGTCTAAAGTAACATTCATTATGGCTATACAAATGTCTTCCCAAAGAGATCTCATGCAACCTGATTTCGCTTTGGACCTATTTGCTTTCTCTTCTGATATGATGCCTTGCATTTCTCTGTGTAGCTCAAATTATCCACGACCCAAGCCTTGCACGGGGGGAAATTCAGGAATACTGAAATAAGAGCTAAAGTTTTCTCCAACCTCAACTTCAGAATCTTACCTCTTCATTGTAAATAGAAATGTCCTTCATAAAGGACTGGTTTGATGTTTAAAAAACTTTGCAGCCATCATTCAATCCTTAGAAAGCATCGTATTTTAACGTTTTGTGATTGTCGTTGCCAAGTATTGTCTTTAAAACATAACATGTAAACAGAACTTACGCGTCATTCATTTGTCAACACAGACATGAGATTTAAATAAAACCCACAGAATGTGAAGTGAAGAAATTAAGTACTTGTTATTTCAATCAGGTAAATACTTTATACCTTTACAATTAGGCAACTTCAGGGTTAGTTTAAAATAAATGAGCTAATGAATCAAAATATAACTTCAAAAGCGGACTTTAAAAATGTTCCCTCATTCTGAATAATGCACTGAAATAGACAGTAAGCAAAAAGGATAATATGAATTTTTCATTTTCCATGGCATCTACCGGGATGATTGCTAAAACATCTAAAAGGCAAGAGAGGATACTAGGCTACCAAGTGTTGGAGGTGACAATGTGGAACGATGTCCAGAAAGTATAGGGAGATGGCCGGCCATGGTGGCTCACCCCTCTAATCCCAGCACTTTGGGAAGCCAAAGCTGGTGGATCACCTGTGGTCAGGAGTTCAAGACCAGCCTGACCAACATGGTGAAACCCAGTCTCTACTAAATACAAAAAATTAGCCAGGCATGGTGATGCATTCCTGTAATCCCAGATACTTGGGAGGCTGAGCCAAGAGAGTCACTTGAGTCCTGGGTGCGGAGGTTGCAGTGAGTTGAGATTGTACCATTGCACTTTAGCCTGGGCGACGAGAGTAAAACCCCGTCTCAGAAAAAAAAAAAAAAAAAAAAAAGAAGAAAGAAGCATAGGGAGATGTATACCAAGTATACATAGTTTTGGCTTTGCTCATATTTGATGATCAATTCATCACAGAAAAACTTTGGTTAAAGAATTGGAGTTCTAGTTTAAAAACAGTTGTCTGTGTGAAAGCTTAAAAATGTCAGCCAGAAAGGCAAGATTTGACAAATGTTGTCGTAAGTTGCTATAATCTAGAAACAAATTATCAGAATATTAAAAATCTACTTAGTGGAAATTAAATCTCACTTTATAAACAACTTATATAACTCAGTTTTCTATTAATTTGTGAATTAGCCCCAATTAATCAATTAAAACATTAGTATACAATTTTGCAATTCTTTCTGTATATGAGTACAACGTCCCTTTTGTATAACTTATTCTTCTATTAACTAATAATTTAATTCTATCTTACTAAATGAAAATTGAATCTTGCCTAGAAACAAAAACATCTCTGTGTAAGAATATTCCCCACCCTCCTTTTAGACAGAAAAAGCAGATTCTTATATTTTTAGTTCCTAGAAAATTTTAGATTCCTAGGTTCTCAACAGATATAAAATTAGGAGAAAATTTGGTTTTCTACTCTGATAAGTTTACAGGATTATTTTACTTTGCTGAGCTCTGAATCAGACATTGGGAAGGTGGAAAATAGACACTAAATATGAAAGAAAGCAAACAAGTCAACAAATAAAATCAGACAGTTACATTATAATTAAGAAATATTAATTCTACGTGTTTGCAGAAGAGCAACACTAGAGAGCCTGAGAGCTTTGCGGTCTGTGCAGATCATGGCTTTCATGGGACATCTGAACACACAGCTGATCGCCAAAAAGTGTCAAGTTCAGAACACTCTTAGATCACCCTACAGTGATCAGAAAATTTGCATCGTCAACTTATAATGAGCTTAAACAATATTGTAATGTAAAAGAAAACATAGTGTAAGAACAGACTGTGTTTTAGAGTTAGGCTAAGAAACGACCGTTTCTCCTTGTACTGCTTCCTACATCCGGAATAAACTAAAACCATTTTTGTGGTTTTTTATACACTCAGAGAAAGTTCAGTATTAATTTATAACAGTAAAAAGTCTAGATTGGTGACTAAGAGAAAACCTTGTACAATAATTACAAGAAGGGTACTCATCCCAGAATGAAAATTATCTCCAGAAAAGAGGTTACAAATTTTACCAATTGTGAGCTTCTGAGTATTTACACATTACCATTATTTTAATACACTTAGAAGGTCAATTTAGTGAAGAACAGACGCTGAATCACTCTTTCTGGTAAGTAACTATGAGATTAAATTTTGCTGAAATGTCCTTAACTGTTCTTCATTAATGCTAATTTTCTGGTTATGTATTAAAAACTATGTTATTCCTGGTATATACAAGGCAGTTGATAAATGGTAGCTAAGGTAATGTCTAATCAATTAGTTTTTTAATCAGAAATGTTTGATAACAAAAGGTTATTAAAGACAAAACCAGATACCTTAAGATAATATACTTTCTTACATTCTGAAAAACTATAATGTGAAATTAATAATATAGTTAACATATGCTGTTAGAATCATACAACACCTCCTTCCCAATCCCAGAGATAATTGGTGAGTAGATAGATCAACTACCGGCAAAATGCTTTTCATGTGTTTTTTGCCACTATCCTCGCATTATAGAATGCATAGAATTAAGTTCCTACTATTTTTATGCCTAAGAATTACTGTGTAATATTAATTATCAGAACTCATTTCACAGAAATTAAATAGAAATTAAATTCAATAGAAATTCAATAGAAATTAAATTAAATAGAAATTAAATTCAATAGAAATTAACAATTGTAATATAAAAGAAATAGCACTGAAATGAAGGTTAAGAGGTTTTTTTTCCCACCACTGTGTGATTTTGGACTTATTTCTTAAAATTATTGTAGTCTACTTTTTTTAACTGAAAAATGAGTGAGTTGGACGTGATGCACTCTAAATTCCATTTCAGTTATCTATGAACCAACTATTTTAAAACACACTAGAAATATCTGAGAAAAATATCTGACCACATTGAATTTCAAAATAAATTCTTGGGTTGTTCATATGTTGAAATGAGACTGCAGATATTAAGGTAACATAACATACAGAATAGAACTCCTTGTTTTATTTGATTTTCTTCTGCTTATATGCCTGTCTGCTTGGCTATAAAACATAAGCCTTTAGAAATGACTGAATTCAATCACCTAGAATGTTCCTGGTTACTCTATTTTTTATTAAATATATAAATATTTTGATCACTTCTCAGTTTTAACACATGCTCTGATACTTACCACAGGTAAATAATTTGAAACTGCAAATTGACACTAGAAATTTGCATATTTCCTTGAGATTCTATACCTGCAATTCCAGTGGTCACCACTATGTGTCAGTAGTACCTCCAACAATATAAATGTTCTGCTAGTTTTGTTTTCCAGTTGCACATATTTGAGACTTTTAATGAAAATAAGATATTTATTGTGTTATAGTATTCACTTAAGACCACAGAGCAACTGCTGTGCAAAAACCAGTGTATTTACTTTGTTCCCTTGCTAGTTGCTTCTAAGAGTTCCTTGCAAAGACGCTTTTGTATAGCTGATGGCTGGCAAAACAGTGCCGTTTTTGCTTCTGTCTTCTAATGAGTCATGTAACTACTTTCTAAAGTAATTTTCTAATTTTCTTTAGAGAGTAGGGTAACACACTTTTGACTCTAGATTATTTTTGCCTATTTCATACTCTCTTTGATTCAAATAAAAATGTACATTAGCTGCCATAATTTTTTCAACTAGCTGATTATTATAGGCTTTTTAGCAGAGATTGCAGAAGCACTGGATTTTATATGCCAGTGATAATTTGTTATAGTGGCCGGTGGGATTACAGTGTGGAGAAGGAGTAGCAATGTCTGTCATGGGTAGGAGACAGGGAAGTTGTGATACACAAGTTCCAGGTATTTGCCAGCCCTATTCTCGACTGATAATACAATATGCAAGTTGTATTTAGGAAAATGAAAGAATAAAAATAAATTTTAGAAATGGGTGGGACACAGGCATCTGATCATCCACACTCCAAGCGCTGTAAGAGAATGGTTCTAAGAAGCCTTCTAATAGTATTTTACTCAGTCTAATAAAGACAGGTGGTTAATACATGCAATAAGGCTATAATACTTTTGATTTTCTATTTTCACACTGCTGAATATCAGAACTACATAGAACTACATAGCATAGTATAACTAGAAGTTGCAGTGGGAGTGATCCTTCACCCAGATTCAGAGATAGCCGACAACTCTGGCATAATTAACGTCCAGGCAATGATATTGGATGCAACGTAGTGATGCAGAGATAGATGTTTTCAAAAATAGCTTACACACTGCAGAGAATCATAGAACACAGATGCGCGGAATCACAGCCGCAGCCTCTAAGAAAGAGAGAATCATGTGTTTTTACCTCATTGAAAACACCAGAAGAATGATCTTGAACATAGTCCAGAGGCTTTTTAGGAGGCTGGGTGTAGATGCACCACAGAAGCAGAAGTGTAGGGATGGAATGGAGGAGAGTCAATGGCAGCAAGAATGAACATGTGGAAAAGGTGACAACAGTTAGAAATTGAGTGCTGACGGCATCGGCTGCACACACAGAATGACACGAATGGAGCAAAACGGGGAAGCTGGGAGGGAGTGTGCCACGAACACACTCAAGCACTTGGAACATTTGCTAGTGTTCAATTAGCATATTTATAAACTCATTTGTCAAATTTAATTAGCACTCCCAGTCTCTGGCCACAGAGGAATGCAAGGTGTATTAAAGGAGCAGTGGGTGGCATGCTGGTGAGTTTCCACGTGTGGCTGAAAATGATTACGGAAGAGCTGATAGTTTAGGCTCAGTACAGAAACCGGATAGCACTATATGCTTTCTTTTTAGAATTTATTTTACTTTATTTTTTTGAGACAGGGTCTCACTCTGTCACCCAGGCTGGAGTGCAATCTCGGCTCACTGCAACCTCCGCCACCTGAGTTCAAGCGATTCTCCCACCTCAGCCTCCTGAGTAGCTGGGATTACAGGCGCATGCCACCATGCCCGGCTAATTTTTGTATTTTTAGTAGAGACGGGGTTTCACCATGTTGGCCAGGCTGGTCTCGAACTCCTGACCTCAAGTGATCCTCCTGCCTTGGCCTCCCATAGTGCTGGGATTATAGGCGTGAGCCACCACGCCTGGCCGTCCCTAAAAACTTTCTGACCAATAGTAACAAAACATATAAAATAGAGCTAGAGAATGTTTTTCCTTGAAATAAAATACATTTCTGTTAACACTAAGATACAAATGAGGAAAAAAATGAGAGAAAACATTCCTCCTATGAGATAATAAAAATCCTATGAAAAACTATTTGGTTTATATTCACTTACAGTCACGTTTGATTCAGTTCAATGAGCTACCTTGAATCTAACCAGGTCTCCTTTGCAGTTCAATGGACAAAAGGGACTACCATCACCAACCAGTAAACCATATATGATCAATATACAGGTATATAAATCAGCATATGGTATAGAAACGCTTATATTCTGATTTCTAAAAAAACTACTATCGGTATAATTGGTATGTCATTTAAGAGTCTAGAACTCATAAAACTGTTTGTAACTGACACACATCAAATGCACTGCTGTTGGTGGAGGCAGTTCTCAATCAGGTAAGTTGTTAATGAAACCTCCACTTGACTCTTTATCCAAAACAGGCTAAGCAATAAGGCCCAACCTCAAGGCTTCCTCTGGTGGGAGTCTGGGGATTAGAGAAGTGTGATAGCTTTTACTAGTAAGTCAGGAAATCAAGATCCACAGGGTTTCCTGATTTTTGTCCTTCCTCATAGCCCCAGTGGTAAACTGGGTACAGTCACGTGTTGCATAAGGACATTTCAGTCAATGATGCACCCCACATATGATGACAGTCCCATAAGGTTACAATACTGTTTTTACCGTGCCTTCTCTATGTTTGGATATGTTTAGGTACACAAATACCACTGCATTACAGTCACCTAACGTATGGAGTGCAGTAACCTGCTGTACACCTTTGTAGCCCAGGAGCAACAGGGCATACCGCACAGCTGAGGCCTATAGCAGGCTCTAGCATCTGGGTTTGTGTGAGGACTGCACGATGTCTGCACAATGGCAAGTTCACCTGATGACAGATTCTCAGAACCCATGCACGTTGTTAAGCAACACGTGACTGTATTTTATAGTGGGATTACTCTGGCAGTATATTATAGGAAGAGCTGCCCAGAGATTTGTTTTTTTCCTTTGACAGGCTCTGGGTTTAACTTCCTACTCTGTTATTTACTATTCTGGGCAAACTACTTAACCCCTCTGGTCCCCATTTTCTTCTAATTGGGGAGGACATCAGGAGGACTCAAGGAGATAATGAAGACGGAGCCCAGCACTCTCCAGGTGCCTGATGACTGCTTAGCAAACAGGACCGTCAGTGTCAAGGTGCTCTTCTGCTTGAACTAGACCAAACAGGCTGTAAACAGATACAAATCTTCTATAAAGCTGTGATCATCGTCTGAATACTCCAGCACAGAAACTACCTCAACATTCTGAACTTTCAATTAACTAGATACAAAGAAATCCTAATGAATGATTCAAAAACCATATAGGAACTATCTGAGCACATGTAGCCGTTTGGGACAGAAATGAACCTGCACTAAGCTGGACCAAATTTGCATATATTATGCACTCAGCCTTGGTTGGCTGAATGACACCCATGTCTCTGATAAGGTGTTTCATCAATCAAACAACATTCTCCAGGTTTTCTTACATTAATAGTCCAGCCTCACTTACCGGGCGTCCAAACTCCAGTTCTGAAAAGAATTTATACCAGGGCTCATTTTCTAAATCTATGTCATCTGGATTTATGCGATCAGTCTAGAGCAGATGTGAAGGAAAAGGGAAGGAAAAGGCACACTGAGCAAAGTGAGGGAAACGCTGTGTGGTACGAAAAACTCGCGCGCGTTCACACGCAAACGTGCATCAACTCTCACCCCACGAACCTCAGCAGGAGAGAACGGAGGAGGTAAAGGAAACGAGTAAGGTGGGGATGTGAAGGTGAGCTCGATGGCACTGGGTCCCTGGCGATTTCCTCTGTGCACCGTCTCTAGCTGGCCTAAGTTGCGGACGACTCTTACCGAGTCCACCCACTTGATAAGCATGAGGCATGAGGCATGGACCACTCTCTATGGCACGAGGCTGGGGCTGGCTGGCACGCCCGATGAGCCCAACAGGCCCAGCCCAGGCACCAGGTAGCTCTTTGGGGCGAGTCCCTTCCTCGTCCCTGCCCTCACTGGGGGCCCAGTCCCAGCATGGGAACCCGCAGTCTGCACACAATTCCCTCCGGTGCAGCAGGTGGAAAGTCTGGGGTGGGGAAGGGTGCGGGAGGGGTGGGGAGAGTGGGGAGCAGCGGGAGGGGACAGGGCGTTGGGGGGCTTGTGGGGGCCTGTGGACGAGAAGAGTCTGGGGTCTGGGTGGGTGCGGGCAGGCCCGGGGAAGTGGGAATCGCCAGGATCCGAGCCAGCAAGGGCCGCGCCTGAACCTCTGCCGGCATCCAGAAAGGTAAGGAAGGAAGGAGCTCACCCGGGTGGGAGGCAGAGCCGGGGCGCGCGCGCTTGGCGTGGGGGCGCCACTCCGGGGCGGAGGGGAGGGGCTCGCAGCGACTCCTCCGCCGGAGCTAGAAAGAGGCTTCAGGCCAGGTTCCCTTGGAACAGGTGTCGGAGTTGTTGGGAGAGGGGGCTGCAAGAAAGAGGGGTGCAGAAACTGGGTCATTAGATGGAGGCCCTGGGCTGAACCGCGAGGACACCCTGGCAGCGCGCTGTGCCTGCGTTAGCCGGGCGGGAAGGGCTCCCGAGCGCCGAGTGTCCCTGGGGACCCAGGCATCTGGGGGACGATCGGGGCCCCTGCGGAGCCCTGCCCGCCAGGAGTCCCTCGGAAAGTGAAGGAAGATCCCCAAGATTCACCTCCCCGCTGCTGCCTACTTGGAGCTGAGAAAAGGATCCGGGTTTTCCCAGTACCCTGGAGGCCGGGCAGGAGAGGGACTTGGGATAAAATTCCATCTTGGTTTCCTTGATGTTCTAATTTAGAGAAAAAGCCAATTCTATAATTGACTTGCTTCCCTTCAGAGGTTTCTGAATGTTGCTTTTAAGATGGAAAAACTAGGAGTGTTGATATAAACAGTTGGAGAAAATACACACAATTATTTTGGTAATACGGAACAGATGCAGTGTTTACTTTACCCAATAATATTCTTAATATTTTCAAACAGTACACCCCTGACTAGATCGATTCAGGCTGCTGATTTTATATGAAATCTAAGTGCTTAAAGTACTACATGCAAGTTATCACTTATTTAATTATCATATGACACTAATTAAATGTGGTACAGTTGAAGAGCACAGTATCTTCAGTCAGAAAAAAAATTCTAAGAAAAAGTGTATAGTTCCCTAAAAGGCATTCACTCTGGCTAGGAGAGGAGCCGTGACTCCCAGGACATATTCTAGGAGGGCTATGAAGCGCTCACTGCTTCAGAGCAATTCAGCATCATTTGCTTACAATTCTTAAAGAAACTCAAGGACTTACACTGAGTAGCTACATCCGGGTTGTGAAAGAAATGCCATGTAACCTTTTCAGTGCTGGGAGCTTGAAATCTTCCATATTCCAACAAAAGCCATGATGTTGACATTGTTCTACTGTTTTATTGACTCATTGCATTTACAAGTTTTGCTAATGATACACAGCCTATACTTAATAATAAATGATACTCACAGTGTTTTTAGCGATGTGATTTTGTTTCAATACTTTATAATGAAAGATGATAATAGCAATTACAGACAACGACAGAAAAGTTGGAAGCATCACGACAAAATAGTGCAAAAGTCTAAGTTATGCAAACTATGTAGTGATCATAATTATAAAGTCTGTGAAATGTCTCTGGGAAATGCTCACGATGAGATACCAACCAGTGAAAACAGGATGTAACCATGCACCTGTGTGGCAGTTACAATGGATCACAAAGCTTGTCTCTGCACACACACAAGACTACAGCGGTGTGCTGGGACTGAGACTGTATTTTCTTTCTTTTAAATACTACTTTCCTTTATTGTTATAATGTTATTTTTGTAATTAGTGAAAGTCAGAGACAACATCCTGCTCTTAGACATGTGAAAATGCCTAGAAATCTTGGGATATTTTTCCTTATTTATGCCAGTATCATACCTGGTTTACACCCCAGAAGTAATAGTGAAATTGGTAGAGACAAAATATTCTAGTAACCAATTTGCTAGTTTCTGTTGAATTTAAAAGTTTGATTCAATTTGCATTTGATTGAATAGTTGCAACAGTATTAAGATTTTAATCTTAATGAAATACTATTTTTCTCTACTTATTACTAAGATGACTATAGATGCATAATTATTTCATGAAATGGTTTTGCTGGAGCTAATTTAAAGGGTAACTGACAGTAGAGAAAATTTCCAGTCGTTTTTCTTTTGTTTATAGAGATACACTATTTCTTCTACAGGAAACTAATCTCTGACTCTTTTAAACTTCATAGTTTCTAATGTTATATATTGAATGATATTATTAATTGATTATTACAACTTCTGCTTTCAAGAATAGTATTTTGTTTTGCTAGAAACTTCTCTTACAGGAAACGAATCTGTTTAAGACACTTGAACAGCAGAGGGCAGCAGATCTACTAAGCGAATAAGACTTGTTCGCTGTATGACTTCACTTTGACGTCCACCTTAAGACATACGTAACAAATGGATATACCAAGTCCTGACTTATAGAAATGCATCTCTATGATGGAATATGGAAAAGGAAGCAGAATATTTACCGTCTTAGATTGTATCTTAGAATGGAAATTTCCCATTACTTATGCTTTTGTTGATTGAAAAATTCAAATCATAGTTACAAGGTAACTATCTAGAAAGCATGCCAATAGAAATCGGCAAACACCCAAGGCAATGACAGCTGGTAATTATGGATAACTTTGGAATGCAACAAAAGGCACATGTTTGAGCAGGGTTGTGTTAAAGGAAGTGTTAATGGCACAACTAGAATTTTCTCTTTGCTGTGGCTGACCTATTGCCTCTTTTAAGTCATGCACAGAGGCACTGCTAAGGAACACAGAAGCCTCACGATGGTCAGTGACACACAACAGATGGATAGACACACAAATCACTGATCTCAGGAATTCAGCACTTTCCCTGTGGAACATGGACGTTCCTTTGAGCTTAGCGGTAACAATAACACTCAGAAACTCATTGAGGAAGTATGATGATGGTTTACTCTAATTGCTCATAAAAGACAAAAGAGCAAAGGTACTGATATGTTTTTCTAACCTTGGTGTGACTTTGTTTCTTCTCATTAAAGAAAAAAACCCAAAACAACCAGCAAACCTCTGCTTAAAACTAACTTTGTGTCATTAGGGCAAGAGGACGTGTTTAAGAAAAGCTATAGCTATAAATCACATGTGATCCCTACTTAAAAGCTACCAAGCGTTAACGACTTTAAAAATTGTAGGGTTTTCTCCAATGTAAAAGCATTTAATTCCTTCTGTAGTTATAGAAATTTCACTAAGTATTCTCAGCGAGGCATATGCTTTCTATCTGTTGTTCTAAATGGGAAGAAGGGCCAGTGCTATTTCATTTTTGAAAACTATTCTTGTTCCGTTTTAAGCATTAAGGACATTGGCTACAAATTGACCGTGTTTTATATTTATTGTGGATAAATGCTATATACATTGTTAGTTGGGATAATTCTTAATGGTCATCAGATGAAATTCCTTAAATTTTTATAGTTTTAGTACTGACTGACAATCTTGATTGATAAAAAGCTTAAGTTTATTGAGGGTTTAAATTGTATTTCAACCGTGCACAGTGTTTTCAATGATGATTTTCTTCTGCTTTTATTATGATGTTCAGGTTTAGTTATTGTAGGGCAAAATAATGTTTTCATATTATTTTCTACTTTATCAAGCATACAGAGGTCCTAAACAAATGCTTTATTAATTTTTTTTTAAATTAACATTCATCACCTTCAAACATATCCAATCTAGATGGAATGTAAGGTTTTTAGTAATCTAATCCCAGCAGGGTTTTTATGATTGTCTCATGGAATAATTAAATTGCAGAAATATGGTTCTGATTTGCGGTTCAAGTCGGCTAAAGGCAAATTCCTGGTGACTGCGAAGTGCTTTTCCAGATCAAACACTAGGCCCAATTAATCAACATTTCTAAATTTACAGTCCAATGAGTACCTATGAGCTTCAAAAGAGTGTCGCCACCTTTACTTTCTTGTTAGAGAACATAAATGCATACGCCACTGATTCCTAAGGAAGATCTTTTTGCCAGGGTCTCGGGCGGACTTTTGTTCAAACAGTACTACCCGCTCTGCCTCCTCTGTATCCCAGGGAATCACGGAAGTAGTGTCATACCTACGAATAGCAGTGTGTCCAATTCCGCCATGAATGTTTTGAGACCCACTGGGCCTTTGGCACTAGAAATGTATAGGCTTCATGGATAAGCAACAGAATAAGGATTTAGTCCCTCACCAACTTTATCCACTAACGGCAAGGCTGAAATCTGTGTTCATACATTCACTTAGAAATTCCACGAATGCATGTTCACTCAACACCTGCTAGAGGCCAGGCATTGTGCCAGGTGTCGGGATACAACTGGTGGACCAGTCACAGTCCTCACCTTCAAGAAGCTCAAGATCTCATGAGGAACAGACTGTGTCATGACCACACAGCCTGGGGAGCCTCCAACCTACTGCTGAGGAATCAGGGACATTCCCTGGGGGAAGTAGGGCTGTGCTGGGACCTGGAGGATGGGATGGAATTCTCCATGTGAAGAAAGACGTGGTGGGGAGAGCTTTTCCTGGTGGGGGGGGAGCAGTCTTTACAGAGGCCTACAGAAAGTTCTAGCTACAGAAAGTTCTCTGTGTAGCTAGAACCTAGTGAGGCAGAGAGGGTGGGAAGGGAGATGAGGCTGGAGAGTTCAGCTGAAGCCCAATCACAGGCCTTCTATAAATTATGTCGGGGTTTTAGATTTTGCTTTAAGGACAGTGAAGAGCCAGGAGAAAATGTTGAGCTGGAGGTTTTGTAAAGATTTTTCTAAAGATTGCCTTTTCTGTGGTATGGAAACTAGACTGGAAAGGCAGGAAATAAATGAGGCGCCTGTCACTGGAGCCCAGGCACAGACAACTGTGGGCCAGAAGAGAGGAGTGGCAGGGACACTTCTGGCAGGCAGACACTGAGTCCAATGGAGGAGAGGGGAACATCCAAGAGCATCCTTTGGAAAACTGGGCAGATGGGGAGGCCATGTAAGGATTCAAAACAGCAGCACAGAACTGCCCAGGTGTTGTGTATATTTTTCAAAAATTAAAAAGGAAAAGAGCAAAGGGATGCTCCTGAACCATCTTCAAGTCCAAAGACATGAGAATGCACGGATAAGACCCTGGCACCCTCAGCGCTGGCCATGTGCTGTGACACACTCTCATTCAGCAAGCCTGTTCTCCACCCTCTAGCTTGTCTTCTCAAACACGCCAGAATCTCATGTCAACTATGTCCATATGCAGCCAGTCTCTGCACCACCAATGCCCACTTGGCTCTTTCTGTTTTCTAATTTACAGAGGGAATTGAAATGAAGTCAGAGCTACTTTTTTTAAATGATGACGTAATCCTATACTGGAAAGGCTGACCCCAGTGATCCATATGGCCGGCTCGAACCATCATGCTTAAGATTGGTCCTCTCCAGAATTGTTTAGGAGCATAAAAGTTTTGCTTCTTTGCATTTCTCCATAAGGTAGCCGTTCCCATTTCCTTCTAAGTTTCTAAGTTCCCTCTACTTATCTTCTCCTGTGACTGCAGAGACCTATCCACACTCGAACCTCTGTCACACTCATGGCCACTGGTCCTGTGTGGCAACAGCTTAGGGCCTAAGTTTCTGATAAAGTAAACCAAGTATACTTTAGTATGAATTAGCCAAGAAATAAATGAATTCATACTGCAAAATTAGCAAATAAGTGAATCAAATAACAACTACCACTTAGATGTGTTTCCTGCTCAGCTACGCCTGGAGTGGCTGTCTAGCAGTGTCAGGTGCACCAGGCGTGAGGATGCCCAGGTACCTCCAGCTCCCAGCAGCTATGTGTCCCTGGGGCAAAGAGAGCTAATGTGCGTTTCAATCTCTTCGTCTGTAAAATGGAAATGCCATGTGTCTGCTTAATGGGGCTGTTGGAAACTTCCCATGAGATAAGGCATACATTACTAATTACAGAGCCTGGCTTACAGTAAGTGCTCAATAAAGATTTACAATTATTGTTATTGCTCTTGTTCTGTCTATTGGAGGAGGCTTTAAGGTCTTTGTGACCCCCAAGACAAGAGTAATGTGAGCATTTCAGCCACAATGAAAGTGTCAGTGTATAAATCCTAAAGGCAGCAAAGGGAGGGTTTTTTAGGCGTGCGGTTGTTTTAATCACAGAAGAGGCTGTTTATTTTGCAGACTCGGATCTAGTCTTGCATGGATATTAAATGATAGACTTGAAGTTCCTCAAGGCAGAGACTGTGTCCTGTCCCCCACTGTGCACCTCACATAAAGCCTGGCACGTAGTTGGTGCTCTATCAGTTTTGCTGACTGAGTAAAGAATTGAAACATCCTGGCGGGAAAGCGTCTAAAAGCAGTCCTGCCTCCTGACACCACAGCTACCGAAGCATTCCAACACAATTCCAACGCTCGGTATCCTGAGTCTCTCACAGTATTAGAATGATCATTAATGTTTTGCCATTCACATTTAAATCTGAGATTTATAATTTTGCAATTTTCAATTTTATGCAACGGGGACACCGTGTTTCACTCAATTCTTATTTGGAAAGTTCAGAGTAGCATGATACTCAATCCTGGAAACCAGTAAATGGGTTAGAATTTTGCAATGGTGCCTGCAAATCAGTGATTTTTTTTTTCTTTCAGTTTTTCTTTTGTAGTCCTGTTACTCTAAAAGATATGAGTTATTTAAAGAAAGGGTAAGAAAGCTTAAATATCACGTATGAATTATCTGATGATAAGGTTTTGAACATGCTTCTCCAGAACACAACCACAAATACAACGTTTCAAAAACTAAATCAAGGACACTCACGTTGGGTGTGGCAAGGCTAGGGCTGCCAGGAAACCACAGGGCTGGCCTTGCACTACACAGGAGTGTGATTTCTTCGCGACTCTTAAAGGGGCTAACAGAGAAAACTCTCTTTTTCCTATTTTCTGACACCTAAAATTCTTTTAAAGCAAAAATGAGAGTACATTGCAATTGATTGCAAATGTTTTCCTAGCAGTAGGTTTGGGTGAAGATGCAGAGGAGCTTGGGGTTTCAAAGAGATCCTGAGGGCACTGATTTTTGAGGGGAAGCAAAGGACATGCAAGGGACTACTGGGGAATCCCAGCCGAGGGAGGCCGAGGGAATCCCAGCTGAGCGAGGCCGAGGGAGAGCCTATGTGTGAACCTGCACTTTGAGGAGGCCAGTGGTTCTTCTTCAGTGCATAGACATTTTTGTTTGCATATAATTAAATAATTGGAAAAAATACTGCAAAGTGAAATATAATCTTGATCCATTAGAATGACAATCAATCAGGAAGCTTGAGGCTTGGTAACCTGAGGAGGGATTTAATAAGAAGCAATTAAAACAACTTATTATAAAAAGGGCAATTGGAATATTTCCCCTTCATCCAAAGAAATATTAAAGAGCCAGTATGGAAAACCAGGGACAGAAGTGCCTGGGTCCACGTGTGCTGGGGAGATTATAAAGTTTAAAGTTTCATAATCAGAGGTTCAACTCCTCTTCTTAACAACATGTCTGTAATTAACCTTCTCCTGCTTCTTATCCCCACCCTGGTCGCTATAGCATTCCTTACACTCATTTAACTCATTAACGATTTTTCTTATTAGGGATTATATTTATGAATGTTTTTTAAAAGTTAAACTCTGGTTAATGATTAGGCACAGTTATAGTTACATGCAAATGAATCTTGCATATAAATATATATGTATTAGTGTGTATATATATAGATATACATATATACATGTGTATGCACGTGTGTATATGTGTATGTATACACACCTACATGTGTATGTATATTAACACACACGTGCGTGCACACATAAAAATATTTGGTCAGTAAAGACAATATATTAGAATGTTTATCTTTCAATTCTGAGATGAGATGTACAAATCATGATACAAAATAAACATGATTTCTAATGTGTGACGAACAAATACATTACCTTTGTGACAAAAATTGCTAACGGATCTGAAATTCAGGTTTATTTGGTGACCCTGGGAGCCTAGCGAGCTGGCATTCTGTTTAATGACAAGTGCTTACTGGTCTTTCATGCTGCAGGATCGATGACTTGCCAGGTTCATATTCAAAAATACTCCTTGGCTCAGACCGAAATTTTCTTGTGTCCACTTTTCTGTCTGGAGGATCCCAGTCATGCCTAGAAATAAACAACAAATCACACATTAAAATAATCCTGTTTGCTTAAAGCAAGTGGGTAAAACTAGTTGTTATCTGTTTGCGAAGTTACTTTTAGCATAGCTTCCAAAAAAATCCCTCAGGATAAAAAGTTAATCTGTGAAAAATACCACATGTCCTCCCACTGGCTCAAAAACTCACACAAGGGGTGTGCAGAGAGTGACCTGTGAGTGAGCCTCTGGGTCACTAATGGCAGCTGTGCATGTTTGTGCTTAAAATAGGTGGCCATAAGCTCTGCTGAACTACGTGCCTTTGACCCACCATTTTGTGACCTTTGTGATCTTTGATCAAAAGTGACAAGGAGTAACGCACACACCATGTTTGATCTTATTTCTTGCAAGTGGCGTCACTGTTTGTCTGGGAAGAGTACAGAAGTGTCATGTGGGTTGGCACGCACCAGGGCAAGCAGTGTGGGACAGGAGGTCATCTTTTGGTGTGAGCCTTGAAAAACGAGAGTCAAACGTCTCACTCAGGAACCAGAACTTTCCCCCCAAGGAATATCTTTCAAGAGGTTGTCGGAGGGCTTACAAAGTAAAGCTTTAAAGGATTTCACAAAATTAAGCTTTTCTAGGTTGCTGAGCTAAAGAAGAAGGCTACTTTTGGGTCGTTTAAAAATTATTTTATTTTTTTAAGAGACAGATTCTCCCTCTTGCCCAGTCTGGAGTGCAGTGGTGTGATCATAGCTCACTACCGTCTCAAACTCCTGGGCTCAAGCCATCCTCTCTCCTCAGCCTCCCAGGGGCCATGATTTTTAGGAGCAAAGATTTTCTGACTATAGATCAGGGTAATTCTGATTCCATGGAGTGGAATGCAATTCTGGCTCCGTGGCATGTTGGAAATAGAGACTGAATTAGGGGCAAGTCCTAGCTTTCTACTAAATTCATGCATGAATGATACCAAGGAAGACCCCTTAAACTTTCTCAGTCTTTGTTTTTTCCATTTGTGTAAAACACAGATAGCAATAATGTGTCATTCTTCCTTGTAGAGGAGTTTTAAGCATACATGAGACAATACATATGGAATTTCTAAGGGGTAATCATATCTTATAATGAGATATTTAATTTTAACAAAATGTATCAGACAGGCAATTTTGGTTCTTTTTTTGGTTAATTTTGGCTTTTTTTCGATGACAAAGATAATTTATGTCTAGAAAACTGTTTCTCAATTTTAAGACCTCACCTAATTCATCCTGAGGAGGCTGGTGTTAAAATGAGAACCCCATTCACACATGATGTGTGTGTTTTGGTGGAATGCTGCACCCTATAGGATAACCAATTATTCTTTTATATACTTTTTATTTATTTATTTATTTAGTGGTGATAGCATTTTGCCATGTGGGCCAGGCTACTCTCGAACTCCTGGCCTCAAGCAATCCACACACCATGGCTTCCCAAAGTGCGGGGACTAGCTGGGTACAGTGACTCACGCTTGTAATCCCAGAGGCCGTGGCAGGTAGATCACAAGGTCAGGATTTCAAGACCATCCTGGCCAATGGGGTAAAACCCTGTCTCTACTAAAAATACAAAAATTAGCTGGGTGTGGTGGTGGGCATCTGTAATCCCAGCTACTTGGATGGCTGAGGCAAAGAATTGCTTGAACCTGGGAGGCTGAGGTTGTAGTGAACTGAGATTGTGCCACTGACTACAGCCTGGGCAACAGAGCAAGACTCTGTCTCAAAAAAAAAAAAAAAAAATGCTGGACTCCAGGTGTGAGCCACCACACCCGGCTGGACCATCAGTCATTCTTAGTGGCACAACAGGGTGTTGAATACAATTTTTCTGGAATGAGTATGATAGGAATAATTTTTATATTCTTATTTATTAATTGCTAGGATAGCATAGGCTTTGGATTTAATCAGAGCTGAGCTTGGACCCTGGCTTGAACATACAGGCTGTATGAGCTGAGTAAGTTCCTTCAATTTTTGAAACTGCAGTTTCTTCCTCTCTAAAATAGAACATATCTCACTGGGTTGTTCTCAGAATCAAATGACATGATACAGAAAAAGTGCTTAGCTTAGTGCTTGGCTCACAATGAGTGCTCAACAGAGGTTACCTATAAGTAGAAGAAGCAGTCATAATCCCAATAAAAATGACCCAATAAAAATGTATTTATAAATTTTTATTTTCACGTGGCTAGTTTGTATACAAGTATTTCAGTGGAGAAATGAAAACTTGTATTAGCTGGAAAAACTGGTCGAACCAGTCACAGACATTTGTTAGCTAATGCCTCATTATGATTCATGAGTACCTTTCCCTCCTTTCGAACATGTATCTTATTAATAGACCTGGGAAACAGAAAATTAACTGCATAGCCTTTTACCTGATACACCAAAGGAAGCGCATGTCAATTATTTCTATGTATTTGTCTCTTTTATGTATGTATTGATTAAAGCAGAAACTGCCCATATTACTTCAAGTCTCATTTAGGGCACTCCAGTATCATGAAACAAGACAGGCTCATGCCTGTAATCCCAGGACTTTGGGAGGCCAAGGCGGGTAGATCATGAGGTCAGGAGATCGAGACCATCCTAACACAGTGAAATCCCATCTCTACTACAAATACAAAACGTTAGCTGGGTGTGGCAGCGTGTGCCTGTAGTCCCAGTTACTCAGGAGGCTGAGGCAGGAGAATCGCTTGAACCTGGTTAGGCGGAGGTTGCAGTGAGCCGAGATTGTGCCACTGTACTCCAGCCTGGGTGACAGAGTGAGACTCTGTCTCAAAAACAAGAATCAAAACAATATTTGCTACAATCCCAGTAGAGGAGTCAATATGGTATATGTAGGGACCAACAAGATTATACATAGCTCTCTCTGTGACATGTGCACTGATTCTTTACCGAATGTCATGTAGCCTTATTTTTACCCTAAGCTAGATATAGGCCACTCTGGGGAAAAATGCCTTACTTTTCTGTTGAAGACCGATCTCTTGGTCGAAGCGGTGGGACTGGAGGGGGAACATGTGGGGGAGGCACTGGGGAGGACGCATCCTTAAAGGCATGGGTGCTGTTGTCGGAGTGGCTTTTGGAAAGAGGTCTGTAGGTTTGGGTCTTTGCAGCAGGGTGTGACTGAGCACTGTACGGTGGGTTGTACAGACCTATCATGACAGAAAACAAGAGCAGACAAAAAACAGAAGCAAATAACTTCTTTAAAAATGCCTTAAATTATCTGTCCCCCTCAAAGTAGCCAATGATTGCATAGAAATGATTATCAATAAGCATATTCATAATGCATACATTAGAAGGTAGTTTCTTATTAATTTATTATTATTAATTTACTGTCTATTAATTTGTTAACTACAGATTTATTCTTTACATAAGCCCTGATTAGAGGAAATCTTTGTCAATTAAATTATTATCAATAAGCATATTCATATGCATACATTAGAAGGTAGTTTCTTATTAGTTTATTAATATTATTAATTTATTAATGTCCATTAATTTATTAATTACAGACTTATTCTGTATAGAAGCCCTGATTACAGTAAATCTTTGTCAATTGTTTCAGACTGATACTAGGAATATACCTGTAAGTACTCAGCAAGTTTTCTCTTCGATTGTATACACTAATAACATAGTTCAGGTTTCAGGGAAAGATAAAAAATAGAACTGTTTCCAAATACCTTCTAATACTTTAAAAACCCTGATTTACATAAGAAAATTGACATGCTGATTGTCAAGTAAAATACTGCACACGGTTGTGTTTATAAAGGGCTGTGCCAGGTACAAGGAAACATGCGTCCTCAATATGCTTAGAGTGCGCCTGGGAAATCAGACACAAATAGAATTACGATGGAAAATAATTGGTAAAACATCATAAAGACCAAATGAAGAAAATACATATTAAGAATTAAAGGATGTTAGTGGGTGGTAGATTGCCCAGAGGAGATTTACGAAACCCATGCGTTCAGAGTCAGCCCTGAAGAATTAGTTTGGGTGGGCAGGGACGTATAGAAAAAAAGGCAGAAAAACACACGATGTGAAGCATGGGATGCACAGTTAGACAGCAAAAGAGACTAGCTGCAGTTGACTTGTCTACTGATCAAATGCTCTACAAAGTAACAGGTCACTGCTGTTCCTTCACTCATCACTAATGTGACACAAATCTCAATATCAAAACAGTTATAAAATTTCTAAACTTCCCACAACCCAACCATTCGGGCTAATTCTATCTGTACTCGTTTGCTTCTCCCGAAAGTTCATGCAAGTCTCCACAGCAAGTGAAAGGAGACAACGTCTACACTGACAGCTTGGCTTGGACTCAACAGCCGGACTTCAAACTTGTGAGTTTGGCGTGTGTGGGAGCAGGGATGAAAGTGAAGGGGAACTTCTTTGTGGGCCTCAGGCTGTCACTGGGCGGAGCCAAGACCTAAACCCAGAGGCTTGCTGACCTTCTTCTATCCAGTTTCCCTCTATCTATTTGTCTTTGGAGATAGGAGCACACTTCCAAACAGTTAAAGGGCCTGAGTGTGTGTGGTCTCCGGGTGTGCAGAGCGGGGAGCATCATGCGACCCCAGGCCGGCCAGGGGACCCCAAGTGAGGTTGCCGCTGCTGAAGGGGAGGGGAGCAGTGCAAGCCTCAGCGCCTGGTCTAAAGAAAGAAGAAAAAAAATAGTTGTGCACCTGTCCTGAGCTGCTGGCTGGGCAGGGAGAGGAGGCCTGGGTAGAATCCCCTGAGGAACATTCAGGAGAAAGTGGTGAAGGGAAAACATTTCTCAGGGGTCCCTCCCTCCAGCCTGCAGACCTCTGAACCGGATACCAAGGCACGCCAATCCAAGTGGCAATGCCTGGAACTGAAGTCATTCTATTATGACCACTGGCAATTCTGAGTCAGAAAAGTCGCCCCGCCAAGGGGGATTTTAAAAATCTTTCAATGAATGGTTGCATTTTGGAGCAAAAAGCAGGGACAAGGTCACCGAATACTTTGCTTGACTTGTTTTTTTGTGAAGTGTATCTGAATGATCTTACACAATTGTAATCTTTCTCTCTGCTGATAAAAGATCTTTATGTTACTTTGTGCCCTGGGTTACAGTGTGTCCTTTCAGGCTGTCCTTCACACTTTGGTTAAACATTCCTGAAGCTGAGAATAAACCAACAGTGGGAATGAATGAGATAAACCAGTATTAGTTCTCATTTCCATGAGAAAAGTCAATCCTTTTGTTAAGCAAGCTCTGAGAAAAGAAAAGGAATCATCCTCCTGATACATGGATTGAAAACAGGTGCTCAAACAGAAGGGTTAAAAAAAAGTGACTCTGCAGGTCTTCCCAACATTGCTGAACATAAATAGTCACTGCATGCAAGGGAACCCATCCTACCTGCATTATATGCATAAGGAGTATTATACATGTCTGTGTCGTCATCTGGAAAGTGAAACATAAATACATGGTGATACAGATTGGCACCACAGCATAACGAGAAAGCAGAACGTCAGAGACACAACAGGAATTTCTTAGAAAAGCAATGTATTTTTCCTAGTTCAGAATGCCACTTTTACTTTTCTTTTCTTTCTTTCTTCTTCTTCTTTTTTTTTTTTTTTTTAGAGACAGGGTCTTACTCTGTCGTCCAGCCTGGAGTGCAGTGGTGTGATCATTGCTTGCTGCAGCCTCCAACTCCTGGGCTCAATCGGTGCTCCCACCTTAGCCTCGTGAGTAGCTGGGACTACAGGTGCATGCCACCACAGGCCTCTGCAAACTGCCCTTTTTTGTCTGTAACACATTTGCCTTGCTGCCCTCTTCAGAGCCTGAAAGTCAGGCCCTTGTCCTTGCTTCCCTAGAACCCCCTCCACTCTGGATTCTGAATTTCCCTTACTAAGGGCTTTAGTGCTCTCCTGTCTACGGCACAGGCTCAGTCAGACCTGCTCAGATGGATTCTCTTGACGAGAGCAGACAGGGGTGGGCAGAGGAACAATGTGTCTGTTTACCCAGGCAACACACCGATTTAGACTGTGGACAGGGGAGGATGGAGGGCTGAGGCCACTGTGCCTGGTTGTCCTCCATGGGGAGGCTTCTTGGCAGTTCAGCGGGGAGGGAGAGGCACAGGAGCTGTCATTGGAGGGGTGATAAAAGGAGAACAGGAGGCATGCCGAAAAGGAAGGGGATATGGAGTTTGCTGGGGTCTTGACGTTTTGTGTGAATGAAACTGAAACCTATACAAAAGAAGAGTGTACACGCTTCAACCCACAGGGACCTGATGGGAAAGCAGAGCAGGAGACATACCGGGCTTGTGCACCATGTGAATCTGCTTAAACATCGTCTTGTACCAGTCCTTCGGCCGGTCGACTGTCTGTAATAAACACAGCGTCCTGGAGTTACAAGCTGGCTTCAAATCAGCACCGCTCCCCAGTGTTTTCACTTCTCCATTTTATCTTCTTCATAACAGAGTTCCATCCTGTGATAAAGTGTTCTGACTCTACTATGACTTCATGACAATTCTAGCAATTTATTTAGTTATGTTTGCGGTTTGTAAATATATTGCCTTGTGTTGAATTTCGGCTGAATTGGAACATTAGATGCTATGGTTTTATTTTTCAAATTGTAGCTGTGCCCAGCGCTAGACAGTTGATATTTGCACACATATGTTTATGTAAAGTTCACTTAATAAAGTTATTGTTGTAAGAATGTGCGTAACTCCTTTTGGTGATAATGAGCATTATCCTTAGATCTTTTTATTGAATGTTCTGTCAAGACCGTGTTTTCAGAACTAACTGGGGAATATTTTTGGTTTAAATTGTATTCTGGTCAGGGTGGATCTAGAGAAATCAATTTGCTACTTACTAGTCCAAGTTACTAAAACACAGGATGTAGGAGGCATCCCAGAGCCTTAGAGAAAATTTAAGAATGTAGCTATTGCTTCAAAAAGTTTATTATGATAATAGAGCATATGTAACATTTGCTTGGCTGAAATTGTACCTTCCTTGAGAGGACAAGTCCTTATGTATCCAGGCTCCGGACATGATGGAAACAGTAGGTTGTAGTGGAAAGATGAAATTAATGTGGAATCTTGAACCAAGATTCAAATCTTGGTTCCTTAAATTTCTGCTTAATACCCCCTAGTAATATAAATTGGGGCAAGTCACATCACGTTCTTGAGCCTCAGTTTTCTCCTCTCTATGACATAATTATATCTAAGTCATAGGATGGTTGTGGAAATTGAATGAGACCATGTATACACAGGGCCTCGAGTAATGCCTGGACTATAATAACTACTCAATAAATAATAACACTGGGGAACCTCAAATATTTGTAGAATGAAATAATGAATGAATATAGCTTATGGGACGGAACTCTGCCTTTCTGACACCTGTAAAAGTAAACACATGCTTTTATAATCCTAGTCACAGATTTGCTTGGCCAGATCTTACCCCAGATTTCTTACAGCTACCTGGGCAACAAACTTGACCATTCTGCTTATAGTAACTAAATATACCAAACTTTCCAAGACAGCTCTGTTGATTTAAAAAATTCTGTTAGGACTGAGACAAAAATATTCCTCTACTTATTAGACTGAGCTTTGCTTTAGTTTTTATTGCCTGATCTTTTTTTCCCCAGGAATGTGGTCACTGCATTTTTCATCTGGACGTTAAGGGTTTTGTGCTATACCTAAATTTCTTTTGACCTCTGGGAAGAATTATTCTGAAAATCACCCCAAATACCGACCAAGGGCCACTTGATGTTGTTGTGAGTCAGCTCTTCACTCTCACATGGAAGAGTTGAGATTATTGATTGAACATTCAATCAAAGGATGGGAAATGGTGGGAGGGAATGCCGTGACGAAGCAAAAGTCTATTATTTGTTCAGACAAAGTAGGTAAAACATGTACCTTTCAAGGAAGTTTATTTTTATAAAGGACAGATTTCTCTTTCATTAATCCTCCTTTCCTTTATAGTACTAAAGCTACAGAAAATACAACGTAATGTTATGCATATCTGTTTTCCTAGACACACCAGTGGCAACAAGAAAGGCTACGAAGTCAGTTCTGCCACTGTATATGGCAATGCGTCTTGACAGACAGGAGTTTTTCCTCACTTGCTGGAGGGCCTATATCAGGTGGGATCTCACAGCTGTGCCATCTGCTAGCTTTATATGGTGAGCACAGAGACGCCAGGGCATGCCCTGTTGGCAAAGGGAACTATGAAGCTGGCAAAATAAAATACTAAAACTCTATGTCCCTTTTTAAAAGAAGTATCTGAAGCGTTTGAAGTTCCTTTTGTAAATGCCATCATGGAGACTGCTATGCCTAAGATTGAGAATAAGAAAACAGAAGTCTGCTCAAATTTCAGGAAGTTCACTTTGGCATGTAAAATCATTCTGCATGAAAAACAGAGACTGGCAATTCACTATGCGGTTTTCTTTCTACAACCTTGATTGAATAGACCTGAATTTTTACATTCCTATAGTTTTCAAAACTTCTGAACGCTACACTGATTTAACACGCAGAGATTTCAAAAAAGAAAAAAAAGGCATATTTTCTACATAGCAGTACACAGTAGTGACTGTGTGCTTTTTCTCCTCTTCAGTTTTGAAAATACCCCAACAAGTGTTATATTGGAAGTAGAAGAAAAGAATCTTGTATTTCACTTAACTAGCTGGCTTTAATGACACAATCTCATGGGAGCTGAGCCCTGGTGATTTTTGTTGTTGTTTTGAAGAATGGCAGTGAAAGGCTCACATAGGTGTCCCAGGTCACATGAGAAAGGCAATCTGGAGGGCTGCTTCCCTTCATTAAAATAGCTCAAAAGTACTGTTTGTTGACTCTTGGCTTTCTAGAGTTTCTGGATGACTTTACAAAATTCTGTTTCCTAAGTATAGGCTGGCTGTCTAAAATGATACCACACCATGGTACATTGCGACAGTACCACCACTGGCGATGACACTGAATCTGATCATCATTATTTTCTACACACATAAGAAAGAAAAACAGCCTCGGAGAGTCTCAGCCTGCTGTGGCTCAGAGACAGCCTGACTTGAGATTTAGAAACAAATCTATACTTGGGGATGTGCTCTGCACAGTCAGTGTCGGAGGAGAGTCCTCACAGACCTGCACCTTCTTTGTAAAGATTTAAAGGTCTAAGCAAGAAGACAGTTGTACATAAAAATTAAGGTTCCTTACAAGAAACTTCTGCATTGCCTAAATTGTATTTTCTGTTTTACAGAAGGGGAACTAGCATTAGATGTTTAGTGTGTTTGCTTATGCATACCCAAGCATGCTTTTGATTTGGCAGTAGATAAACATTTTTTAAATTTTAAGATGACTTAATTTTCATCAACCATCTGTAGCATCTCAGTTTTTCCTTTTGAAACTAATGGAGCAAGGCCTCGTTGGTTAAGGAAATTGTATTTTAAGGGATGAAAACGTGGACCAGGCTTGCATGTCTATTACATATCATTTATTGACCTAAAAACATACTCAGATTTCTTTGATTAAATCCTCTCAGACAGACTCTATAACTACATAGAATCAGGGCTTTCTTAATTTTGTCCATACTGTGCCTCAAGTGTCAATTACACAAAACCAGTGACACCATACCTGTCGGACTCTCTATCCCTGAATAATTAGGAGAAAGTTTCAAATTTAACCATTTTGAGCCAGAAATCTTAGAAGAGAAATGAACAAGAAAACATCATCACCAGAAACATGTACTCATCATAAAATGAAGAATATTGGTCATAATCCCTGAACTTTTTCTTGGCACATAATATGGCGATTGTCAGTTTCAAGACAGATTGTTAAAGCGTCGTAATTAGTCACATTTAACATTCCTACAATCTAATGAGTCTAAAACCCCAGTAACTGCTGTGCAGATTTACTTTTTGGTGTTCAGATGTGATACAGATGCTGAGAATAATCCGTTTTAAGCTCTTCTCTCTGTATATAAAATACATAATCCCCATATAAAAGTCAAGAACAGAAGAAAATCCCCACACTTTATCGTTACTTCTTTTTGATGGTTTCCAATCTTACCACAGCTTTTTCTCCCCCCATCTCTTTCCCGTTCTTTGCCTCTATCCCTCATTGTTTCGGCTGCCCAGGTCTGCATTCCGGGGATCAGCTCTTGGCCACACCCCAGCTTTACATGGGTCTTGCTGGCTGGAAAGTATAAACAGACGGTGCTCCCTCCCCACACAGCCCCCAGCTTCACCTGCAAAGGTGTTGCTGCTCTCATGCTGTCCCTGGCTTCCTTCTCCTGGCTGGTGGAAGCCTTCTCTTCCAGTGGACCTGGTCAGCCAGCAGCTGCCTGCCCAGGCTCTCAGAAGCTGCCTCTGCTACTGCTGCGTTTTGCCAGAAGGGGCTGCCCAGACACACTGAGCAATGCTTTGGCAGAGTTTAAAAACTTAAAAAAAAAAAACCGAACACTTTCACTTATCATCCCAGGAGAGCTCTCAGCAGGCACAGCTGAAGAAGGACACTGAAATGTGTATTTTTCCTCAGACAGCTTTTCCTTTCCATGACATTAACTCCCCTCACTCCAATCCTCTCACCTCCCAACTCCCGAATCACAGCTCCCAATCTCCAGGCTTTTTAACACACATCCATTTCAAGAAAGGAATACATCACTGGTTTACTTGCAACCCACATGGGAATTCAATGCAGCCAAAGAATTTCCATTGTCTTGTTTCCTTCTCTTTCCTCTCTATTGCCCTAAGCCTCCTTGGTAAAAGGTAGAAAAAAAACAAAAAAACAAAAAAAACAGCCAAACCACACAACACAGTTTTATCATTTAACAAAATCACAGTGTTCATGATTTTTCATTCAAATGGAAAAACAGATTGTGTAATTCTCTTCCATCGACAGCTTTCTTTCTCTGCCACACACAGCATAACATTCATGAGAACTCGGATGGCACGGAGGGCAATCCTCATTATATAAGACCCTAGGAATGCACAAAGCCATGGACAATGTGTCCTTTGTGGAGCCTCTGCACAGCCCCAGACAGACACACATGCTGGCATTTCCTACCGTTCTAATTGCTGTGGGGATTCCGGATTCATCCACGGGCCCAATCCCTGGGTAATGTGGGGCTTTGATGACCGTCACCCTCTTCTCTTCCTCTGAAGATCGGTACAGTGGGATAGAGCTGCTGCTGGTGCCGTCCAGAGACTGTGCATGCTGGGGATATGTCTCTGCGGAATCTGTGCAGAAAATTTGGTAACATGGAATGTATCTGATGCACAATCGATAAATTAATGGTGTCTTGTTGCATATTTATGCCAACTGTAACAGAGTCCATATTTCCATCACTACCTCTTTTAACTCATTCACTCTCCGTTTGAGCCAGTGGAAGTTGTGTAGGTGTGCAGGGAACATGCCAACAAGGGCCTCACCATTTTATGAAGAAGGCTGGGGGAGAATGGCATTTGCTAAAGGACCGTGTGGAAGCCTCTGTGTTAGCAAGTAGTGTAGATACATGATCTCTTCCTGTCCTTTCAGTAATCTTGAGGGAGGGCGGGATAGAGGGAGCAAGAACCGGTTTTATAGTGAAGGGCAGGAGCTGAGACAAGTTTAGTGATTCCCCTCACGTCATCATCCACATTAGTACTATTCTTGTGATGTTGCTAACTGCTATTATTTACAAGTTTTGAAATGTATTTCTAGACAAAAGATATGATGGTTGAGTGGTAACAGTGATTTCACAAAAATGAAGCAAAACCAAAAATCACTTAAAAAAATCTTCACATCCAAGCCTATGAAGCTTATGAATGAACAAATGCTTTAAAATTATTGGTACTAACTCATATGTGCGTTTTTTACCTTAAAATATCAAAACCCATGACTTTTTACTCTTTGAGGACAAAAATTGCCCTAAGGATATAATTTAGATGAGGCTTATCAATTTCTTCATGGTTTTTTTTTTTAGTAACTTCTAGTATACTTTCCTTTTTTTTTTTTTGAGACGGAGTCTTGCTCTGTCACCCAGGCTGGAGTGTAGTGACACAATCTCGGCTCACTACAACCTCCGCCTCCTGGGTTCAAGTAATTCTTCTGCCTCAGCCTCCTGAGTAGCTGGGACTACAGGCACATGCCACCATGCCTGGCTAATTTTTGTATTTTTTTTGTAGAGACAGGGTTTCACCATATTGGCCAAGCTGGTCTTGATCTCCTGACCTTGTGATCCATCAGCCTTGGCCTCCCAAAGTCCTGGGATTACAGGCGTGAGCCACTGTACCCAGCCACTAATTTCTAGTATAGTTTCAGAAGCATGTCTGTACTCTTACAGACATGCAGTATATATTCCATTTACTCCTGGTTCACAAGTATTTTTAAAAATCAACATTATTACCATTCCTCTGGTACAATTAATATGCCTTTTTATTTTTCTGCAATTAATTTGAAAATGGTGTTGACAAAGAATGACACTGTTTATACACTTTATGTCATGGTTTGTCAGGACTGTCACTCAACAAGTCCTTTAATGTAGAAATGAAAAACATTCATAATCCCAGCTACTCAGGAGGCTGAGGCAGGAGAATTGCCTGAACCCAGGAGGTGGAGGTTGCAGTGAGCCGAGATCGCGCCATTGCACTCCAGCCTGGGTAACAAGAGCGAAACTCCGTCTCAAAAAAAAAAAAAAAAAAAAAAAGGAAATGAAAAACATTCGCACATTTCAGGTGGGACTCACTAGTTTCATTTATGTGTATATGATATACATCATATGTGAATCTATTTTTCATGAAAAATTTGCATAAAATATCATAACTAAACTTTTTAAGAAATTTTAACTCATCAATATAAGGATAATGAAAATTAAGATCTCTCTAAGGTAAAATCCACTGTAACATTTGTAACTGCTATTACTGTGACTATTTTCAATTTAGTATTTTTTAATACCCTTTTTGACGAAGGATGGATAAGGTTAGTTAGAAAACTGCTTGATGTGCTATGGAGTGTGAAAGTGACATTCAAGTTAGTCCTTATTAAGACACAATGAGCTATTTGACACTAATTGACTTTCTATTTAATTCCAAAAAGGACTTGAGTGGGCAGCCATGATGCCAGTATTTTTATCAGCAACAAAGGTTTTCCCGAACACTAACACGTGCAAAGTCCTACTCTAAGCAAAGAGAATCAGCTCTGCCTTCACACCTGCAAAGTCCTACTCTAAGCAAAGAGAATCAGCTCTGCCTTCACACCTGCAAAGTCCTACTCTAAGCAAAGAGAATCAGCTCTGCCTTCACACCTGCAAAGTCCTACTCTAAGCAAAGAGAATCAGCTCTGCCTTCACACCTGCAAAATCCTACTCTAAGCAAAGAGAATCAGCTCTGCCTTCACACCTGCAAAGTCCTACTCTAAGCAAAGAGAATCAGCTCTGCCTTCACACCTGCAAAGTCCTACTCTAAGCAAAGAGAATCAGCTCTGCCTTCACACCTGCAAAGTCCTACTCTAAGCAAAGAGAATCAGCTCTGCCTTCACACCTGCAAAGTCCTACTCTAAGCAAAGAGAATCAGCTCTGCCTTCACACCTGCAAAGTCCTACTCTAAGCAAAGAGAATCAGCTCTGCCTTCACACCTGCAAAGTCCTACTCTAAGCAAAGAGAATCAGCTCTGCCTTCACACCTGCAAAGTCCTACTCTAAGCAAAGAGAATCAGCTCTGCCTTCACACCTGCAAAGTCCTACTCTAAGCAAAGAGAATCAGCTCTGCCTTCACACCTGCAAAGTCCTACTCTAAGCAAAGAGAATCAGCTCTGCCTTCACACCTGCAAAGTCCTAGTCTAAGCAAAGAGAATCAGCTCTGCCTTCACACATGCAAAGTCCTACTCTAAGCAAAGAGAATCAGCTCTGCCTTCACACCTGCAAAGTCCTACTCTAAGCAAAGAGAATCAACTCTGCCTTTACACCTGCGAGGTCCTACTCTAAGCAAAGAGAATCAGCTCTGCCTTCACACCTGCAAAGTCCTACTCTAAGCAAAGAGAATCAGCTCTGCCTTCACACCTGCTCCGTCACATTCTATGAACCTATCACTTACACAATAGAAGTTATCCCTTTATTGTATTATTCTCATATGTAGTTGTCATCTTTGCAATCTTTCATCCTACACTAAATATAAACTTCATCTAGGGTAAGGTACATGTGCATATTCCCTCGAGACTTATCACAGCACTGGCCAGCTGGAATTTGTTCAACGTTTACATAGGGAATTCCTTCCCAGGTAGAATATTTTATATATTAAATCTACTTATCCATCTGTTCTAAAATCAAAGCCTGCCTGCATTCAAGTACTTATGTTTTTTTTGTTGGGTGGGGACAAGACAAAGCTTCATCACTAAGATAGAAAATGAGGCAGGGTCAGACTTTGTTAATAGTTATTTGGGGAGAAGCGATGGCTAGAATGATTTGTCGAGTTTGACTTTATGTGTGTGTAAATGCATAGTTCCATTTTAAACAACCCTAGATATAGTGGACTTCCATTATAATACTACACTATGGGCTGATTGTTACAGGGCAAAGTTTTGGCAGAAGCAAGTTTTACTCTCTTATACTCTAAAAGGACAGCGTTGTAAGAGTCACAGAGGATCCTCAGGCATAGCATCAGAGAAGATGCAGATATATTTAGACTTTAATAAGTCCCGCGGTTACCTTTAAAGTTTTATAGTTACAGAGCTTTTGTTGACCTCAGAAGGTCAATTCCACCATGTGCATGCTGGATGCTGACAAAACGTCCCTGAACAAACAAACAGCATCATAACCTTTCAAGACTGAGTCGGTGCTAGGGAAGGAGGTGTGCTCTCTGCTGTCAGAGAAGCAATGGTGGTTCCAGTCCTGGGTTTTAGTTTTTTCCCCCGTTGCTGGTCCCCGTGGCCAGAGGACCGGGCTTCTCCTTTTGTGGGAGGCACCAGATGGTCCTGCTGTCCTGAGGATTCTCTGCTCTCTGCTGTCCTAGAAGTTTCCTAGTGAAGCAACATCATGGAAACTTGTTCAGCCTGAATTCCTATGACAGTTCACTTTCGCATTGTCTCCTGATATTTTAGGTTTTTTTAAGTTACATTTTTACAAACTAAGAAATATTTATTACACTATTTTCTAAACTATCCAAATATACTTGACCATGGAAGAGCATTTCTATCTCTGTATATCACGACTTCTTTCCCAGGAGGCCACGAAGGCCCATGAGTCCTATGAAATTATTATCTGCTTACAATTTTTTATGAATGTCCCTTTGTTTTCTGAGGAGAGCTCTATCTTTCACTGAATTCCTAGTCCTCGAAGGGTTAAGAATGATTGCTCTATACAATCATGGAACCTTCATTTAAGGAACTGTCTTTTTTTTTTTGAGATGGAGTCTCACTGTGTCACACAGGCTAGAGTGCAATGGCACGATCTCGGCTCACTGCAACTTCTGCCTCCCGGGTTCAAGCCATTCTCCTGCCCCAGTCTTCCAAGTAGCTGGGATTACAGGTGCCTGACACGACACCCAGCTGATTTTTGCATTTTTAGTAGAGACAGGGTTTTGCCATGTTGGTCAGGCTGGTCTCGAACTCCTGACTTCAGGTGATCCACCCACCTCAGCCTCCCAAAGTGCTGGGATTACAGGTGTGAGCTACCACACCCAGCCAAGGAACTCTAAAGTTTCTCTTGTATGGCTTCCCGCTACCATATCCTTGACTGCAGGTCTTCTAGCCTTGGTTTGAATGGGGGTTTTCTACTTCGTGGCTCAGTGGATGACTGTGTCACTGCTTTGTGGGGCAGCCTGCCCTCCTGTTAGAGTGTTTTAACTGTCAAATGATTCTCCCTTCTACAGACACCCAGGAAATAGTCCATGGTGGAAGAATTTCCAAAGACGAACAAGCTGCCCCAGTGAAAAGCCTGCATTCACGTGCTCCAGTGGCGCACACCCCCTGCCCTCAGTAGGCATGTTCTTTCTCTTTCTACTCCACCACCTGAAACATTTAAGTGCTCACTCCAGGACCAGATACAGGCGGAGTCATCGTCTCAGAATATCATGGTGCCCATTTTCTCCCATGTTGGGTCCTCTGCCCCAGTTTGTCCCTGTGGATAGGGTCATGAAATAGCAGAGTGCTAATTGCTCCTGCCTCACCTCGATGGCCCCTATTTTTCTCATGTGGTTGTACTTGCTGTATTGCGGTTGCCATGGAAATCAAGGTGAGTAAATTACTTACCAAGGGACGTGCCGTGCTGCATGACAATGCTGGAGTTGAGTGAGGCTGGCAGAGAATATGCTGAGGGGGAAAACGGCCTCTGATAGTAACTCATGGGACTCACGGCACCTCCAGAGTTTCCATTCACTGTTATCTGGCTCTGAGAAAAGTGCAAAGCCGTCGAGTTAAAGCATAGTTCCCTGTAAACATCATTCCATTAGGTGATAATAAACGACTTCCAATCACATGACAGTCATCAGCTGCCAAGCTCTTACTTATTTTGAAAACTGATGTCAGAGGGCATGGTCCGTTCTTTGCCTTCTCTCTCTTCCTTTATTTCTGAAAATCACTCTTTGTGTATCTGAGGGCCCAGGGATTGGTTAGGAAGGATGAAGGCAGCTGACCAGCCGACAGGCCACTCTGCCAACAGAGGTGCCAGATGGTATCAGTAGGAGTCAGTGCCGAGTAAACGTGGAGGACGCCTTTGCTGACGGCCAAAACGTCAGTGGTCAGAACACTGCCGTGCTGTTCCATGCAGCACCGACATGATACCCTTTGCCGCGAGGCACGGGGTCAGTTCTCAGACTTAGTCAGGGATACCCACTAGTGAAGGAATGCTTCCAGAGCAACGTGACTAGCACAGGGACCGGGTTGTCTGGGTTTATATCTCATGAAGCAACCTACTCTAGAAGGATCAAATATCTGGTGAAGGATCGGAAAGACGTGCTGACCACTGGCTTCTCCCTACTTCAGCTCATCCAGCACTTCTCTGTCTGATTGCTGAATTACTCATCGTTTTGACTTTTGTATCTGAGCACTTTCTATCCCCAACGGTATCTCAAGGTTCCTGTTGAAGATGGTCACGTATATGCTTCTTTAATCGTTTTTATAGCGTGCAGCCTAGTGCTAATGACAGAGTACGTGCTCAGTCCCTTCTGATTGAACTGAATCGGCCTAGTTCACAGACACCGAGCTCAGGACTATCCAGCATTCCTGTCTACCCACAGCACAACACTGACCAGTACGGAGCGCATACAATCCATGCAAATACGACCAAACATTAGTAAGAACATTTAGTTAATTTATCTTACGGTTAAATACACACAACACACATAGGCACACAGATAAAGAACCGTAATTTGTGAAACTTTTCTACTTCTTTAAAAAATAAACTTCTATTACACAGGCTTGAAACATAGATATAGTAACTGCACATTTCCATGATTTCACTTTAAAGCAGGTAGGGTTTCAAATGACCTAGAATAAGTCTAATTCCATTATTGTGCAGCCATATCACTTATGTCCCCAAATCAATAAACATTTCATTACAAGCCTTGTGCTTATTGATTAAGTACTTCTCCAGGCTGTTAGAAAAATTACTGTCACATCATAACCAGCCATATCTCAAGGACCTGCTCCCTGGAGAGAGCTGGATGTTCAGGTGTGAGGCACAGGCCTGCCCAAATCTTCAGAGGCTTTATGTACCTCCGATGAATGATTTGAGAACACTCTCACCTCTTAGCCCAAGTTAAGTTTGGTGGATCTTTGTCAATATCATCGTAATAGTATTATAATATGTTATAATTAATGTTAAAAGCTGAGCCAGGTGCGGTGGCTCACTCCTGTAATCCCAGCACTTTGGGAGGCCGAGGTGGATGGATCACAAGGTCAAGAGATCGGGACCATCCTGGTCACCATGGTGAAACCCCGTCTCTACTAAAAATACAAAATTAGCTGGGCATGGTGGCACGTGCCTGTAATCCCAGCTACTGAGGAGGCTGAGGCAGGAGAATTGCTTGAACCCAGGAGGAGGTGGAGGTTGCAGTGAGCCAAGATCACGCCATTGCATTCCAGCCTAGGTAAGGAGAGTAAAACTCTGTCTCAAAAAAAAAAAAAAAAATGCCGAATAATCCTTCTTATGAGAAACCATCAGGTTAATTAGGTTACTAAACGTAGGAAACTTGCCCTAAATCCTATTTTGAAGGTTTCAATAATATTAACTAGGGGTTAAAAAAGTAAACACTGAAAGCAGATTTATTCCTTTATTGCGTTAAACCAATCAGAATTTTACGACTGAAATAATATCATTAGCATTTTAGAAAACACTGTATTGTTACATTGAGTTCATTATCAGGAAAAATGTCATGGATAATCTATTTGCAATTTTAAACTGATAATTGAAATTAATCTGTTACAAGTATCTCTGCTTGTGCCCACAGGACTGTATATAAGATAGGCTCCTGAAGAGCCTTAAAAACAGAAAAGTGAACTGGTTAGTTTGTAGATTCACACACTGTCACTGCCTTGTATTTTTAATTAAAGGTCCTGGGGAAGTTTTTAAAAGCTCAGAACCATCTGAAGCACGGTAGGACATGGCAGGAGCCCACACCTGCTGCGCTCCTGGCACCTGGGGTTGGGCTGGTCCCCTGCGGCAGAGGAGGGACTTGCTGTGGGGTCAGGCCTAGAAAACGGGGCTCCTTCTATAGCCAGTCTCTGAATGGAACATTTGGACGCAAAGTGTTAGACCCCACCATTGTGGGAATACTAAATCCCATCACCAAAAAAAGCATCTTTTACTTTCTGAAAATGGCAGTGTCTTAAAAACATATGGCTTATTATAACATTTCTCTGTACATAACATTTTCAGATGTATGAGCTTGATAGAACATAAAAATGATGTAGCACAAATAACATTTTGTCTGTGACAGTGTTTATGTGGAACCTCATTATCATATCAATTAAAAAATGACTATTTTTCGCTTGAAGCGATGTGCCTCTCAAATGGAAGCCATTACCTAGACGTTATTTGCAATCTGTCATAAAATTTTGAAACATTTTAGCCACTCACAAACCATTTATTAGGGATTGCTTATCACATAGGTATATCTAAGTAATATATGTATGGAAGAGATGTATACATTGCTATAAATGAAAGACAAATTATTGATATATAAAATTTAAACATGGCCAGGCACGGTGGCTCACGCCTGTAATCCCAGCACTTTGGGAAGCTGAGGCAGGTGGATCACGAGGTCAAGAGATTGAGACCATCCTGGCCAACACAGTGAAACCCCATCTCTATTAAAAATACAAAAATTAGGTGGGCGTGGTGGTACACGCCTGTAGTCCCAGCTACTTGGGAGGCTGAGGCAGGAGAATTGCCTGAACCTGGGAGGTGGAGGTTGCAGTGAGCCGAGATCGCACCACTGCACTCCAGCCTGGCACCTGGCAACAGAGCCAGATTCTGTCTCAAAAAAAAAAAAAAAAATAGTATTCATAAATTTCTATACTGAAATGGCTCAGGAAGAATAATTACAAAAATCATACGGTTAAGTTTCTGGAAGGTAGATTAGGATTACTGACATCATTCACTCCTGGACAACAGAAGAGTTCAAAAGTTGTAGTTATTAGAGAAAGAGGAGCATGAACAATTAGCCTCGTGCAGTCAGTAACCATTCATGTGAGAAACAAGGATACAGAAAAGCATCACACAGGACACACTGATGTGAGACTGGGAAAAACTACTAACAGGTATTAATACCGGGTTAAAATGTTTTGAAACATTTTAGACTTTATGATCATAACATATTGTAATGTATATTTATGTAAATTTCTGAGGTAAGGCAAGTCACTGTACAACTCATCAGCCACAGTAACACGAGAAACCGTAAGTAACTATTTTAGAGTAACTATAAGTAATTCTAAAATGAATGAAGAGAATACAAGTGACCTTTTCAGCCTTTAGCAGGCTTATGAGGATGACCGTTGTGATTTCCCTGACAGATGGCACAGAATTGGTTTTGGAATCAACACCTATGCCAATAAAAATGTCAGCTGAAAAATGAGACGGCACAATACATCAGTCCTTTTAAGGAAAAGGTGGAGGCAGAGAAAGGCAGAATAATTACATGAATGGCCGCAGGGGTGGTTAAGGTGGTGCCATCTGTCACAGCAGACCTCTGACCCCAGGTCGGGGAGGGTGTCTCAGAACGGCCAGTGGTGTCAGAGTCACCGATCTGCAGCTCCTCTAGCATGGCTGTGGAGGACTCGCTCTCCGAGCGGGAGGAGTGCTCGGCCAGGGAGGAGTCTGTAGTCAGAGAACCTGCGTCGTGGCTGCGGATAAGGCCTTCTGGAGCTGGGAGCAGGTGTTTGTATAAGCAATGGGAAAGGCTCTGGGGTGTATGCAGGCGGGAAGACCCCAAACCATCGGGTGGTGGAAGGCTAAGTGGTGCTGAGCTGGCAACACTGCCTGGTGAGAAAGTGGCTCGGTTCAAAGGTACCACGGAAGGAGGGCATGGAGGAGAGGCTTCTGGTGTGGTTTGTCTGTGTGTCTGGGAAGCGTTTACCTCCCACACACTGGCAGGTAAGTTCTGATTTCCAAGCTGAGTATGAGGAAAAAATAATAAGAGATAAATTATCCAATTAACAAAAATACCTCTTTTTGCGATGTGGCAGAGAAGGCAAAGCATCGGTTTTACTTGTGAGCACTTCAAGGAGTGGCATTCAGATGGATTAGGGGCCAACCGCACTAGTGCAGAAAAACCATGAAAACACGAGGAACGTGAACCCAGTCGGTGTGTTTTGGAAACCAGGCCGGTTTTCACACAGCACTGCCGTGGAATTTTCGGGAGGGGCTTGAGAGTGTTGGCATAATGAAAGCTTTTCCTCAGAAGCTTTAGTTTTTGCATTTCTGACAATAATATGATATCATACTATTGGTCAGCAGGATCGGTTTGCCCTTTACTAGAAAAATCTTACGGCATAACTGCCTCCCCCTTGCCAAAATATCCCCGAAACATAAATCTGCCTTAGTTTTTTCCTGGTTTATGAATCTGAATATCGATAATACCAAACACAACTAAGTGGAAAAGAGATTTTATTTCCTTTCCACTTATCAAAGCTGTTCTTTGATTTCTCTACCAAATACTGGAAGAACTGGCCTTCGGAATATCCGAGCAACGCAAATAGAGGTACCGTGTGTGAAAATGAAAACCAGCCGCTGATCATGGTTAGAATGCACCCTAGTCGGTTAGGACTACAGTTGGCATTGAATCTTAGGTAAAGGAGAAAGAAACTGAAGGAAAAACAAAAGATTTAGCAGCTCCAAGGCCATATATAACCCAACAGGCTAAATATAGCAGAGGAACCCTCTGTAGAAGGCAGAGAAAAGATGGTCGTTTGAACATTTCACAGCCTCCGGTGATAGCCTGATGCCTGACCACACGTGACAAATAGAATGATAAGCACCCGGTTCAGCATAAGTGAGTAACACTCCAAAGCAAGTTTTCTTACTTGTTTTTTCTACCTTCCGGAATAGATATTTTTTGGAGGGGATGTTTCGGGGAAGAGATGGCTTTAAGATAGATAACCAGAATTATTGGAAGATATTAGTATGAAAACGGGAAATGCATGAAAGAGCCGTATCAACTTAGAAGTACTGCCCAGCAAGGATTTCAGTAGTACAATTTGGGGTTCTTCGCAGGCCTTAAGTTTCATCATGGCTGATGTCGTGTGGGTTGTTGGCCTAAAAAAAAGTTACAATAATTTTTTCTCAGACTTTTACTTGAATACTTTAAAAAAATCCATCACGTAAAAGGGGCTCTCTGAATCATAGATCCCTTAGAAATCTGATAAAATAAACTGATCCTTCTTTTAGGGAAATGCACAATTTCATACTTACATAAAGTTCTGCAGAAACTTCAGGGGGACAGAGACACTCTCAAGCAGATCCTTAATCTGACAGGTTAAGAAACCCCAACCTTGGATAAAAAGACAGATTTTCTCGTCCTAATTTTACTTAATATGATCTTTTTTCTTGTTTAAACACAGTCATTTAAAATGTGATATATATATTTTCTACTTTTTATGGTTGTTCTAATCTCCAGAAATAACTGACAGAAATCTTAGCTACCCAGAACCTAAGATGTTTTGGTGAGAATGCATCCTTATTATTAGTGGGTACTTATAATAACTGCAATCTTATTGGAAGTAAAACTATAATTTTATAAAATTATCATAATTCAAACTTAATATATTAAAATGCTGCTATAAGTCTGAATGTAATTCAGTATAAAGCAGTCTTTGAAACAACACAGTTTCACTGAGGATGTTCCCATGTAATATGAATCTCTTTCTAGTTTTGTTTATACTAAATGAAAACTCTAAGAAATAATACAAATCATACAAAAGGATTTGAGTTATCTGCTCAGGATACTTTTCCCTTTAAAATTAAAAGAAAAACATCTAATGACTTTAATCCCTATTGGATTGACTTGTTCATATCTTTTGACTTGAAACATCTCAAAAGCTGAGGCGTATTCTCTCTAAAAGCATCCTTGTCACAGGAAATATGATCATTAGTTTGCGTAGCACAGTGTCTGGGGATGGCCCTCACCCATTCAACTGTTCTTCCAAATAGAATGTCCACAGAAAACAGAATTATTCCACCTTTTGAGTTTCTTTCACCATCTCCTGACATGCTCCTGGTTTTGAGTCTTTCTCTCAATGCACTCATGTGTATGTGTGCATGTGTGTGTGTGTGTTTTCAAGTGTGTGTAAAAAGCCTCTTGGCAAGTCACATTACACATACATTTCTACTGATAAAACTCAATAATTCAACAGTGTACTGGTCACCTACAAAAAAGCTTCTATAAGACCCCAATCTCCACATGAATGGAGTACCCTGTAGACTCAGGGGGAGGGAAAGACCATGTTACACATGTTTCTCCTAAGGAAAATAAGGAGAGCAGCAGAAAAGGTGTGAAAGGGGAAGAAGGCGGTATTTTCCCAAGCTGGACTACCTTGAAAATAGGGGAAACTACCTTCACCAAGCACATTTTTTTTTCTTACTTACTTCAGGAGTGGCAAGTAGATGACTGTGGAAAAATCATCCTAATTGTTTCATCAAGACCATGGAGGGCTAAGGTGTTTGAACAGGGATCAAGGGTCACGAACTTTTTGTGAGTATAAAATTTTTTTTTCTTTCCCCAACAGTTGAGCTGGCAGGAAGTGGGTAATGAGAAACACCAGCTAGTAGCTGGCAGCTGCCTGGTCTTCTGCAAAGGACAGGGACGGTGCTTAAACCTTAATATGATTGATGCGCCAAGAGAGAGCACCTGCTTACTCAGACTAATACAGAGAGCTTCTTCGTCCAGATGAATCCAACTTGGAATGCTAAAGAGAGCCTGTGGATGAGAGAGATCACCCAGTCAACACTGGAGTTCCCGAGGAAAGAGGGAGCAAGGAGATTCAAGGAGGCTAAGCTTCAGCAGCGGAAAAGCGTGTCGAGTTGGACGAAGGTCCTGCAAACTCACGTGCCCATCATGGGCGCGGAAAATATCCAGGACGTGCAAATCAAGCCCATGTTGAATGGCGGGAATGGTGGGACCAGTGGCAGAAGGCGTGTTCCCCCTCGAGGTGGGGTGGATTTGCCCATATCCTCTGCCTTGAAACACACCAAAAGCTAAAGCTGACTGTCTCCAAAACCACCATAGTCACAGGTAATATGACCTTCAGTTTGCTCATAAACTCAGTGACAACGCGTCTATAGTCAAAAAAGCTCCTAAGCCATCAGTTGCTGATTCAGTAGATGCAGAAGCTGGAGGTGAAAGACGGCAGGTGTGAAGCTGGGGTGTGAAGCAGGAGTGCGAGGCCAGGCCTAGGGAGTGGTGAGTAAAGGGCTTATTGGGGCCCACATTTAAACAGTAATTGAGATAAATTCTGTTTCAATGCGATCTTTGAAAGAAAATCAAAATCGTGCAAAAAAGAAAAAAACACCCATAATGACAAAAATGTCACAAATTTAAATCAAGACCATGCCACATCTCAGGAAAAGAGAAAAAAAAATTGGGTCTGGAGGTTTTAATGCAAGAAAATGCATCAGTAATATTTTCAAAATCTACATTTTTGCTTATTTCAGTTTTACATGAGAGAATGGACACGTTTGACAATTTCCAACTTACTGATGGCAATCTTAAACAATTTTTAATTAATTTAAGGTGAAGTAAACATGTAATAGGGCAAACATGGTGGATCACACCTGTAATCCCAGCACTTTGGGAGGCTGAGGCAGGTGGATCATCTGAGGTCAGGAGTTCAAGACCAGCCTTGCTAACATAGTGAAACCCTGTCTCTAATAAAAATACAAAAATTAGCGAGGGATGGTAGTGGGTGCCTACAATCCCAGCTACCTGAGAGGCTGAGGCAGAAGAAATGCTTCAACCTGGGAGGTGGAGGTTGCAGTGAGCCGAGATCCCACCACTGTACTCCAGCCTGGGTGACAGAGCAAGACTCTGTTTAAAAAAAAATTGTCTCGCTTTAAATAAAATATTTAAACTCAAAATAATGTGTGAGTGTTAATAAACCTGCATTTTAATTTTTCAAAAAAATCTAATGACTTAAACATTCTAGGAAAAAACTCATTCACAATATACAAAATAGGTATTTGGGGGAAAGAACTTCCTTCCACCCCAGGCTCGACATGGCCCCATGCTCGAGGATCCTAACACCTCTGTATTCACATCTTTCGTATTGAGCTTCTAGGCCTCATTTCTGAAGGAACATAAGGGATATATATGAAATGTCATTTGACAGGCTTTTGTTCTCTTTTTTCCAGCATCATTGACAGTAATTGACTTGAAAAGAAAATATCTAGGAAGGGGTGAGAAATGCCAGATACAGGTGATGGGGAGGAAGGCAGCAAATCACACTGCCATGTGTGTACCTATGCAGCAATCCTGCATGTTCTTCACATGTACCCCAAAACCCAAAATGCAATAATAAAAACAATCTTTACCTCCCATCCCCACATGCTTTTGGGACAATTTGCCCCCTCTCTCCCGTCCTGTCCTGGGGGTATGAGGAGACACGCCGGGCCACCATATCTGTGCCAGGTCATCATTTCACCATTTTGCTGGCCATAGCTGGTTAGGAAGGGGAAGGACTGGACTCTGCTAGGTCAATGGAGCCCTGCCTCCCTCCTGGGAATTTGAATTATATGACACTGAATGGCCCTCAGGTAGCTGTGGGGTACCCAAATGCAAGAAGTCAGAGAATGTCATGGAAACCCGTGTGCAACTTGGAGTAATGACAGAGCAGAAACTAAGAGAGAGAGAGAGACACAGGGAACTCCACGCCATTCCTACGATTGAGAAGGAGGGAGGGCAGCTGCCTGGTTGCTGCCCATTTTCTCCTAAGGCCCGGCTGTACTGCCTGCATTGTAATGATATGAGATTGTCTGACAGCCTCATGATAAAAATTATTTTAACCATCTGCTCCCCACCAAAGACCTGGGTGACAAATGATGTAAAATTGTCACACAGATCGGGCAACATATGCGTGCATGTGCACAGACATCAAATGGAGAAATTGCCAAAGATCTCAT